TTCCAATTATTAGACTTTTACTTTTCCTTGTTATCAAATTATTGTATTACAATAACGTGTACCTTTTGTTTTCCTTGTTATCCAATCATTACGTTAGTAATTATTTTAAAGCTTTTAAGACCACTTGCAATTTTATAATCTATCACAGTGTTGTTGGGTGTTGCTTTTCTATTACACATACATGAATTTGGCATTATGCGTCAATAATATAAGACTTGCCGCTAAATTTATATAAGCTGTAGAATTCTCAATCACCCTTTCTTGGAAGTGAACAGAACAAAGGAACAGAACAAAAGAAGTGCACACTTCATGCACATTTACATGATTTTAATTTTCAAACGTAGTGTCCTTATGTAAGTAAAAGAAACTATCAATCCGTGTCTACTTTTGAGGTTCCCTGATCTTAGGATATGCGACACTTTTAGTAGAGTGATTTAAAGTTCCTTGTTACTATGTTAGTTAGCAAACTCCACGGAAAGCTCGTTAGTATCTTTTGCACTTTTAGTATTTCTTGTTGTTCAGTTGTTATGCTAATATTTCTCAGTCTTTTAGTTTTCCTTGGTGTGGGACTGTTACGTAATTATCACGTAGTCTTTTATTTTTCTTTGTTGTTTGATCGTTACGTTGGTGTCTCGCAGTCCAAAGGTTTCCTTGTTGTGCGTTTTTCACCTTACTATCTTATGCACGTTTATTTGTTCTCAATTGTCATGTTAGTATCTCGGACACGTTGTTTCCTTGTCACTCGATTGTTCTGTTAGGATCTCTGACACTTTTTGCTTTCCTTGTTGCGTGATTGTTCCGTTAGTGTCTCAGTTGCAAACTTTTAGTTTTCCTGGTAGTACCATTTTTATGCAAGCATTTCCGCAATTTTTTAGTTTTCCTTGTTGCTGGATTGTTACTTTACAATTTTAAGCACTTTTAGTTTTCTTTGGTGTTTAATTCCTTTTTTTGATTTCTGTTCATGTTTAGTTTTCCATGATTTCCGACTCTTTTGTTACAGTCTCATTCACTTTTAGTTTTCCTTTCGTTCAATTGCGGGGTCTCGTACTTTTTCAGTTTTGTTGTTGATCAATTGTTACGTCAGTGTCTTGTGCACTTTTAATTTTCCACGCTGTTCGATTGTTACGTTAGTATCTCGCTCACTTCTAGTTTCCTTTCTGCCCGATTGTTTCGTTAGTATCTCTAACGGTTTTAGTTTTCCGTTATGTTTGATTTTTACGTTCCGTTATATTGAGTTTTAAGTTTTTCTTGTCGCCCAATTGTTGAGTAAGCATCTTGCACACTTGTTTTTTTTGTTGCTCTAATGTTACATTGGTATTTCGTTCACTCTTAGTGTTCCGTATTGGCCAGATAAAACATTCGTGTTTTACCTTTTGCCCGATTGTTATGCACACTTTTAGTTTTGTAAATAAAGGAGGCAATTTTAAGCCTAGTGATTTAACTAAAGGTACATTTTATTTAATGAATGACATAGGCGTCATTGGAAAGAGGAAAATAGAGTGAAATTGACGATTGTAAATTTTATCCCCGGAGATTTCAGCGAAAGAAGAAAAAAAAACCTACGACCTTCCAATTAGGACTCTGGACACTCTAACAACGAAGTATAGGATACCCATTGCAAGCTAAGCCGTTAAATTAGATCCATGATAACTAACTGCATACTGTGATGCCAGCGTGATTCGTTACCACTGATTCCAGTTAGTCTCTTATAACTTGTATGTTAAAAGAAATGCTTAACGTAGGAAAAGACATATTTAACCCAACTATTCACAGTCTTGACCTCTCCATTATTGATGTCATATAGATTTATATTAATGAGATTGACATTCACTGATTTTTTTGAGCTAAGAAAAAAAAAATAAAGTCGACGTGAACATGCCATACAAAATTATTTGATAAGACATGTGGGAAGAAATGGGTCGATACAATAATTCTGCAGCTTTTGACACGGTGGATCACAAGATTCTTCTGCAGAGACTCTCTCGTCGCTTTGGTATTAATGGCAAAGCCCTGCGCTGGTTTAAGTCTTACCTTGAGAATCGTAAACAAGTAGTCAACGTGAAGGGGGCAACATCGTGTAGCAAGGACCTACGGTGGGAAAGCGTACTCCGAAATCCGTCAAAAGGAGGTCATCTCGGGTAGATCTCCAATTACGAAATCTGAGCTCCCCCGATGTTGTGCTCGTGAAAGAGGCCCTATTTAGCATTTTTGACCCGCATAATAGAGTAGAGAGGAACGTGTACTTCGTTTTTGCTCATGACTTCGTATTAGCATTAAGATATTTGCATTTTTTTTTCATTGCTAACCTATATTACAGACTCCAAAAAATTTTTGCGATGCCTCCTTTTCACGGATGGCCGATCACAACTACAACATAGTGACACCTCCACGAAATCTGTGAAAAGGAGGATGTTAAAATACCGGAAATGGAGAGGAAAGATAAATATTACGGTCGATTAACTCCCAGACAATTGAATGGTTCAAACCCGCAAAGGCGGGAAATTTGTTATCGTCCGAGATATCAAAGTATCTGTTTCCTCACTCAATTCGTATTCAGCGTTTGGCCGTATTCCAATCGATAATTTCGCTTTCTGAAAAAAATTTCCAATTCTATGATGGCACGTAAATTAACTTCTCAACAAGTGAGTTCCTTGTTTGAGAGAAAGTTGTCTGAAAGGTCAGGTCTGGTGAAGGATGTCATGTCAGCAGAGTTCATTCTTCGAGAGTATGAAACTGCTACCGTCACCAAAACTGCGAAAGAGCCCTTAAACAGGAAGAGAAAAATAACCATTAATTTAGCATGTAGCATTAAAAACTGATTCTCAGAACATCCCATGAATTGTTTATTAAGATAATCGTCGAAGTGAAATACATCTATGTAATTTTTATCTATGTACAATTCAGCTAAAAGAATTTTAAAACCTATTCATAAGAAACTGTTTCTTGTAGATCTTTCCCTAAGTACGCTCTTACATTTAGAATTGAAAATCCTCATCTAAAATATTGTAAAAATATTATCGTGAAATATTTTCAATGATATCATGGCACAACGCAGATAGAGAACATGTAATAGTTGAGACAAGTCACGGATTATCCTTGTCGGTGAACAACGAAAAAAGAGCAAATATCTGACGGCTAATACGAAGTCATGAGCGAAAACGAAGCACGTGTTCGTTTCTACTCTGTTTTGCAGGTCTAATACGCTAAATAGGGCCTTCATCACGAAGGCAAAATCGGGTGAGCTCGGATTTCGTAATCGGAAATCTACCCGAGATGACCTCCTTCTGACGGATTTCGGAGTGCGCTCTCCTGGGGAGTGGCGTATGTATTGTGCGCGTCCCCGCTTGGCGACATTGTCAGAAGTCATGGCCCATCATGTCATTTCTACGCTGATGACACCCGGCTTTACTGCTCATTCAAGCTTCATGATCAAGCGGCTTCAGTGCAAGCAATTGAGTCTTGTTTAATTGATATTGATGCATGGATGCTTGCAAACATGTTAAAACTGAACAGGGATAAAACTGAGCTCCTAGTGATTAGACCAAAGCACAAAGTCAACTCACCTATTAAGGGTATTCATGTGGCTGGTGAACACATTGAAGTCTCAAATAATGCTAGAAACATAGGTGTAATTTTTGATTCCCATGTCAACTATGAACACTTACAAAACGTCCTTCTATCATTTACAAGATATAGCAAAGATAAGAAACTGTCTCTCTCAAGATAATGCTGAGACACTTGTTCATGCATTTATTTCATCTGAGTTGGATTTCTGTAATGCCCTCGTATACGGCTTACCCCAGTTAGTTATTGATAGGCTACGGTATGTACAAAACTGCGCAGCTCGACTGGTGACTGGAACTCGAAGCTTAGAACATATAACACCAGTTCTTCGTAGACTACAGTGGCTACCAGCCAGACAACGAATTACTTACAAAATACTACTTCTTACGTACAAAGTACTGAATGGCATGGCACCAAAATATATAGCAGATCTCCTTCAGCCCTATACTCCGACGAGGCGATTACGATCTTCTTCAAAAGATCTCTTTGGAACACCAAAGCCTAATCTCAAGTTTTACGGTAACAGATCTATTCAAGTTTCTGCGCCCAGGCTCTGGAACTCCCTAACCGATGACATAAGATCAATCCAGAACCTTGATGTTTTTTATTGTATATATTTTCCTTGGTTAATCTTAGCAAGTCGATTGTATCTTATTTTTTAGAAATTAACTTCTATAGCTGTTATATATTTTCTTTAATAATTCATTTTTTTATTTTTATTTTTTATAATTACGATGATTGTAAAGCGCCTTTGAGTTCACGGAAAGGGCGCTTTATAAATTTTTGTATTATTATTATTGTATTATTAATAATTCAATTCAGTTGGAATTTATGTATTATCCGATTCAATTCTAATTTATCTCCTGGTTTAAATATTGTTCTGACGTGAGCAATCTTCCAGATGTTTGGAAAAGTACCAGTTTCAAAACTCTGATTCATTATATAGGTTAAGGATTCAACAATTTCGTTGACACAAATTTTCAGAAGTCTGATGAGGACTTTATTGACTCCTGTACCTTTATTAGCAGACATTGACTTTATTCATTTCTTGACAAAGCTGTTTGTCATTGGTGGCAGAGAGAACAGTTCTCCAGTCAGTTTCTTCTTCATAACAAATTATTCCAATTTTTGAAAAGTGGGTTTCCCTGGAGACTTTGATGGATGTACCTCTGGAGGATGTTCACAGAGGCATAGAGTACATGACTCTGGTTTTTGGTTTTAGACCACATGACTTTGTTTTGTTTTTTTTTAATTCCATTTACAAGATGTTGTGCCATATTCTATTCAACCAAGATGATTCCTGTTAACTATCCAGCTATATTCTAAAATCTGAAAGGTTGTACTACAGGGTTAGTTAGGCAACTGAAAAAGTGAAGTGACAAAACAGAGAGACTTTGTGATATCAAGATTGATAAATTCAAAAAGAGTATAAATTGCTATGTCCTCTTAGCATAAGCCATGTTCATGGGATTTTCTGGTGATTTCATCCATTCCTTCTTGAGTAACTGTTTTATTTGAGATAACCGCATGTTAGGATTTTCTGTTTTAAGCTTAGGTAGTTCACGCTCTTCAAATGCATTATATGCTGCTTTCATTCTCTTTTCTGGGTGCCGGTCAGTGGGAGTAGTTTTGCTGACATTCAGTACAGCTATGGCATCTTCTACAGAGCGTGCTTCTACAGATCCTTCAGCTGCCAATAGTGCTGCCATCTGCTGATTAGGGTTTTCTTCAAGAATATCACTAGTTTCCTCATCTGCTTTTTTAGTTTTAGCTGTTGCAGAGGCAGCTTCGACAGCTTTTCTTTCACGTTCTCCCTGAATCTCTGCAACTGTCATTTTAGCACGAACACTGGAACTTGGCTTTGGCAATTCACTTTCTTCAGCTTTCAGGGCTTCTTGGTTGGCTATCTTACGCTCTGTTGCTTCTTGCCGTTTGCGTTCTTTATCATCCTTCATGAGAAGAGCATAAAAAGCAAGATTAATCACTTCATTTGAGCACTAATCCAAACTGTAACAAAATTCTTGAATGTGATTGGTTATCACAAGCGTGATTTGAGCACTAATAGGGTAGTATATGCCTCATGCTTGTAATTGGAAAGTGTAACTGGACAGTACAACAGGACAGATAAAGGGACCATTTACACTTCATGCCTGTGTAAGAGGACAGGATGCATCAAGTGAGCATGCTGTTGTCTTGCATTTTTCTGAGTTAACTGTTGCTTTTTTTCATGAAAATGTATACTAGTAATTGTTGTCTAGTTTCTTTCTCAAATTTTTTCATACTTTTGATTCATCGTTATCAGGAATTCATGTCACCCAATTCTGTCTGTAATCATACTCATAATTAACAAATTAGAAGACTGTAAAGGGAGAATCCGATTTGTTAATCCCAAGTATGATTACAGACCAAATTGGACTCCACTCAATCCTATAACCAGAAGTCAAAATAAGACTTTGAGCCAAATTCTAACCTTTAATCTGTTAACATTTATCTAATAGCCATGCATTCAATGCTTGACAATCACACTGCAACTAACTAGCAAACAAATAATTTGAGGGCTGAATTGAAATAGTCTGTCCATAACCACAGTACTCACTCACAGTCATGGATTGTTTAATTCATGTTAATCATTAACTGCCTCATTAATCTGCCACATTATGTTGTTTTTCACACCCCCACTTTTTTAAACCAACTGTTTTTTCACTAAAACAATAATGATAGTTCTTTCATACTTTCATTTTACTGTGAGACCAAAGTTAGCCTTTCCTAAATGTATGTAAATGTACAAATGGTTGAGTGTGATGAATCTTGAAATTGTACTAGTAAGCCAGAATTAGAGGGTCTGAGTTTTTCTGGGTGTGAGTTTTGAGACACCTTGGGATTTGTCTTTTTTGTGGGTCTGAGGTTGCCGTTACTTCTCTGTTAATATCTGTGTGGAGAGAGTTGTTAGCTCTGTTTTTTAGAACAAAAACAATCTACCAGTACAGGTATCAAACCTGGCCTCTTGATACTGAACAACAAAATAAAACTGGGTAAAATTTCCGCACAGCCCCATACTACATTATGCATTCAGTTCTTGGATAGAGAAAACAACGACAAAAACAATACATTGCCATTGGGAAAACAGATTTGTTTAACAATAGCATGGGGCTATGCGGAAATTTTACCTAAAACTGCAGGGCCCTTCTATACCCCCAGAATTTAAGGAGCTCGGTCACATTGAATCGATTGCGAAAAATTTTACCCTTAAAATTACTTATCAGAGGCATGTCCTCTTCGTTCGAGTCTAATTGTCATTTCAAAACAACTTCCAAGCGATATTACAGAGATGTAATCTTTATCTCGTCCTTTTCGCAATTAATATTCAAATTTGAAATGTCATTTGTCTTGATTTTAAATCTACCAACTGACCACAACAACTGCCGTAATTCACCTACAAACACAACCGCACCTTCCTTTGCTGTTTCTTCATCACATGTTTATCATTATCCTCCCAGTATTTATCTTCTTCTTCCCTCTGTTTTCTCTCTTTTTCTGCAAGTCTAACAGCATCTTTCCTAGCTCTAGCTTCCTCTGCCTTTGAATTTGTTCCTTTAAACTTTTTAGGCATCCTCGGACAGTGTACTGAGGAAGCTTCTCTCGCTACTGTTTGTGTCTTCAAGGAATAGCTTTGTAACCAAGCCTTACGAAGAATGATGGCGGTCCCAAGTGGGCCGAAATTCACTCATTTAAAAGATGAAACCAGGGACAACCTGGTGGCCATATTGAAATCAGTAAGTGCTTGAAGAATGTTTTCTTTGACTTAAAACAGCAAGTGATTGGATAGATCTCATAAACGGCTTTCGGCTTTTTCCGCAAATCGAGCCTTGACAGTTCTCTCCAGCAGTGTTAGCACGACGATATAAACCTGTATAAACTTATAAATTTACTCTCCCTAACAGCACCAGGTAGTCGGCTGAGCAAATCTATGTGTTATAACAAATTCTCTTTAACATCATGCGATACGCAACGTAGTTCGGGTTTAATGGTTTATTTCAAATATCATTATATTGGGTAAATTCTGAAGCCTGGTATGAGAAGCTGTCAAATTAATTAATTAAAGAATCGGATGCAAGTATCAAAAATGTAGAATACTGTAGAGTAACTGTCAGGGGCTTTAGTAAAATATGGAGTGATTGGTGAGAAGATGTTCTGCTTCATGTAGTAGACAACGGTAGTGAAGAAAACGAAGACCCCGAAAGCGAAAAACATGTGGGGATTTGCACAGTAGTAACCTCTGTAAGGAATAATGGTGTGATCTGGATTGGGTGGAAACAAAAATGTAAACAAGTTAGCTGGATCTGTTTGTCACAGAATGTACAGTCAGGTAACTGTTCACTTCTTAAACACATAGTGTTTTGTGACCAATGGATGGCCAAGGAAATGAAAACACTTTTTTTTTCTTTATTTTAATATAGCCAGTTGTTGGTGCATATTAACTAGAACTCTTCATTGAGAATTTTTTTATTTCCAAACTTAACCCACAGGTTCCAGAAATGAAAGACCTTGTCATTGATCCTCAGTTGATGAAACCATTAGATCACTTCACAGGTGCATCTTTTCTAAAGGTGACAAACAGACCTTCCAAATAAGTGTAATTTTCATTGGCAATTTTGTCTTTCAACCATAAGATTTATGGGGAAGGGTCTTCAAACTGCAATAAATTCTGGCTAGGTCAAAGTTTTACCCTTCATATTAACCCAAGACAGCCTATTTTCCACCAGTTGTACTTTTTTTCTATGCATGGTATTGGTTTAGTGATCATGTTCAGTAACTAACAGTGAGGAGGTTATTGAGGAGATTGACCAGCATCTAACTTCTCCTTGCAACATCACCCTGAATCCTAATAAGGTCATGAGAATGAAGGAAATGGTCACCAGCTAGAGAGGCTCTTGGTTTTCAAACAAATTCTTCTTGTTTGCTCTTTAGGAAATGAATAGAGCACAGCATGGAGAAAATGCATACTGATGTTAGGCTGTAGAGGGTTATAGAGTTGCAGGACATTATATTTTCAAGAAGTTTTCAAGCCTTCATTGTTGTTGGTCACTAGAAAGTAAAAGAGAGTGTTTCACAAAATTTATTACGATGAAAGTACATGATTTGAGATTAATTGTCAAAGGGCTGGTGGTATGTTCAAAGCAGTAAAATCAAGCCTTTCATGTTGAGCCTTGTAGATTTTTTCTGACATATTTACTTTTTCAAGCCAACAATTGAGTCTGTGATTTAGGAAATTCAAACACTGAAGATGTACTCTTATCAGTTGATACAAATTGTGATTTTTTCTTAGGAACATGGTGTTAACAAGATATTTAAATTGGAAAGTGGTAAACTTGAAGTTGGTGGAGACAAGTGAGTGATTGAAAAATTAGCCATAAACTAAGGAAATGTTCCAACTGATGGTAGAGGCTAGCCAAATGTGGGGGGTTGTTCACTTCCAGCCATTAGGGAACTTGAGAAAACCACAACTATGATTGTAAAGAGAGAATGACAAAAGAAAAGATCTAATGGGCCGAAAAATAGCTCAGCATGTGCATTTAAAAATTTTGTTCATTTCTTAGCCTTCCTCTGCAAAAAAGATGAGAAATACAAAATTAAGGCATGGTGCTGTTAGAGACAGTAAATACATCAAGCCAGTAGCCAGATTCTAAATTCCAACTAAAAGTATCAATTCAGTTTTCTATTGACATCTGCATGGAATTGTTGTCCTAACTGCTTAAGATCCCTACAAGGTGGACTCCTGAACATCTTAACCCTTAAACTCCCTTTAGAGACAAACTTTCTCCTCACAGTATCAATAAACAACCTAGTGGAGAAGTAATGAGAGTAAAGTAACATACTAATTAGAGGATTATTAACTGTTCCAATACCAAGTTATACAAACAAACATTACAAGAATTGCATAGCAGACAATAAGGAGAATTACTAATGAGATCTTGGGGGTAAAAAGGTTAATATAGTTTATTTGATATAGTAATAATGATACTGTTTAATAATATTATAACAATTATGTGGATATTTACTCTTTTTATGACTTTTGAAACAGTGTAAACTTATTAGCTATTGGTAAATGGTTTGAACATGTATGTATTATAATAATTCAGTTGAATTTGGCAAGAGACTTCTGCTTGACTATTAACTCAAAGATTGTAAATATTTGTTCAAATTTTCACACAGGAGAATTTACTTGCTGAGACCAGAACTTTTATCAACAAAATATGTTGCTGGTAAGTGTCCCCAACAATTAATATTTCAAATGAAAGTTAATTTAAAAAAAAACCACAAAAATTAATTTACAATATCATTCATGTATGTACAAGCAAACAGTTTTCTGAGACAGTTTTCTAGTATGTTTCTGGAGTACAGAAGATATACCAGTAATCTTTGTGCAAGGTAATGATCCTATTTCATATGCTATCATGGTTTTTTCTCTCTAGATCATATAAATAATGACAAAATGAGTGGGAAAAACAGGTCATATAAAATTGTGTTTGTTCCAAGGAAGGTATGTCTTTGATTTCTTTTAATTTCTTTGTTGTTTCAATGTAACTAAATTTAATTCACCTTTTCTGGTGAAACTGGTTTTTCCAAAAACATTTAAACCAGATTGGTGTAAGGTTTCTATTGTTTTTGGCTCATTATCTAAAACTGACTTTGGACAACATTTTTGAGACTTACTGTATTTATTTGTGTAACACTTCTTCCTGTGCAAACTATGTGGGTGACGTAATATACTTCCAGTAAGAACTGTGTGAGTTGTGAGTCACCATGTGGTCTGGTCTTGATATTGAAACACCCATCCACCTTAGATGTAGGTCTGTGGGAAAGGGAGGGGGGGGTGGGGGTTGATAGGATAGAAAGCAGACTGTAATTTGTATGAAGTCCAAAACCCAATTTTTATCTCTACAAGTTTTATCCAAGATTTTAGCTTCATGAAGAATAATTAGTTTTATGGTTAAGGTTGGACCACTTTATACTACATTCAAGTGCACAGGACTAAAAAGATCTTTCACTCCACTTTTCTTAGTAATACTATAATTTCAACTTTTCTGCACTATTCTTGGGGAAGAGAGAGGATGTTTCTGAAATTACTTGATGGGCTAGTTTTTTTTACACCAGTGCTTGAACTCAACTGGCTAGTACATGGTCAGGATTTACTTGTAAGATTGCTCATAAATGAGCAAAATCCACATGTAGCTGAAATTTAAAATCCATTGGTATTTGGCTGGTAGACCATGCACCACCAGGTTGGAGCTCTGTATGCTCTGCAATAACAAGTAAAAATGTTGTGTTCCTGTAGTTGTACTCTTGTGAGGTGATTTTGGAGCAGGAAGGAGTGTATGGAGGTAACATTGGGAATTTATTAATTACTATTATATTAACTATATATTAAGCAATTTGGAGCCATTGCTAAGGAAGATGTTCAGTTTCCAGTAGATTTTAAGGATATATATGACCAACAAAGTAATTATTTTACAGGCATGCATTATGATTAACTCTTTAAGGGAAGACATGGTATTTTAATTAAAGTTTAATTTTATTTTTTGTGATAAGAGATAGGTAACAGTAGTTTTTGTTGAAGTAAATTAATTCATATGCATTTCTGAAGAAGGTTAAATAGTCAAGATGGCAACATAGTAGCCAAGTTGTAGAATTCAGCTTTCTTCATTTTTTAGTACTGAGACAAAATCAAGGGTAATTTAAAAGAAAAGTGTAAAAAGGCAAATATTGAAAACAAATGAGGCAAGTACTCAGTCATCTTGATTGTGTAAGCTTTGTCTGTAGGGGATTTATTGTACTGTCAGCAAGATGTTTTCATAAACAAATTGCAAAATGGATCTCTTAAACTTGTGTTGGTTTTCTTTGTCTTTGCTTTCCTTACAATGTGATTTGCAAATCCATTGCTGTAAAAGTTGATATTTATCATAATATTACAGAAAAAAGTTTCTCAGAAGTTATAGAGTATGTAAACTGGCTGGCTACAGATAGTTTTCCTCAGGGATTACAGAGCAAGATCCTGTGTTTCAAAAACTATAAGCCAATGAAAATTTACAAAATAATTAGAATAAGAAATCCCATATTTGATGGTTGAACATTAACATGTAATACTGGCAGACATTTTGCTCATTGCTTGCATTTTTCCTCACCCAGGACTTGGAAAAATAGTACTCAACTTGCAAAATATCTGCCTGTATTTATATGTTAATAAATCAAGTAAGGTAAACTGTATACTTATTGTACTAAAAACAAATATATAGTTGCTTAGTATAGATACCCAGATCTGGATGTTTAATTCAATCCTTATGAGAGACTGTACCATCTGTCATTGGTTCAGGATTTAACTGATTCTTCAATTTAATTTATAAAACAATAAGTTTTTCTCAGAGATGTGTGTAAGTCATTCTTAAACCTTTTCAGTATTCAAAGAGAATCTGAGATGATATGAGTACTAATTATCAGTATTTGATTACATTTTTGAGTAGTGTTTGTCCCTTTTTTTAAACTATAAAAATATATTGAATTTTTAGTATTAATGTGGATGTTTCTCTTTGATTCAAGATGTATCTTTTGATGAATTTCAACTGGGATTTATTCCACTTGATGAAGATGTACTGACGTTGGAAATACCAAGCTTTCTCAAAGATTATTTCTTGGTGAGATTTGGCTGGTAAAAGTTTTATTTTCATAATGTTTATTGGCCAGTTCTTACTAAGGAGGAGATTATTAGAAATTATCATTGGAAATAATCATGTGATTGTAAAGTTCAACTACTTTGTACACGAAAATATCCATAAAATTTTTCTTACTGCTTCAGGATAGTGGAGACTTGTTACTTATCAGCCTCTTCCTCTGGTACTTGACCCTTCAACTCCCAGAAGTGATTATCATGTAACTTCTCCCTACAATATCCATTCAGTATCCAGCAAACATGTAATGATAAAATTCACACTTGAGGTAGAAGACATAACCTTGATCTAACACCATAATTATTCTTGTCACTGATTTACAAATGTGTAGCAGCAAGATGAGGAAATTATCAATTAGATCTTGGTAGTTAAATTGGGTTAAAGGTTCAACCCCATCAAACTGCTTAGATAGTGTAGAAGAGCATGGGAAGGCTTGATTGGAGCTCCTGAAGGGGCCAAATGGGTGCAGTTTAACATATACTGAACAAAGCTGACAGCAACTCCACTCTTGTGTTGAGTTTGAAGAAACCCCTGTCAGGTCATTTGTGGCAAGAAGATGTCTCTTCTTGTTTTCTGACACTTGCTCACTGGACTAGTGATGTTGTGTTCCAGTTCCAATGGGAAAGATGGATTTTATAGGTTTTTTTTCCCTGGGTGACCACTGATATAGCTTTGATGGTGATTTTCAAATTCAGCACATTTATTAGACGTAAGTGAAACTTTGAAGTGTTGCACCACATAAATCATTTCATTTTACTGAAACAGAATAAAATATCTATTTCTGCTCCAGGATGGCGACCAAACATCACTTTCTTTTGTTGCTTGTTCTCTGATGAATCTGCAGAGATGGTATGGTACAATCCCAAGTACATATGGCCTAGGAAACTGTGCTAAGGTAATGATAAGATGTTTTAGATATTAACTCAAACTGCACCAAAAAAATTGGTTTCAGATGTTAAACATTTTATCATGAGAGTGGTTATCTCAGATTTGTTTTGGAATGTTCTCAGTTACAGATGGCACATTTCAAACTGTGTCACTGCAAGTTTAAAGGAAACCACATTGAATATAAATTTTGTCACTGATCTTTTGGTAATGATTTCTAGATGGTTGGAGAATTGCTTAAAAATATGCTGGATGAGGAAGGAGACTATAAACCTGTTGATGGTCCTGAAATAGGATCCCTTATCCTTATTGACAGAGGTGAGTATCAGACAGCTGAATTTGACTGTTTTGTGTTGAGTACTATATATGATTGGAAAAAAGAAAAGAAAGAAAGACATTAGAATGTCATGTGGCTCAAAGCCACAATTTGGAAGTGCATTATTTACAGTCTATGTATGAAGGCAGGTGCAATGGTGTGGTAGGGGTTTTCTCTTTTTTGTCAAGAAGTATAGGTCTATGACAGTAAAGATTTGGCAGAAACTGGGTTACATATTGATAAGTTACCAGACAATGCTTTTTTGTTTAATTTAAATTTTATCAAGAAAAGTAACTTTACCACATGAATGTTCACCTTTTTCTTTTGCTCATTGAAAAGAGAGTAATGTGTAACACAAATCATTTTCTAATTTTCAAATAGGAGTGGACTTTGTTACACCACTCTGTTCTCAAGTCACATATGCAGGAGTTCTTGATGACACCTTTGGCATTAGAAGTGGTATATAAACATCAATAATATTATAAAAAATGGCCAATTTGTCATTCAGTCAATCAGTCATGTATTCAGTCAATCAGTCATGTATTCAGTCAATCAGTCATGTATTCAGTCAGTTAGTTGGTCAGTTAGTCAGTTGTTTGGGGAGTCAGTCAGTGTGTCAGTTGTAACATGACATTGTAGTGTGTCAGTCAGTCAGATAGTCAATAGGTCAAATGAATAAAGGGGTAAGTTTCTAAAGAAACTGTGGTGCTGCGTCGGTGGGAGAGTATAGCAGATAATTTAGTGTTAACAACTGGGTTGAAAACGTAAATTAGCCACCGTAAAGGGTAAAAAAGCTGATGTTTCGAGCATTAGCCCTTCGTCAGAGCAATGGTCAAGTAGTTAGTTAGTTAATTAGTCAATAGGTCACCTAATCAGTCAGCCATCCTGTAACTCCTAGTGCCAATAGGGACAGTTGATGAATTCTAAAGTTCCAAAATTGGTTTGAATAAATGTATCCAGGAATTGTGGAGCACAGGAAAATTGGTCATTTAGATACTGGTATAAAAATTTTTTTTAAGATTGTGATTTTAAGTTTGTTTCATATTTTACATTATGGAAACATTTTGGAGCATATGTTGAACAAGTCTTGAAATCATTAATGTACTTGTGCATTAAAACTTGAGCAGAATGTGAATGATGACCTTTTTTCCTCAAGTTTCACTGTATCTTTTCATTTTTCCTGAAGGTGTGGTGGAGTTTGGACCAGAAGTCACCGGTAAAGATCAGAACACTAAGATGTTATTGAATGACCAAGACTTGGTGAGGTTTGCTTGACATTTAACACAACATTGTACCACAAATGATTATTAATTCTTAAAACACACTTGCAGAATTTGAAAAATCCTGGGGTCAATTTAATGAAGAAAATACAATTGTACCTTTTACTTGTGTAATTTACAGGGGTACAAAGTTGGACTTGTACAGTAAATGCAAGGATTTGATTAAACAATATTCCACCATGGAATTTTACATGTATATTTTGAGTCAGTATAAAAGACATTGTAAATTACAATTGTAAAATTAAACAAGAGGGTGTCAATGGTGTGGTGGATTTTAAGGATACTGGCTCATTTCTTCCCGTTAATTTTAAAACAAAGTTTTTTATGGTTAATTTTTTTACGACTAACAGTTAAAATTTGTCAATTTTCACTCCTCGTGGAAATTTTTTTTGCTGTTTCACATCTTACAGTTAAGCTTATTGAGACCCTCTTACAACTGTAGACTCTGCTTGAATGCAGGTGTATCTTTAATATAATAATGCAGTTAAAAATTGCTGCTTTCCTTTCAATGTATGTGGCTTTGTTTCGTTTGCTTACAATTGTATTCTTGAACAGTCATTGAGCATGTTATCCAAACAGCAAAAGTTGCTTTTGGCTCAGCTTGTGAGGGAACATAAAATAATCTATGTTTTTGGTGTCACTTTCATCAAGAATGATGAATTAAGTAAAGCAAGCAGTGTGGGAAAAGATTCGCACACAATTAAATGGTGTTGGTGCAAACATAGACAAAGGCCAAACCCTCCGATGTTTTATGGGCCAAAATTTGCAGGCTTGGTCTACACTCAAAAAAGGAAACAAATCAAAGAAGACTGGTGCAGGGGGGATAGAAGGAATTTGTTGCAAGGAAGTGGAGAAATACTAAAAGTTGCTTTCTTGCTGTTACTCCATGCTCTGTTATGTCTTGTTCTTTGTTCCAAACACAGGCCTATTAATTCCAAAAGGTAGGTGGAGGTGTCCACAGGCAGATGAAAGTTCTCTTGAAGTTCCCTTGGATCTTCATAGTTGAAAAGCTGTCTTTTTTGGAAATTCCTAGTTTGGCAGATAACTTAATGTCACTGCAGCTAGTCAGAGCTTAGGAGAGTTCCTTACCAGTATAATTTTACATGTTCGGAATGATTAATTGGTTATTTCTTTCCATTAATGTGTTCAGGTGTTTTGTGACATTAGAGATCGTCATTTTTCCAATGTGTTTGGGTATCTCAGTCAGAAGGCAAAGGATGTTCAATCTGGATATGATGTGAGTCTATGTTACATTGATCAATGACAAAATAAGCCTGAAAACATTCTGACAAACAACACATTAGTGAAATATTCTGACATATTTTTGTTGAAAGAGAGTGGGGTGGTCTGTTGTTGTCTTTTGTGGTAAGTTACATGTTGACAGATGTCCACATTGAAGTCATTTTTTCATACTCATATAGTGTCTCTTCACTGGGGACTGTTATTGGTTGATGATGAAATGTTACTAGGCATTGCTATGCATGTGATGAATCTAGCAGAAATAGCAATATCTTCAGGCTTTTTCTGAGACACAAAGCTCAGCTAGCAGTGATCAGGCACCAATTCTGTGGCACATTCAGTCATGAAAGGCACTCACAATCTTTAATAGTTTTGTAGATGTTTTAAGTCCTGCCATTGATAGTAGGGAAAAATGCTTTCTTCTTGCTTTGATTTCTTGTTCTTATAAAGAATTTCTTTATTCACAGAAACGACAACAGTTATCAACAGTAAGTGACATGAGGCAGTTTGTGTCTTCTGAGCTGAGAGGACTGAGACAACAACACAAAGGATTAACTTTACGTAAGTTGATATCAAATAAAAAACTCATTTACACAGCAGTATTTTTTCGTATGCATCTAATCTACCTCAGATGTGAAAAGTGTCTTCCAGTATCAACTGTTAACGCTTTTGAAAAACAGAATTTGTTTCCATAATAGGATACTAAATGGTGGTTACTGAGGTTGATCATTATGTGCAAATTATCACTAACAAAAGAGATTCTTTCTTTATGTTTTTATCTTATTATTATAATTATTATTATTATTATTATTATTATTATTATAATTATTATTGGAGGGGGGTAGCTAGGAGGGGGGAGCTAGGGGCAGTATCAGTATCAGGGTTTTAGAAAAAAGGTAAGGTATAGGTTCATATGGCCAAGCATTTCCAACACTGAAGAAGTAATAGGTTTTTATTCCTTCACTTGACAGATATTGGTGCTTGTGAAGTGGTACTCAAGACCAAGACTAAGGAGAACTTTGAAAGGAGGCTTCAAGCAGAACACAGTATGTAGATCAAAAAAAGTTGTCTGTCTTTTCTGCTGTGGGCAAATTTTCTTTTAAACGATGTTAATTATTTTCTATAAAAACAAAAGGAAAATATGAAATTAGATGTGTAATTTCAGGAGGTGTTTTCGTGATAATTTACAGAATTTATATCATAAATCTTTTCATTTCAGATATGTTGGAACTTATAGAAGATAAGGAGGATATTGATTATGCTGAAGAGAATATTATCAGACAGGTTTGTTCTTGGTTGCTTCTCACTACTGAACTAGTGGTTGAAATAAAGCCTGAAAACAATTCAGGCCCATACGGACTGAATGTTTTCAGGTCTTATGAGAAATCAGGTATTTTGTACTATTAATCTTAGAAAAAAAAGAGTGTGCATTTTTGTGTAACTTATGTTGAAGAATGTAATACCAATAAGCCCTTCTGGGTAGCTTAGCCTGATACTTTATCTCTTGGCTAAGCTATGTCACTACAGCTCACTGGATCAGGATCTGTTAGAGGTAGATACTGCAAACGAAAAATCGTACATTAGAGGGGTAGCACCTGGCTCAGTGCACCTTTTGCTGGAAATGAAGTATTCGTTATTTCATTATAGGGCAATTTCTAATGGAAAGTCTTGTCTTGACTGGTTGACGCCAGTATTATGTTGTTAAATTATATATTTTTGTTCAACAGATTACTCCATTTAAAACACTGCAGCTGTTATGTTTGATGTCCTTAACTCGTGGAGGTGATTTTTTTTGTCTTTCCTTTTTCTTACTTCCTCTTACCCAAGAGTAAAACAAGAAGAAGATGAAATAAATTGAATGATATAAACGTGCAAATCTTGCTTGGATGGATACGTTTTGCTACTGCAGTTTGCATGTCTGCTTTGTTTCTGAGTTGTACCTGAGATTTTTTATCGATACAGTAGAAAGTTCTAGATAACTGTTCCTTGTGTCTTAGTTGTGGTTCTTCATGTGTTAAAAATTTTCAGGAGTTGACCCCAAAGTGCACCGTAGTCTAAAGCATAAGTTCCTTCAGGTGAGTCCGTGTGTGGGATTTTCATCATCATTTTAACTTCAACTTTAACTTTAATCAATTTACAGCAAATAAATATATGTACATACAAACATATAATTAATAGCTGATGGAAGACCTAGCAACAGGAATGAACTTCCCTAAAGATAAAGGCCACCAGAAACTATATGTATAAAAGAGAGAACAAAAGTAAAGTATACATAATTACAGGCAATATCATAAAACGAGTATGGTAAAATGCTACATGTTAAAACTAAGTGCTAACTAAAGTTAAGTAACAATCACTTTAAATCACTGCTATCGATAGCAAAACAGTAGCGTCTTAGGTCATTTTTGAACATTGATAGTGATTCCCTTCTCCTAGTAGATATAGGTAAATTATTCCAAAGACGAGCAACTCTGGGAAAAAAAGAAGACCTAACTAATTCTGTTCTTGCATAGTTAGTTTTAAAGGTTAGTTCAGTGTTCCTTAAATTATAGGGTTCATGCTCAGAATCATAAAACTGCAGGTACTTAGAGATGTCGAGATCATAATAACTATGCAGGCATTTGAATAAAAAAATTAAGTCTAAATAGATACGTCTAGAAGATAGTGACATCAAACCAGTCTTATTCAAACGTTCTTTGTAAGGAATCCTATTCCCGACCATGAGCTTAGTCGCCCGACGTTGTACAGCCTCTACCATATCACTTAAATAAGCTTGATGAGGAGACCACACTTGACTTTAAAGAGTGAAAAGTGGGAATCAAAGCTGATGTTTCGGCAAATTAAATACCAAGAACAATTTGAATCACTACATACACGTATACGTCATACAAACGTATTGTAGTAGGTGGGATACAGGGTTACTTACTTGATCCACCTGATCCAACTGTACGTCATACAAACTTATTGTAGTAGGTGGGATACAGGGTTACTTACTTGATCCACCTGATCCAACTGTACGTCATACAAACTTATTGTAGTAGGTGGGATACAGGGTTACTTACTTGATCCACCTGATCCAACTGTACGTCATACAAACTTATTGTAGTAGGTGGGATACAGAGTTACTTACTTGATCCACCTGATCCAACTGTTTTCTCATAATGCATGCGCTTCAGATTATTTACTCAAATTTTTACTTGTATGAACTTGCAAGAATTTGCCCGCGAAACAGATAACAAACTTCACAGTTACGAAAGACTTTACTATGACAGAGAAGAAGGACGCAAAAAGAAAAGTCGAATCAAGTTTTTTGTGAGTAAAAATTGTTTTCACAAGGAAGCGAGAAGTGTAATTTTGTATCCACTCCTGGAAGGCAATCATCACACTACTCACCATGTTTGCAGCCTTGCAGAGTATTTTGCCTTCCCCAATTTATGCAGCTGTTAGTGCTGAGAATGAATATGTTATTTGTATTTCTGTTGCAGAGTTTTGGACACGAACACATGCTTACATTTAATTCTCTCAAGCAATTAGGGCTGTACACTGAACCAGATGTAAGTCAATTTATTATTTCACTTTTTTACTCTCTTGAGGGAAGCTTAATTCTCTGACATACTCCTTTGTTTTCATACCGGCTACTTGTCATTCAGTTAAATAGTTTTGTTTGCCTTATATTTAAGTTATTTCTAGTGTTGGTTCTTTGGGATATCATCCAATCCCGGATCAGCTTTTTTGGCTCATTTGTGGGGTTGTTTTTCCAATAGTTTTAAATACCTACTTTAAGATGATAAATTGAACAACAGTGAACAGTGTCTCTGAACTAGAACTGTTCTGTACGTGATTGAAATTTGTCATGTGATGAAAACGTTAACGACAGAAAATTTTCCCTGGATATTGATACTGTGTCCAGAGGCACTTCTTATTTTTTATTTTTTTTTTTTCATTTCAATAGAAGAAAAGCACCTTTAAGATTCTAAGTAAACGACTTAGTCTGGTAAGTACATGTATGGCCAGCTCCACTGCGAATCTTGCCTTCTGATTGGCTAACCGAGCGGTCTTTGATCTCACAAAGTCTTTGTAAACAGTTGACATGTACTTTGTAACTTAAAAATACATTTTGTGCTATAGGAAATTATTTTTCCCCGTGCATTTACAACGGTGGAGTCGCCTACAATAGAAAGTAAAAATAAAGGAAACCTCGACGAGTATCACGAATTTATTTTGCAGTTACTTGGTCTGGTCTCTCCACCGTAATTAAATACAATCCATTATTGACCCAGCTTATTCGGTCAAGATGGTGACATATGAGCGTCGTTCTTTTTTACAATTTCATGGACCTCGACCTCGGGCCACAAAAAAGAAAAGAAGAACTCGGCCGAGCATGCTCGGTCAGTAACGCTCCTTTAATCATGTCTTGCTAGATACACGGGCAAGTTTTAAATCCGATATGCTAATATTGCATTGTTATCAATCTTTGGTTCCGACTGGTTCTGACTCCTTAGCTTTCGGACTGTTATTTACTTTAAGGTGCCAAAGGATGTTGGTAAGATTGATCTCAAGAATCCGCAAGACATGTCGTATGTCTTTAGCGGTGCGTACACTCCTATTTCCTGTAGGCTGATTGAGCAGGTAAGCTGCTGCCTATCTAAGAGCTAAGAAATGGAAATGGAATATTATCTTGATTACCCTCTATCGGTTTAGACTATAAACCGGCCGTAAATATGTAGAGTTCTATTGTGGGCTAGCGAGAATATGTCGGGGAAAGGCTCGTGCTTCGAATTCAAATGATATATCATCGACTGAAAGTAAACGTGTATGTCGAGAGCTGAATGGTTCTCGATTAAGGGAGAAATCAGAGGAATAAGCCTTGTAGTTTTAGACCTCTCTTGGGACGAAAAGTCAGTTTTAAGATGATTTGCTTAATGAAATGGACATGACGTGTTTTCACTTGTGGTTCTAAAACTTAAAAATCTTCCTGTTTTTCGAAGGGAAACTATTTTTGTTTTCGGCTAATTTCAGTCCTTCTGGAATTTTATTTAAAAGGTCCTGCTGAATGGTAAATCTACATTTGAAGAGATGTCCACATTACTGGCTGTTGAGCATTTTTCGTCGCGAATGACTTCTTCTGTAAAATCATCTTCTGTTCATGGAACAAGAGGTAACTCGTAACAGAAGCATACTCACCGGTCGCCTTGAAGCGAAATTCGTCCCTTATCGATGACCTAGCTTATTTCTAATCAACGCGTTTTTATTATTCCCTGCCGGGGTGGAATACAGTAAGGGTTTGTCTTAAGTTTTATCTTAATCTGTCTTGTTTTTTAATAATTAATTCTTTTGGCCTTTTTACCATTTATCCTTTCCTAAATTTGTATTCGTCGAAAACTCCCCAAGCTACATCTCTTTCCCCATATCGTGTCTACTATTTTAACGGGTCCCTGTTATAATAATACATCTATCTGATTATCCAGCATCCAAATGTGTACTGGTTATGTTTCTCGGTGGTTGTACCTTCTCGGAGATTTCAGCGCTCAGGCTTCTGGCGAAAAAGTTAGGTGAGCTATCGACAGATGTACTTTTTTTTATCGTAAAAGGTACAACTTGGATTTGGACTAATAATTGTCGTTGGAAGTAAACATTACGTGTAACGAATTGAGTTAAGAGCAGTGGAGAACGGGGGTGTAACAGCGAAAGCGTTATCTATTCAACTCCGAATTTATTTTACACAGCTAACATACAGCAACAGTAGCAGAAGGTTGAAATTAAGGATGAAAGACGAAGGATAGAGCGCAGTTTTTCTGCTTCATGTGGTCCTATGACGCTCGTCACCTGTCGCTAGCGCTCCACACTAGTTCCTCAGAGAAAACGCGAGCACCTGAGGAAGAGGCTGAGTGCTAATTGTGCCTGTTCAATTGAAATTTCGTTTCCTCGCAATCATTTAAAGCACACGCGATAATTCCATAAGATAAAGAGACGAAATAAACGTAATGATTCTAGGCTGAGGGATGAATAAGTATTAGTGTACAACCCAGAGCATTGGATTTGAACAATCTTGTTTTTGTTTGTATTGCAGGATATCGAATAATAGTGGCCACGACATCAATTTTAAATGGAACTCGACTTTTGGAGTCGGTCACAGAAACCAATCGTAAATAGAACTCCGTGTAATATACGGGTTGTTTTTTACTGATCGTGTCCCATTATCATTGTCATGGACATGACACCACAGTCGATGCAAAACTTCTGAGACACAAGAAGCCTGGCCATGAAGCCTGATCATGAGGCGGATTTACCAGACCTTTGCCTGCATCTGAAATTCCACGGAGTTTACAATCAATGTTGACCTCAAGTTACTTTAAGGTTACTCCAAAACTTCACAGGTCAACCTGTGGGTCTCTAAATTTATGAATATTGTTCTCTTAATATTCATTTTCAACATTGGCACTATGTGTTATTATTTTTGAGAGATTTTAAGAAATCACTTAGGAACGAACGAAAAGCGGAAGATGACCTCAACTGCTCCTAATTCTGTTTTCAATTTCATACATGACGTTGTTGATTAAATTTGTGATACACTCCGGGGCGAGCGCCCATAACTAAGTTGTCTATTTTTACAGACACAAACGATCACATAAGAATATAATGTAGAGATATAGATCTTATCACATAAGAATATAATATAGAGTAGCCTCTTAGATAGAAATCCATTCAACTTTGTAATAGAAAAACTAATTTATTAGAACCACAAATTGTTGTAAAATAAATAAATAGATCTTGCAACCTCGCGTATGTCTAGCAACCTCCAACCTTTAGTTAGATCTGGGAACCACGCGCGTGTCTAGCAACCTCTAACCTTTCGTAAGATCCTGCAACCTCGCCCTTGTCTAGCAACCTCTAACCTTTAGTTAGATCTTGCTTGCAACCTGGCGCATGTCCTTGTGACTTAAGTTAGATCTAACAAAATGTCGCGATTTGACTCTTGCTCAGGTCTTTAAAAACTCGATTGCAGATTTTCGACAAAAAGACGATACAACAAGTCATGAGGAATACTCATATATTTTTTTGATCTATGCAACCACTTTTTGGGAGATATTAATTAGGCTGATGCTTTTTTGGATGATAGGTTAGAGGCACCAACGAATTATCAAATAATGAAAAGATGGTTAACAGGAAATCTCAAAGAGAAACGATGCTAATACCTATAACAAAAACTAAACAGAAATTATTACCGTTTTGGACTCTAGCTCTATAAACTTGGGAGTCTTAGTTGCCTTGAAATCTTTCTGGCCTTTGTTCACTTTTTTCTTTTAACTCCAACCAGGCGGGCTGTGTTACACAGTAAAAACCCGCGTATAAGAACCTTAAATTTAAGGACCTGTTAGGCTAAAATTTCCCAGATAAGCACCCCTCTTAAAAGAAAATCTAAATACAGGTTATTATTTTTAGAATTTAGAGTTTGTTCAAACTTGATACAGTACATCGCCTGCGATACAGAGAATACATGAGCGCGCGTTGATATGGAATCCGAGAAAATTTTGACAAACAACCTTGGATTGAGAATGGTGAAGGCTTTGCCTTTCATTCATCATCCTGACCGAGTGGCGCGAAAGGCAAGAGACATGTCAGTAGCTGATTGGCGATATCAAACACGTGAAAAAATATCGTATTTTTTATGGTGTGTTGTTACGGTTTTTCCTAGGGCTATAAATTCTTGTGTAACATCGTAGTTTATATGATAAAAAAGGGTAACAAAAACTGGCCAGAACACCGGCGGTGTTATAAGACCACAATACTGTACTGTCAATACATCCATAGTAATGCAACAAATCCGACTGTGTTACCCATGTAAAGAAGGGCACAATAATACTAATAATAATAATAAGAGTTCTTAAAAACGCATTCTACATATAAATGTCTCGATGCTTTTTACAACTAAAAGAAAGAGCTCTCACGAAACAAGCACATTTTCAACGCCCTTTTAAAACTATCTGCTGAGTTACTTTGTCTAATGGCAAGCGGTAGCTGATTCCATAACTTCGGAGCAATTTCCACAAAAGATCTATCTCAAAAGATCTATCTCCGTAAGAAACTGTAATAGTCTTGGTGATAACGAAAGGTTGGAATCACTAAAACGAAGAGAGCGGACAGGGAGTGTAATAATGTCACAGTTCATTAATATACATTGGGGCAAGGTCATTAAGAGATTTGTACGTAATCAAAAGTAACTTAAGGCTGGCATACAGCGCAGTATCACTGCCACACCCAACAATACAAGTTGTTTTTCTATTAAACAAAAATTAGGAACGCGATTAAGAACCTAGGTAACCTAATTTCACAGTAAACACTATTTATCTAAGAACCTATGAAGTCTAACTATAAAAAAAACCTAGGTTTTTACTGCATTACTCTTCCTTCAGCCTTTTCTCCAAAGTGTATCATGTAAATGAAGTGGTTCATAGAACGCGATCGCACGGAAATAGATGCATAGGATATCATGAATACCGACGCCTGTCAAACAAAGGAACTACAACTAGCATGGCATGGGCCTTAATAACAAGTTTATCTAATCATTGTCATTAACTACAGGGAAAAAATTACTCTTTCCTTGTAATTTTGTTGTTAAAAGGTCTTGCTGGCAGGAAATCTATAGCAAATCCATGTTTGCTGACAAAAAAGTGACTTGTTAAGACTCTCCTGACTGGATTTTGATTCTGGTCAAAGTTGCTGGCTGGGAAAAAATCCCTTTGACTCGTGCTGGCTGCCACCGAGTAGCGGCTATTAAAATACATAATCAATCGCAAATTAGGTGATATTTCTTTTATTCGTCAAAGAAAGGTCTGGTTGGTTCAGCTACTTCTGAGCTCGTAGGATATCGTGTAATTCTTAAATATCAAATTGAAAATAGTGTAAAATATTCTGTTGGCCATGAAGCAACAAAATTGATAATTATATGTTAATTGCAATTTCACTCGTGACTTGTAGTGGCTATCTTCGACTAGATTAACCTGCTTCATGAACAAAGATGTACGAAAGTCGAACCAACGTCCTAACCAATGATGTCAAAGAACGAAAACAAACCATCCCCAGAAAAAAACGCCTGTACACCATGATTTATCTTAAAACAACATATATCTAAGTTACTAAGATTCTGCCATCACCTTGAAACTTGTAAGTGTCCTTATACAATTTCAACTGGCGTTTCCAATTCCCTTGTAACACGGTACGGGAGAATATTTTTGAATTGTTGTAAGTCCCAGTGTAAATTTATCTACTGCAGTGAATTCAACAGTAATTGCATAACACAAACAAAAACTATTACAATTGTTGCCTATCTTTTAGTACATTCAAGATCTGTTTTTCAAGGCACACAGGACAATCTAGAACTAGAATCACTTTGCCTTCTATTCACAACTTGATGCCGTTTTGTTCGTAGTTTCGATACAGTGATGGACTTGAACCAAAGGCAAAGTTAGAGGGGAAATTACCCGTAAGCGCTCGCTTTTTCTAGAAGAAAACTGACAGCTGTTTTTTTTTCTGAAAGGTCGATCTGCCTTGAAAAATAGATCGTTGAGAATTTCTGTTTTTAAAATTAGCTTCTCAGAAAGAGAAGAATCCATGCAGCTGATATTTAGCTACACCTGATCTGTTCGTATTAACTGAGATGCTGTCTCTATGAAATGACAATTGTCCAAAGCTCTTCATTCGTCAGCAGCAAAGCAACTCTCTAGTGCCCATTTTTTTCCATTGTCATGTGTAAATTCCAAATACCCGTATGTATGACGTGCCATTCAGAGCCCACTTGAAGCGTGTCCCCGCTGTGCTCATTATTTTTATTCCCTACGCAATTAAGGTGAACATTTTATTCTCTGATAACTATCTATTTGCCGTAAAATTTCTTGTTCAACAGGAAGATGAGTAGGTTGACATTTATTTTTGCTCGTCCGAACATCTTCATTACTGCAACACCCTCGTACTGAAGTTGAAGTAAGTCCTGTAAAAAAATACCTTGTTTTCAGTGCCATTAAAATGTACTTTAAATTACCCGAGTGTTCAATTCGAATAAAACGCGATAAAAAGAAAATATGTTAAATAAATAAATAAATAAAAACCTAAATAGTTAAAAATTGTTTTCAGCAGGAGGCATATGAGCGACGTTGAAAATTATTCCCCCTCTCCCTCTTGGAAAGAATCGAAGAATTCGAGAACAAGCAAATGTTGCAAATGTTTTATTTCATATCCTTTTGTTTCCAGAAGACTTAAGTTTTAAAAATGGGAAAACGTACGAAAGCTTCGCCCCTGAGTTGAAGGAAAGTTGTTTAAAACTGACTTAGAACATGGCGCCGCTCACCTGAAAGACAAGCTCAACTTTTTCCATGGCCACTCCCATGAATTTGGCTGACACTTCAAAGACTCCGACCTCATCCGCTGATTTGATGTCAAACATGACATTCTTGAACCTGCAGACGAAGAAGAAACACACTATTCACGAAAAAGAACATTTCAGTACTTGAAACACTTGACGCAGAACTTACTGCGATGGCGGCAGTCCTTCAATTTCCAAAATAACTCCCTTCTCGTACAGTCTTTGCGCAGTATACTTGATTTCACCTCGGTACACGTCTTCTTTTCCCTTTTGTTGCTTGGCTCGAGGTTTTCTATTTTTCATTTGAACAAGAGTAAAAATTAATACAGGTACTGTTAACTGAGACCACATTCACGTGCAAGTGTTGCACAATATTATATTGCAGTGACGAACAACGAAATAAAAAAAAGATTTCCTTTCGCAAGAAAATGACTTTAGTAACTCGAAATGGCAAATTTTACATAAATTGCAAAAGAAAGCAAGTTTGTTCAATAGAATTCTGCCTGGTGAGTAATCGTTGTGTGGTGGTAAAACTTACTTTCCCTTCTTGGAGAGGTTATCTAAACACACTCTGATGTACTGGTTATAGTAATCAGTCTGTTCTTCGTAGAACTGTGATTTGCTATGCAAGCTTTCCAAAGTCTGTCCCAGTTTCTTTTTTTCTTGTCTCCGTCTTTGTCGGTACCGCCTCTGGTTTCTGATGTCCTGCATCAGAGATATTGAGCATAAATGACAATTCATAATTGGAGAAACAAAAACTTAACCGACGCATTATCAACCACTGAAAAACGTTTTGAGCAGGGGAGGTTTAGGTGTCAGACTCCTAATACGTGCGAGCCGGTCAGGAGCGATCAGAAAAGGAATACATGGCACTTTGTCCACTAAATCATTTGAGTCTTAACAGGCCACTGTTTTCCTGCAAGTTTGAGTTCCGTTTGGAACTTGTTTAATTAGCATGATGAGCAAACGTCTCTTGTGCCATTGTACACTCAACTTCTTTGTGACATTATTAAAACCATATTACTTACAAAAAACAAAACAAAACAAAATAAAATGATAATAATAAAAAATTCGGAAAAGAAATTGCGCTAAATTGTCACCTTCAGCTCATAAACAGTGAAGTTTCAGTGCAGTTTCAGTGCAGTTTCAGTGCAGTTTCAGTGCAGTTTCGTTGTCCTTTCATGTCCTACATATTCAATGTTGTTGACAGTTACCAGAGTTGGGAACCGTGCGGCCTGGCGCACGGAGAAATTACCTTTGCGATGGCGTTAATGATATCTTGATAATCATTCTTGATGGTGACGACTCCTTGACTTTCAAGCATCCGTAGATTTCTTATTATTTTCCTTTTCAGTCCTTCAAGGGGAAGTCTGAAAATTTTAACATTGGAAAAACATTACTTGTGAGGGAGGTTTCTATTTACTACGAGCTGATAGATAAGGAAGGATGGATAACTCGACTACAGAGAGCTATAAAAGTCTTGTTTAATCCTTGGATACGGTTTGCCTTGCGGTTAATCAGCGATCCTTAACCAAAGGATCATGGATTAAAAACATTGTAGCACGCAAGAAAAAGCTGAGATTAGAGAACGTGTTTAACCCGGTTACATACTTTTTATCTCCATAAGCTGAAGTAGACCTTGCTACATTGCCATGGGATTTACTTTTGTTCTCCTCGTTTAATTCCCTCAGTTTCATCGATCTCGTGTGCTCTTCTTCCTGCATCAAATACAATATATTATGAGAAATGTTTAACAAGGGCAGCAGACAGATGGTTAAAACTATAATAATATGTTATGTGACAGTACAACTAAATTAGAAAATCACGCACTTGCTCATCAGTGGCGGGAGTCTCTAGAATCTCTGTCAAGTTATCTCCAGCTTGGATTTTGAGAACATCTACGATCATTCTCTTGGTTCTGAAAGAAAAAACGTACAAAAGACATTATCGGTAATAAATGGCAAAAGCTATGACGCCTCTAGCATGAAAATCGCAACTCACAAAGACGACGGTAGACAGAAAGGCTCTGTTAAAAGGACACGACAAAATGAATTGTACATGAAATGACGCGATAGAACGTAAAAATACAGACAAACCGCCGTCCAAATCAACCAAACTTAACGAATCTTAACAAATGACTATCACATTTCATTCCATCTGCTTTTAATCCTTCAACGGTAGGAATTGTCACTCATCAAAAAATTACATTGTCTTCTAGACTGTTTGTGTGCCTACTTTTTAAGATTGAGCAATAAGAAAATTAATTCACCAGGGCTCGAACTTAACTTTTTTGTCTACTTGCAAAGTTTTGCTAGTAAGATTTTTTTTACTAGCAAAAGAAGAAACCTAACTAGCAAATGTTTGCTAGAGGATATTTTTTAGACTCGCAACTTCGAAAAACCACTCGCATTTCGCGAGTTTGCGAGTGCTAATTTCGAGCCCTGTTCACATGAGGCGTACCTAACAAACAGTGCTCTCATGTCAGAGTCATCATCATCCGGGACCTCAAACTTGTTGGTCAGCGTTAAGGAGATCTCTGTTTTTGAATGATGTGACATCACCTGTTCTTCATCTACAGGCGATGTTTCCCCTAACAACAAATACGTTTTCTTCTTGTCAATAGTTACTTCAAAGTGCGATCCTTTATTAAGGACAGCGTGCGAGAATTAACTTGTTCAAAGTTCAATGAACAATCAATTCTTGGCTATATTGGGTTAAGGTGCAAACAGCATTCCAGAAATGGCGGAGGCTTCACTTCAGGTAGTTCCTATGTGACTCACGCGCGAGGCAAAGTACAAAATGTAACAATTTTTTTTGTTCAGTTTTCTGATTGTCTCCACCTTCTCTAAAGAGGGAATGAATTCGTAATTAATCAATTAATCTCCAATTGCATAATTTATGTTTTAGAAGTGTTACGTTTGTTGAGGAACTCGACATTCCTGAAAGTTATTAAAAAAATTACACCAGCCAGCAAGAACTTTCTAGATGTTGTCTCCTAAAAATAACGAAACGAAAGAATCTGAAATGATACCTGGGACTGTGCACAGAAAATTTGCCACGCAGAGTATCACAACTTAGGGTGGTAGTTGTCTTACCTATCAAAGCGTCAACAGACGGAGCATCGCCAAGATCATCTAACAACTCGTGCAGAGGGTCGTTGGGATCTGGTGCGATTTCATCTCTGTGATCTAGGAGTAACATGTGTGTATCACAGATCTCTTGCACTGAGATGTAAATCACAGGTTTGGTGACCATAACCACGTCCGTGTACTCGTCGATGTTAAAATGCCCCTCTGGCTCCTCTACATTAGACACCTCTAGGAAAAATCTCCTGCAAACAAGCAAACAAACAACGCAGCAGAACAGATTTTTATGGTAAAGGACACTACCGGAATACAGACAACACACTCCTTACGACTACACTGTTAAATCCCTTCAAAAGGGATTAAATCTTTAATTTTTTGAAAAATGTGTCTCATCAGAAAAAAACGCACTCACTTGAAACGTTGATGGGCCTCAGCAATGTAACCATTTAATGGGCTTAAGTGGGCACTTTCACCCCCAAACTGAAAAGGCAAAAACAATAAAAATAAAACAAACAAAAAAAAAAGAGTCACAAAGACATAGGTCTAAATTTCAGAAAAAAACATCTACCTTTAAGAGACAAAGGCAGGAAAAGCGATGCCAAATTAAAAAACAAATTATTTGGTTAAGGATCGCTGATTAACCGCAAGGCAAACCGTATCCAAGGATTAAACAGAACTTTTATCCAAAACCCAATAAAACAACAGGGTGGGTTTCAGTTACCTTCGAGTAAAACAGAGCTCCTCCTACCAAACCCAACTTTAGCGCACAAGTCGACTTCAGTGAAACTTAACGTAAGAACTTCAAGAGGAACTAAGGTTGTGCTAAGCTAATTGAGCCTGTTTCCCTGGGTTATAGGATTAACTAAAATATAAGTCATCTTTAATAGTGACTCGAAGGATGTGCAGTGCTCAAACCATCTTGTACTAACATCATGCTCGGTTTCCGCATCAGATGTTTCTCGACCCTCTCTCACATAAGGTCTTCCAACCTGAGAAGACCACCTTTTCTTTAGCTCTGGTGAAAACTTAATGTCTTTTTAACACATTTATTGGAATATTTCACTTTCATTGCACGGACATTTTTGGATAAAGCAGGAGCGATAATCGGACAGAAAGTTCCCAAATAATGGAAATATTTTTGCCTGTTTTCCACAGGTATACATTTTCAAAATTTCCTGACTCTTCCTCGACCTTGAAGAGTGTTATGATTTCTCTCACTATTTTTGACCTGTGGCAGCCTTATTTCGGATAGGTACAGGTATTATAAGCGGCTACTCGATGACCACATGAAGGCGTACTCTTCTTTAAAATTTGGTATACAAGTTAATAACAAAGAACTCATATTTTGATACCCAACGATTACTTCAACATATTACGACAAGTAAAGTTTAGTTACTCACCATTTTATTTGATGCTGCATACTGAAGAATTTTGGCAATAGAACCGAGATTTCTTCTCTGGAAGATAAAGAAATCAGTGATTTGTCTGTCAACTCTGGACCTGACCATATTGTTGAGAAACTTATCCCGGTCAGTAAGTAATGCTACTCTTGATGGATAGGAGATAAGTCCATTGGGGGTTCCCCCCTTGCATTTCGCAATGTTTTCCTAACAATTACCCATCTGTACTCCTATGGTGGAGAGGGGCACTGTCAGAGTAAAGTAACACACGATAACCCGGCCCAGGCTCTAACCCAGATTTCTGGATCCTCAGTCTAGCGCGTCAACCTATGGCTATGATGCGTCAACTCATCAGTAGTTTGACATTTGGCCAGTGAAGAAATCATCTCCAAACAACAGTCCGATTTCCACTCCTTACACTCCACAGTTTCTGCCCTTTCACAAGCCACTCACATTTGGGCGTTTAATATCGATCGTGGATATGTTAACGCTGTAGTTTTTCTCGACTGAAAGAAGGCTTTCGACACTGTTGATCACAATATATTATTGACAGGGGAAAATATGGATCATTATTTCTCTTGACTATTTACTAAAATGTACCGGTACGGACTAAAAGGAAGAGTTCTTAGAACGCGGTATTTAGTAGTTTAACTTTGACTGCCCCATATCATACACTGTACAGTTTTTCACCGGACAATTTAATTTAAATCATTTGTGCGGCCCTCTCCCTAACACTAATGCGTGGGAAACTAAGGGAAATTACGACGGCAAGGACTTAAGCCAGGAATGGTGAATAGGATGAAACTGATAATCAAGTGTAAGAAGTAAGTCTACCTGATCAGCCGTCAAACCCTTATCCACGCCCATTGACACGATATCAAAAGCATCCGGTGCTACGATCGCAGGGTTCATATACCTGTAGTATATCAAGTTACTTACAACCTGCAAATCAGCGAACACAAATCACAACGTTTACACATGAATTTTCAAGCTTGCAGAGACAGTTAAACAGTAGTTATTAGAAGAAAAAAGCACTGACAAAATGAAATACAACTCGCATATCTAAAGAGGAACACGAGAATAATTACATGGAGTACCTAGGAATCAAACAAGCGTAATACCCAACTTACTTTTAGTATTTCTGATTCTGCTGCGTCTGGAAATTTTTCAGCGAGAGCCACTCTCAAAGACATCGCTACATATCGCATACCATACCTAACGAAATACACCACAACTATCAAAATAAAAGTACTAAAAATATATTTCCACAGCTATCATGATATTAACTAAATTAAAAACATCAACGTTACAGTAATTTCCAATAGAACACTGTTGAAGTATGTAACCATCCGAGTCTTTTGCTGAGTAATACGTTCTCTACATTACAAGGAGACAAGAAATAGACAGCTTCTGAGGGCGCAGACACAACTCCGCTTTATCGGCATTAACCAGGAACATAACCTAACTGCTAAAGGTCTCTGAAGATCAAAAGGCAAAACAACAAAACAGCAATCATCAACACATTAGCGGGAACACACTACTCACGGTATTTTATGGCCAGATTGAACAATGGAGCTTAAAAATGTATCTGTAACTTCTGTAAGGCTCTTCATGGCAGCTTCTATTCTTTCTCGTACTTCAGGATGTTTCAGCGCTTGTTCCGGTTCCACATCATATGGTAGCTTACTATGCATAAAAAAGAGGAAAACTGATGCGACAATTTAAAACCCTATATTCATTAAGAAATGCGGGAAGAGTGTTAGGTTTCTACCCTTGGTTGGAGTGTTGATTCAATTTCCTTTTTTGTCAAGGCACTTTGTCTGAATTTAAAACTCACTTGAAAAAGCGGCTAATGAACATGATCCTTAACTATTCTTTAACCTGATCGATTTTTCAGCGTACGTAAGGAAAGATTGCAGATTAAAGACAGAGAGAACCGAGTGTGGGTTTCTAACGAGTTTACACGACCCGTTCAAATTTTCCCTTCACTTTTGGCGCTGGACCTGGGCTACAAATCACACCTTAACTATTACCTCAAACAATTCAATCACGACCAATCAACAGCAATGGTATACATTCGTACCTTGCAGTTCCCGTTTCTGATTCCGTTTGATTAATCCAAGCCTTGTACACTTCAAGTGGGTTTGTGTTGATTGACAAGTTCTTGTCATTAAGGACACCCTCAACCAATGGTTGTAGCAGCTCTCGCAATGAGCTCTGACCTCTAGTACCTCTAAGCAAGCCCGAGTAATACTGGTTAGTAATAGTAATCAATATCATCAGAAGCAACGCTATCCAGTTTTTGCATTTTCATTTTGCGAACATTTCACGCACCCAGAATATTGAACATTGTATATGACAAGCACTTTCAAAACTGTAGTCTTTTTTTTCACTTTTAGATTATCAAAGATTGTGTCGTTTAAAAGGAGTGTAGAAGTTTGCGGCCTTCGATTGACCCATTTCCAAATAATTGTTGTTGGGAGTTAAGAAAAATGTTATTCTTTTTGTTACAAGCGTGGCACAGAGTAAAAAAATCTGAGTTCGACATGAGGAATTGAAACACACTCCATCGGAATGCACTCTTATTCTCTACCACTGAGCTGCAGAGAACTCGAATGGTGACCAAGGCCACTACTCCTCACTACTCATTACTCATTACACTGGAAAACACGTGGCAAACAAACATTTTAGAGAGTTTTGAAAATGAACGGATTCCGCGGACTACGAACGACTGATTCTATTCCATACACTCACCGATTAAAATGAACCAACATCCTAATGACCGCTGGGTTTCCTGTCACGATGTCCTGCATTTGGTCAACTTTTGAGCTAAAGAAAAATAGCAACTTTGTCGAACTCTCTTTCTATTCCGTCCATAAAACTATTTTTTTTAAAAGCTGAAAACCTTAACTAAGTGATGTCCGCGTTGTAAAAACTGGTGGAAAACAGTAATGTTATAGAATGAAGATGAGGAGAAAGGAGATTTCCCGCGCGTTTTCAATACTTACGCAATCACCATTCTTACATTACAACTACCTTCGAGATTAGACTAAAATAAACTAACACAGAAAGTGGAAAAACAAAACAACACTTACATATCTCCTCTTGTGGAACCAGTGAGTTAGTACGAATGCATTGTAAGTACTTAAAATTTTCTAAAAAACCTTAATACAGATAGTTCCTTGATACTTGTACTAGGATCAATTAAATTAAAAAAATAACTCGTCACCTTAACCGAGCACATAACGAGCAAACGTTCAACGGATTTCCATAGCATGCGACAGAATCAGCATTCTAAGTCGATATCAATAGTCCTCTCATCAATTTGAATACTTACGCAATCTCCTCTTTGAGCGCTGTGTCAAATAATTTCACAAGCAGATACTCCTCCCTCGGATTAGAGGCATAGTTGTATAATGTCAAAATAACAGACTCCATGAATTTAGTAAATTTACTTTGCGGCATTGCAAAAATCAGCTTGGCCAGGTAAACTGGATTAGTTTGAAGTAAGTAAAACAAGTTCTGGTAAGCTTCTAGTTTTTCGTGGCTTTCTTTACTCAGTGACTTGATCCCCTTTGTTCTCTGCATTGCAGTACTCATGTCTTGTTTTTCCCTTTTTAAGTTTTTTCCATGGTGTATTACGTCCTAAAAATAGACAAACGAAAATAAACTTGCGAGTATTGGTACAGCGGTGTGCCTTAAAAATAGGTAATCATCAAGTTTATAAGAACGTTTATTACCGTTTAGGTCTTTCCTGTTAAATACAACATCTATCAATTCACGCTGAAGGGCTTTTGCAAATAAAGCACACTTTTTATATTCTGTACCATAAGAGTTTTGGAGTTTAATCTCTAGAAAACTGAAGAGCCACTAGACTAACTGTAGGTGACCCGTTTTTGAAATTTAGCAATTCTCTGTCGAAGAGCAAAGTCTAACTTACAGAAGTGTCCATTAAGAGACAGATAACTTTGATAAGGAGTTGACATAGCCTTTACACTAACCACGAAGGGAACACATTCCTTTACTACAGGAAAAAAAATATACATATATATGTACGTATAACCAGGCTGCAGCATAAGAGTTATGCATTGTAAGACTGCTACAACGTTTTTGTTGTAATATTTGTGAAAAAAATGCCAAAAAAAATGGTTGTGTACATGATGACGTGGGTGAATGGTGTCAAGAATTTGCGATGATGCCCCTTTCCTCTTGAGAAAATTTAAAGCTTCTCATTTTTTTAAGAAGTCAAAAGAATATGTCTTAGACATATTGGTTTAATACCTGCAAAGTGATTCTGTTTCTAACTAGAAGTCCTATCTTAATGTCCATTAGACTCAAGTCATTCTCGAGCTGTTGGTTTGATCTGATCTCTGTCACAACCTGGGCTCGTAGCTTCTGAAGATCTGCAGATTAGTTCACACTTATTAAAAAGTACAAAACTTAGAAACATGTAAATGCACAGATCACGTTCAGTGGTTTAACCAGCCATAAGATAACAGTAGCAATAAATTTATGTCATTTATCACTGAAAGAAAATATATCACCAACACCACAGTAATCTGGACAGCCTCGAGAGACAGGTTAAAGTGCATTAATATCTGCCTTCAAAACAAAGTTGTTTTACGTACCAAGCTCCTCTTCAAAGTCAGCGTCACTGTGTTCCAAAAGATGGAGGAATTTTCTTACAGTCTTTACTGGTGGATCTTGCATGGAGACTGTGCGAGGAGGAAAATTAAAATGTGCTTCAGACAAAAAGCTGTCTTTTCTTCAAAACTTATTGTCATCTACATGTCAAGCAAAAGATTGCAATTTACGTAACGTAAGCAACTGCATGAAAAATTTTCCTGTAAAAGAACTAAGAGTAAAAAAGAACAATTTACTTACTGAGTTTTCTGTAATCATTTTGGGCCACATTTGCTCTCAACCAAGCCTGGATTTTCACTATAGCAGAATTCTAAAAGAAAGAAATTTAGCAGCATGTGATATTTAAACCGGACATCTATTGGAATTAATTCTAAGACATCTCATATGACACCAAGTAAGCTACAATGATCTTTTTACCAGCCCAGGAAGTGCATAATGCCATTCAATTACATAAAATAAGCAGTTTTGTATAACAACAAGGTTTTTAAGGATCAACTTACATGGTCCTTAAAGTATTTTCTTCTTTCTAGATATTTCTTTCTAGCAAGTGACATCCTCATCCAAGATTGAATCTGTCAAATAAAAAAAAAAATTGAGCAAAAACAAACAACACACCAAATGACAGAAGTATAATGGTCTTAACCAAGCCTAATTGTACTATAGTTAAGATACCTTACCTTAACAACTTCTTCAGGATGACTGTGCAGTTCATTGAGCCTCCTTCTGTATTTCAATTTTTGAATAAATCCCCTCACAAATGCCTTAAATAATTAAGATTACATTGCAGATTTAGTAAATGGTTTGTGCCTAGGGGTGAGTTGTCCTGAAAAGGGCTGTTGTCAGTAGTAATGACTAGACATTCAGCAACCTGAGCAGAAATAACCCCAAGACTCTAATGATTAATTCCCCCAGATCGATAAAATTTGGGTCACTTCTATTTACAACAGTCCTTTTCCAAACTACCCTCACTGCATGATCTTATGGACAATCAAACTGCAGATTCTCAAGACAAAAACTAATTTCTATTCGATTTTCAGTATTTATTCTAAAGCAGAACCCAGATTCTCTGCACTAGAATTACATTCATGAGAAAATTCTGTTGGTCTCTTCACATCAGGGCATAAACTATAATTTGTAAATCACTGGCTATTGAATGAAAATAGTATTTTGATTGCTTATATGGTAAACCTCAGAACACAATGCATGAAAGTTTCATGAAATGCGATTTTCAGAAGACAACTTTCTTCTGAAACTTACAGGTATGGCAAGGTTACAATCAAATAAAGACACACATGATGAGGGGTAAAAAAAGGATAGGGAAGTAGAGAAATAGCTAAGAATCTTAAACTGCCAAGGAAAGCTTGCTCACCAAATACATTTTCAGGACTGTTGTTAAAACCCATTGCTGCAATAGTCTCCAGATCATCACAACAAAATTTCTTTGATATTTCAATGGCATTACTCAGAAAGTGATTTCTAACAACATGCACCTGTGGATGAGACCACAAAACCCTTGCCACCTAACAAAAGATATTTTGATAAAATACCTAACCTGTATTCTAATAATTGCTGGTAGATGTTCCTTTATGAATGTCTGCCTTTCTTTGTAAGCCTTTCTTGCCAAATATCCTTTCCAGTGAGACTGCAGCTTGATAATCAAGGGTTCATTTGACTCCATGTGAACCCAACGGTCATACTGGCCTGTTACTCTTGATATCACACCCTGTTAAAGATCAAAATAACGCTACATAATGAAACTTTTTAATAAACCATTAACCTTTTAGTGATGAAAACTAATTTTCTGCCTACATTTACACTCATGAACCCAAACAGGTAGGACTCTACTTATCACCCCTCTCAATCTCCTTCATCTACAAATGATTCATAAAAGGCTTTATATTTTAAGATATTAACCAGAACATGAAATAGTTTACTTTTTAATGAGTTCTTATTATCTGTGCATGATGTATAAGTAATGCAACAGGATCACTGAAGAAAGAACTAAAATTAAATAATGAATATTCACCTGAATTTCCTCTCTGGTAAGCACAGCTGAGTTGTTGATCATATCATCAGGTTTCTCCCAACAACTTTCTTTATTCTCAGTATTGTAATAATACAAATAACCCTGAGATATCTTTTGCTCCAGCCACACAGAGTTACTGCCTACAATTTACCAGATAAAGTACAACTGAGAGTTGTCAACACTAATGTTAAAAGAAAAGACTTGGTTAGAGTTTAATAGAACCAAAAACCTTGAAGGTGGAAAAATATATGGGTGTATAACCTTTGGAGAAAGCTATTTAAGGATCCTGTTTAAAACAATGAAGATTATGACTGAAAATAATGATGAGGAAGAGATGGAAGGTAATGGTAACAGATGAATTAAGGGAGTAAGTTTCCAAAGAAACTGTGGTGCATTGGTGGGAGAGTATAACAAGGTAATTTGGTATTATCAACTGAGTTGATAAAGTAAATTGGCCACTGTTAAGAATTTCAGAGCTGACGTTTTGAGTGTTAGCCCTTTGTCATTCACTCTGACAAAGGACTATTGATGAAAACATCAGGTTTGAAACTTTTAACAGTGGCCAATTTATATTTACTTATCAACTCAGTTGATAGTACCTATTAAATACCTTAAGATGGTAACAGTTTGCTTCATATCAACTTACCTGCTTCTTTCTTGCTATCTTTAAGTTTTTTTAGCTCTTCAAGGTACTGCTGAATACACTGTGATGTGACACCATAAATGTTTGCTCTTGGGTATGTAAGAGCAGCTATCAGAAGCTTCTCATCTTGTGCATCAATTGCTTGGTTGATTGCCGTCACACCCTCAGCCACTAGATGAAAAACAAAATCAAGCTTTCTTATTCTTGTAAAGCATAATTACTGAGACTCTGCTCATCATAAACAAGTACTTACAATGTTGAGCCTCATCGCAGTAACGATTCGCACTGTCTAAGCTTCTCTGGATCTCATCATGCCACAGTTCAGCTGTGCCTTCATCAGCTTTCTATGGATTTTAAAACACATGTACTGTCCAATCAATCAATCCATCAATCCTTCATTGACATCTATGTGCTAACAGCTGGCTAAAATACAAATATGCTAACTAAAAACATGCATATAAGAAAAGCTAAAAATAAAAGAGACCAAAAAACAATACTTCTATCCTTTTAAACTAAGAAGACTATCTGCTTAATAAAACTACAAAAAGCACGATTCAACACTGAATTAAAGTGAATGTCACACAGCACGGAGGCTGTGATCTTTTGCTAAAAGTAACCTGAATCCATTCTTACCGCTGCTTTGGCCATCTTCTGAGTGTATAGAAGCTTCTGATAGAGTTGGCTGTTTTCAGGGACAATACCTGATAGTTTGGCAGCAACAGCCTGTAAGGCTTGCAGAGTACTTTGGTGGTCTTCCTTATCAATGGCCTCATTGATAACTGCTATTGCAGATATCACTATCACAAGAAAATGCAATACCCAAATTGCCATTAATCTTGAAATCTCACACTCATTCTCTTTGATATTTTTCAAAACAGATATTCTTGTTTATGAGTGACTGGTCTCAATATGACACGTGACCCAATAGGTACTAACTAAACTGAGGAATGAAAGGCAATATGGCACTAAGTTCAACACGTGAACACTGTCAGCCCCCATTTGAATAGAGATTATTACCTTGAAGGTCAAGGTTTACCTCAAGCTATGGATTCAGAAAACTGTTCCCTACCTGGAACAGATAATGCCAACAGACAAATTTGCAAGATCATTTTCCTTCTGAATGAAGGCTTAAATGTCCACATCCAGAGGTTTTAATCTGGAGTTAAAGTTGGAGGTTGTGATACCTTTTAATGATTTGACTCAGTTCTAAAATTGCTACCAATAGACTTAAGGGTATACAGAGTAACAAAATTGATTCATAACTTGTTACCTTAGAATTGGTGCTTATTCAGGTAACAAAGGAGTAAGGTAAGAGACAGAGACTCATAGTTCAGTGACCACCTAGTCACAATACATCAGAAGACCTTCCCCTCAAATCTTAGCTCATAAACAATGTTTAAACACTCCTTGCAACCTCTGATTTATAGCATTCTACTTGTCTTAAACACAATCCTGACCTGTCATTTGCTTTAAGGGAGCTCAATCAAGACACAACATTTTGGAGAGGCTGTACTGTTTCTGTAGAGACAACATGTCTGACATAGACTAGCTGGGCAAGAGTGCTCTTTAAAAGTACAATTAAATGTGGTTCACTGCATAAGCATAACCCAGAGAAGGAAGGCTCTATTATGACAAAACAACAAGAAAAAATAATCAAATGCTCATGGTAACTTACAATCATGCTCTTCTTGAACAACAGTGTTCATGTATTCCACACAAATCTGTATTTCAAGCTTTGTTAGATCATCCTTGCCAACTCCACATTCCTAAGTAAGTACAATAATTACCCATGAGAGGATTTAATAGTCATCCCTCTCCATCCCTACTTCTGTCAGAGACCTTCAATTTAATTACCTGCAAGTGCAAACATATTTCAACCTACCTGTGCTTTGTCCTCCTTGACAGAGATCAAGTAACTTAAGTATCTGTTACATAGACTCTCATCCACTGAAGTCAAACCAGCATTAGCATGGTTCATTTTTTCAATCAACTGAGTTGAATTTTCATTCTCAATGGCTTCATTTATGGCTGCTACAGCTGTCAGAACTGAAAGTTAATGTAGTGTAGGTTTGTTTTAAGTTAACACCTGACACTAACTTAGGTTTAAAAACATAACAATGCCTATAACTATGTCACTAGTCATAACTATGTGTGAATTTACTTCAAAATATTATTTTGTCTTCTTTAGGAGGGAACTGCCCTATTTTTTGGTGTGTCTCTGATGAACAAATTTCATTACCCATTAGTAAAATTACCAAGAGGGCCAGGTAATTTGAAACTCACTATGAAAGTACCTGACAACTGGTCACAGATGGCCTGATGTGAAAGGCACACTTCATTACTTTCCTGCAAAGAAATGAACAAAAACAAAATAGAGATTGTGCCATGATTGTATAATTTTAAAGCCATCACAATCATCAAGAAAACAATAGTGGAAAACATTTTGTATGTGATTAGTGCTCATTTGTTAAATTTAAAATTAATTAATAAAAATAAGTATAATACCTGATTTGATTATTTAATGATTAAAATAGCATCATAAAAGCAAGGTGAATTTTAGACTTGTCAATAAAACATTAAGTTTGCACTTTTGGTCTTTTGATCTCAAAGGCTTGAGAAGATTAATGCGTAAGCAGAAAGGAAACAACTAGACAAAAGGAAATATTCAAAAGAAGAGATAAGGTACAGAGTCGAGACCATTCACTTGATACTTACTTGCAGTGATTGTTGCTTAGCTTTATAAAGTCCATCATGATACAGGAAGGCACTCCTTGTCAGTACTTTTGGAAACATCCCTTCCTGTTTTTGGATCAGGGTATGAGTTTCTTCCACTGTTCCCATATCTATTGACTTGTTTATACAATGTACAATATCCTCCACTAAAACAGGAAAAAACAACAAAAAGTAGTAAAACATCAGTAAAAACAATTAACTGTCAATTAAACAAAGTGCAAATTAAAATGATATAGATTTCAGATTGCATTAAGGTTATCATATGAGTAAACCCCTTGATAAAATTATATTGCACCATTACTCTCTAGTCTGATATTGACTAATCAAACAGTGCCTATATTCACTTACAACATAAGTGAATTAAAAGATCATGCTCCCCAAGAAGTGCTTTAAATCCTTTACATTGGCTAGGATCATTGACTTGTAGAGAAACCCAGTTTAACAGGGAAAAAGGTAGTACTCACTTTGTCTGTGTTGTTCAGCTAAATCATTAGCAGCATTGATTGCTTCCTGGATTTCTGTTTGAGTGAGATCAACATCAGAGAGACCAGTGTGCTGCCAAAAGTGATCATAGAATTTTCTCATTAAGTTTTAATGACGACACAGAAATAAACAAAGTACTGATTATCACCAGTACAAAACATTTATCTCATACACAGTTCCCAGCAAACCATAATTCATGTCTAGAACAAAGTTAATTCAGGACATGACTGTGCATAATTGCAATGTTGCCCAGGTTAAACAAAGTTCCCTCAACTGAGAACATTGCTTTTCCATTCACTTCTATTTACTTGGAAGTGTGCTCTGGTAAATGAGAAAATAGCAACAAGCATGAATGGAGCATTTTCACTTGTGTGGTCAGCAGCTAGGCATATTCACTGAAACAACAGGAAGTGTGAACACATGACTCAGTACAAATACCACAAAGTTGACTTGATAACCCAATGTGGCTGCTGTTTCACTGATTTGGTGTGTGTATACCATCATGGCCACCAAGGAAGTGCTGAAAATACCTCTTGTTTTATATTTCTTTTCTCCTCTAACAACTTCATGTACCATGACCCATTTTCTTTGGTGAAACCTGTCAACTTAGCTGCTTTGTTGGATAAAGCAATGGTCAAAGCCTCTTCATCATTATTGTTGACAGCCTGGTTAATTTCTCTGACGGCCTGAATCACTATAAACAAACAGATTATCAAATAACTATATGCTTCACACAATCAAGAGAACTCTGAAATGGGATACGAGGTGCACTTTATAGAAATAGCTGCTTGATATACTGTATTTTTTTGGTTATAAGGCGCACTTGGTTATAAGATGCACCTTTAACTCTTAAACATAATTGTATCAAGTTTACAAACTTTAAATTACTCCTAAATACTCAGCGATATTGATTTTATTGATCAGTTCACCCTTATTACAACTGTTACAATATGCTTCCAAATTTGCTAATTACAGTCCTTTCACTTTTGTAAACAAAGCAGAAAAGCCACATTATGAAAAAAAGCAAAAAGGTCACACTTTGAACAAAAGCAAAAAAGTCACACTTATTAATAACATACAAATTACTCAGAAACAGTTCCTTTAAGTTATGAATACTAATTGATCCATTTTAAAGTTTATAAACAACACTCAGCTGATGAAACTTTCATCAGTTTCAAAACTACAATCTCATTCTCAAAGCAATCATGCAGCATACCATAAATCAGAGATCATCATGCCAACCCAGGTAAAATGTCAGGCGGGAAATAGGCGGGATCCCGGCAATCCCACCCAGGATCCCAGGTGGGAATGGCGGGATCCCGCCCTAGGTGGTGGGATCCCACCTTTCCCACCTGGGATGAAAATTTGATCCCACCTGGGATCCCGCATTTAATGCGGGATTCCTGCATCCCACCCGGGATCTTAGGTGGGACTTATGCATTCTACCCGGGATCCTGGTCAGGATTTACATATCCCACCTGGGATTCTTTATCCCACCCACGAAAATATTGTTTTTCTGTTTTTATTCTTATACAAAACATTTTTGTGAGAGTTCCAATACTTATGGATCATCCACACACTCCGCAAATATTTGGCATGCGGACAAGACAGAGGTGGTCACTGTTCCCTTTGAGAAAATACACCTTTTAAATGACTTCTTCAATTTTTCTTTATTTGAAACTCTGATCTGAAAATATTTTTAAAACAAGCCTTGTTAGTAGTGAGAAGTACAAACCGAGTTTCTTTTCATTACTTAATTTCTTAAATGTCCCAATCACTGGACCTCCTAAAAAATATTACTTCTTTATATTTTTGGTGCAAAATACAATTCCTTCTTTACATACAAATGAAAAGTACAAGTCACAGTTCAATAATAACAGCTCTAAAGTTTACTTGTTGTTCTTCTCTGAGTCAGCGATCAACAAAATTTTTCTATACCTTGTAGGTCTGGTATAAAATTTTACTTGTAGTATAAAATGACAACCTTGTATCTTCGTCCTCTCCACCCCTTTCCAAGCTCGGGAACGCTTCGGACTGTGCAAAACCATTTGCAGACGAGAATTCCAATGCACCTCTGTAATCGCATGTAGTTGCTTCTGTCTCTCGTGCAAATGTTTTCTCCGTTATCGAGACGCACTTGACTCTGTTGGCACCACTGCTAGTTCAGTGGAAAGACCGACTGAGGAATCGAGATGGCTAGCTGTGTTGGAACTTGTTGCTGAACGCTTGTTGTGGTCAAGCCTTGTTGATTTGGGTACTGGTACACTGGGATCATCTAGGTATCTCTTATACTTCCTAATGTGATTGGCTTGTGTTGTTTTTCACCTTCGCCGTGAACATAACTCAAGTGGGTTTCGAGTCTTTCTTTCCTCGAAAACTTTCAGCCACAAATCGTGCATTCTTGTTTGATTCTTGTCGATTATTTCTACACAGAGTGAATTCACATCATTATTTATGTCATCATCAAAACATGAGAGGAGAACCGGTCAGAAGAGACAGAATAATGTTGCGCGCTTCTCTTGAGACTGCAATGGGTCAAGCCAGCGGAGTCTCTTTGCTAAAAGGTCCACGTGATCATGCCCGTGATCGGAAACAAAGAAAACTCCATTTGGCGCTCATCTTTGAATGTACTTTTCATCGGTTAACCGCTCTTGCTTGAAGTTGTTTCTTTTCTCAATTGTTTTGCGTAATATAACACTTCTAAAGATGAGTTTTATTGTGGTTCAATGGGAAAACGAGAACAGCGTGAGTGTTTTAAATGAAAAGAAAGTCGTTGGCGCCGTGGAATTAAAAGAAGGGACAATTAACAGTTGACATATCGACTGGTTCAAACAACGATCGAGTGGCCATTTAAAGCTAGGATTTTTAGAAGTTTGTGGTGAGTACAAATTGCCATATTCGTTACGTGATCAAAATCTTATCAAAGAATAGAAATAACGGCTTGGATTAAGCTTACCTAACGCTCAGCGCAACTGAAACTCAAATAATTCTGAGAATCGAATTGGTCACTTGCATGCTGCAGTTTCCTAAGCTTACACTTTACAATGAAATAAATCTATGAGTAAGGTTTCAAGATTACTTTAGTCACATTTGGGAACATTCTGACCTTGCTTTGCTTTGAACAATTCGACTGAAGAGAGAGCAGACTTTCAATCAGTAACTTTGTCAAATTTTGATAACATGAATTATTGAGGTTTTGTCTTTCTTCTATTCTTTGATACACATCAGCCAATTTTTTTAAACGTGGAGCCTTATTACACTGTAGATGGTCTGCTTAAATGATGAAGAAAAAGTAATATGCTGAGTTGTGCTGTTATTATTTAACAATGTTCGGTTAAGAAATTTGTTAATGAAACATATCAAACACATGCTGGTTCATTGCAAATAAATTATGAGATCTTTATCACATATAGTCTGCGTATTCATGTACTGTTTGAATCATTTATGATCAACAGCTTGGTAAGACAATGGGATCCCATTGGAGGTGTCAGTATGTTCTATAGCTAGTTGGAAAGTTTTGGACCCTCAGTGGATTGATGGGGTCTATAGCTCACCTAGAAAATATTTATCCTCTTAATTTTACGGATTAGGTTACAAAAGGAATTGATAAGATATCCTATCTGGTACATTTTATAAATCTGTGGTCTCCAGTGATTAACAGGATCCCTCAAAGGATTTTTCTGAAAGTGGGAAGCCATCTGTAATTTTATGCAGGGTCTAAACTGGGATTGGCAGGATCCCAGATGCAATCCCGCCTGGGATATGATTTCCCAGGTGGGAAACTATCTGAAATTTGAGGCAGGATCCCAGAGGGATTGGTGGGCTTATAGGTTTAATCCTGCCCGGGATGTGCTTTCCCAGGTGGGATGCTATTAGGAATTTAAGGCGGGATCCCAACTTCAATTGGCGGGATCCCATGTGGGATCCCATGGGGGATGTTCCATAATCCCAGGTGGGATCCCATGCAGGATGTTCCATAATCCCAGGTGGGATCCCATGCGGGATGTTCCATAATCCCAGGTGCGATCCCATGTGGGATGTTCCATAATCCCAGGTGGGATCCCATGCGGGATGTTCCATAATCCCAGGTGGGATCCCACGCAGGATGTTCCATAATCCCAGGTGGGATCCCATGCGGGATGTTCCATAATCCCAGGTGGGATCCTATGCGGGATGTTCCATAATCCCACCCGGGATCCCACCTGGAAAAGGCGGGATCCCACCCGGAAAAGGCGGGATCCCACCCGGGACACAACTGGGATCCCAGGTGGGATTGGCGGGATCCCACCTTATATTTTTACCTGGGAAGTACTCGTCATCATTTCTATGATCTAACTTCAAGTTGAAGATTGTAGCAGAAGTAGAAGCAGTGAAAAACAATCGTGAAATTGCTCATGAATACAGCAGATTGGAATCGATTGTCCGTAAATGGAGAAACCAGCAAAGTTTTGTTTACGGGCGAGTTAAAGATGACTGTGAAATGTGCCTCAATGGGTTTTATGTAATACCCGTATTTAATTCATACCAATTCATGCCACCATCAACAAAATGCTTTGATTGTTTGTAGTGCTCATGGGATTGAGGTAAAAGTTTGTTTCTTTCTTTCTGATGTCAATGTATTATCTATTAGTATTAAATTTCAAGCATGTGCTTTTGAGCACGTTCCCTCCTGTGGTATCACTAATGACCTTGACAGTACAGAAGATGAAGTACCTTGGGAGGAAGAGGGAGAAGAAGCAGAAGACCCGGAAGACGCAATTGACGACAATTTTGAGACAAAAAAGCAAATGCGAGGAATTAACAAGTAGCTTAGCAGAGCTGACCTGCGATAAAATGGTTCTTTTCAGAGCCACCTGGGTTCTTTTCAGAACCACAAATCTCAAAAATTAATGACCAGCAACATTTGTCTCATGTTTACGGCATTTAGAGTACTTCAGTCCTTTTATCTGGAAAATTTAGCGAATTTTATATTTTTTGGCACAAACATACTCGGCTATAAGACGCACCCCGAGTTTAGACCGGATTTCAAGCAAACAGGTGCATTTTCTTTGAAAAAATGTTGCACCTTATGACCAAAAAAATACAGTAAATAATTATCAATGGTTCATGTAAACTGAAGATCAAAGAGTGGACTACTTGCACTCACTACAAAGATTTAGACAACTTGTACTCACTCTTACAGACACCCTAATATAGTGGCCCTCAGAGCAGTAGCCACAAAAACATTTATACCTGTAATAAGCTCTAGAATAATCTGAAATGTTCTTGCCCCCTACTACAGATTAGCTCCCATATGTGTATACCTGTCATTAATAAAGTTAATATTAATAAAAGTTATGGACAAGACTTAAAATAATTTGTGAATAATCATGGTTTGGACTCACATGCTTCCTCTGCTTTCTTTCTTTTGATCGCATCATTAACCTGACTGACATTTCCTTGAATTTCAGCCTGAGTTAGGAGCGTGTCATATACATCCATTCCCTCCTTACTTGGTGACTATTAATTAGGTGCACAAAAAAAGAAAAATTATTAACAAATTTTAAATCATTAATTAACAATTACTGGTAAATGCTGAACCAGGTTAAACATACTCTTATGGTGTGATTGTCTTGGTGAGTGTAGTCCTGAGAGGGACCATTGTCCATAGTGTCCCCACTACCAACTTAAGTCCTTCTTGGGACTACACTCAATGTGAATGATCATACTACACTATCACATGTTACCCCTGTGGTTCAAACTATTTATTGTACTGCATTAAATGTATTCAAATAATTCACTCTTACAAATTGAATAATTCCTTCTTTGTCAACAGGATCAAATCTCCATATTTGGAAATTTATGTGCCCAATCATTTATTTTAATTCGACATTATTGTCTCTATTTGAACTTTTCCATTCAAATTTTAAAGACAAATTTTATCTAACTTATGAAACCATGGAGGACTGTTTTCCCAAAATTTACCCCCATTGTGCATGCAGGAATGCTCAGTTTAAAATTTGACTCTTATCCACTTATAGAAACAGGCAACTTGACATGGTTCATTTGCAATAGTTAATTCCACAATAACTATAATAAGATTTGTAATCAAGTTGATGTTCACTTTGCAAATTTGTAAAATCACTATATTTGGTGGGAAACCAGCTTTTGACATCCCAGTTGCATTGTCAATCCCACTTTTGATTTTAAATTTCTGAGTGCCTAGCATGCTCACTTTTCAAACCTATGTTTAATGCCCTATGGAAAACAACACACCTTGGCTAGAGCTTGGGCAGCCTTAGTAGCCTTAGCTTGGTAAAGGGCCTCCTGGTACTCCTCTGCGTTATCTGGACTTATGTCAACTAAGTGTGCACTAGGATTGTGGAGAGCCTCAAGAGTGCCATTTGCATCTTTGTGGTCAATTGCATCGTTAATGGCAATCACTGCAGCATGCACTGTAAGAAACAATAAAATTATCTCCTGATATACTTTTCAAGATAAAGAAGAAAGAAAATTTAAGAGTGAAAGGTGAACTGCAACAATTACTTGAGTTTGTGGTGAATGTTTTTATTAGTAAGTACACTGCAAAAGATGCCTTCAGCAATGGAATTTTTCAGTGAAGGAGCTACAATGCAGCAAACTACTTGGTCTCCCTTGTAGCTGTCATTTGTATTTTGCTCATGACAAACTCTCTCCCAAAGAGCAATTTCTATGATAAGCCTACGTAAATAACCCAAAGGAGACTACCAAATGCCAAAAGAGCATGAACAAAAAATCTGCCTGAAAGGGTGGTCATTTGTAGTAGCTGAAAGAATGATGAAAAAAGGAAAAAAAAAAGAGATCACTAAATTTGTAATTGATTGAGTTAAAAGAAAAAGGTAAAAGATTGTACAAAGTATGCAAATCTAACAGAGTCGCCTCTTCCAGAAACTTACATGCAGCTTCATCCACAGGCATCTAAAAAAGAGAGATAGACATTAGTGATTGGCTATAATAATATCATCATCTTGCTTGAAAACCATATATTAAATATAAAGAATATTTGTGTTAACACACCTCACTTTCTAAAATTCCACCAATCTTGCTGAAGGCTGGCATTTGAATTCCATACTTTTCTAGCTCCTTTCTCATGGCACTAATCTGTTCCTCTGCATAAAATTAAAATATATTGAATTTATAAAGTGCAATGAAACCCAAAGGTCTCAACTACTGATGTATCACTTGGAGACATGTCTACGCCATTAATTGTTACCAGTAATAATCATTGTAACTAGTAATACAGAGTTTGAAATAATGCCCACTCAACAGACAAAGTCCAGCAAAAGATGGCTTTTGTCTGATTAGATACACGGATGTCCCAACATTTCTTTATAGGCAAGGCTGCAGATTTAGTAATTTAATACTAATAAAAATGATGAGGGGAAGGAGAGGGGGAGGGCACTAAAAGAGGCATGTAATGAACATTTGCTTGCCAGAAGGAGGCTGAAGCAAAAATAGGGTTTAAGTCAACAAATACCCTATAATGTTATTAATTGCATCAAAAATACAATTATCTCATCAAATTAAACCAGAGAAAAACTTACCAGTAAATTTGGCCTTGCCATACAAATCTTGTATTTGTGGTGCTAATCCTAACTTGAACAGGAACAAACTAGGCAAGTAAAAAAAAGTATACACAACAAGTTAAGGGAAAAAGTCACTCTTGTTAAGGTCAAAAATGACAAAGTATAATAAAATCATAAGATTGTAACTCTTGCCCAACATGGTTCTTTTTTTCTCACGTCAGGTCATGGCAGGTTAACTAACAGGGTCACCTCAAATCTACACAGTGACTAACTCAACAACTATCGCTGATGATAGAGTGTCTTACAAACTAATCAAATTTCCCCTATTTTGAAGATAAGAAAAATGTTTTAATTTTGATGAGCTTTTCCACTCACATTAATATCAGACTACAAAAGAAAACCAAAAATGCTCATAGATCAGTTCAAAGGATGAAAACAAGGATTAACCAATAAGAACTAGCACATCCTTGATGATAATTTTTTTTGGCAACAGTCCATGATTGAATAAATTCTGTATATATACTTTGTTGATTTTCCCATTGTTTTAAATATGAACAAGTATTCTCATGGAATTTGTGAACACTTACAAACACTTACATGGCAGGAAGTGTATTAAATTATACATTACAGGTTACAACTTTTAAAATTTGCAGAAGCCAAATCAACATTTTTTATTTATTTGTAATCACTAACTTATTAACATGAAGTTGACCAAAACAAAAGTGCATTGCAAAATTTTTTTTCCAGCAAATACTAAAGCAAGTTCTAAATAAATGGTCAATGTTACATCCAAACAGATTTTTGGTTCCTTACCCTCAGCTGACAGTGTAGGGTCATTCTATCACATGAGCTCGGTCAATGGTTTACACTTGACAGATCACGTAAATGGTTTACAATTAAGAATAGACTTTGGCATCTTTAAAACAAAAATTAGGCCAACCAAGTAATCTTGAGACAATTTCTAAAATTAATGATAATGACTCATCCATAAAAAATTCCCACTTGAAGAAAACAAAGAAACACGAATCGACATGCAATCAGCAGAGATGCAAATCAAATTATTATTTTCTTATTCCTGGACGAGTTCTTTAGTGATTGCTAAAAGAAAAGAAACATTTCAAGTCTCAATGACTTTCTCACCTCAGTGCATGGATACAATATATTAGCTTTGGCATATTCTTTCTGTCATAAATATCCGTTGTTTCAGGGAAGAAGACCTTGGACAACAGACAGATTCTATTAATAGCAAATTCTTAGAAAACGTTAATGCACAGATGTGCTGGCTAGATAAAATAATAACATATTAACAAAGCAATAACAGTAAATTTTAGATACAAACAGACTGAAGACACTGTAGAGCTTATTGAATTTGAGACAATTTTAATACTGTACATACAGATAACTAACACGCGCGAAATATTCCAGAATAAACACTTTGTACATCGAAGTGTACATAAATGCCTTCGTGCTAACTGTAAAGAAAAACATACAGAATTTTCCTTAGAGAGGAGTTACTAACCTTCGGTAGACCAACTTTACCGCAGCTGTTCATGAAGTAATTAATATTATCCGTGTGACGAAAGTGAAGTCCCCGAGTCTGTAAAACAATAACTGTTGGTCTAGGTTAATTAGCTACGAGCTCTTGCAAAGTTACGACTCCGATTGTGAGGCTAGCCGCACATGGCTACAAATGAAAACGAAACACCAACAAAACGGGGAAAAAATAATACAGCATATGCAAGAAACAGCACTCACATTCACTACTTTGAATTCTTTATCAAATATTTTGCGCAGGGGTACCGTCTCGGGGGAGAAGAAATTTCCCAGTTTTGCTAGAAACACACCATTCCTGAAAGCCTCCTCTAGTTCAGTCGTAGGTGGCAATTCCTCCTTCAGGCAAGCCTCCATCCATCTAAAAATGATAGCAAGAACTGTGATTAATATCAAAAATAGGCGGTGGAGCAAAAGAAGGAGTTCCAATTCAAATTATATTTTGATACAGTGTTTACGCTGTTACAGTTGGGCGAGGGAGTAGTATCAGGAGTATAAATTTTAATTCAGAAATTTAGTACATACAATTTTGCCTCTTCCAGGTGACACAGGTATTGATAGGCCATCTGTTGCTTGCGTTGTTCGTCCATTTCCGAACCTGAAGCTCTCTCAGGGCTGACCTCTGCAAAACGATTCAGCACAAAAAATGAAAATAGAAAAACTCAGGCTCGAAGATCACCGATCGCAAATTCATTTGGGTTAATTTCTTACCATCGCCAGTGTAGGCCCCAGTCGAGTCATTCCACTTCCCATCTTCGTGTTCCACGCCAATTTCTGGTGTTGCCATCCTTCATTAAAAAGAATTTATCAAAATGAAAATACAGAACCAGAAACTTGGGGGAGGCACCTGATGATTATGCTTTAACCAGCATTCTGGGCTACTAAGAAAATGGAGGGAATTTCGAAAACAACATAATATATTATAGGATGGGAACATGCTAGAACCCAAGCCCCTTTGGAACCAACCTGCCAGGTAAATAAAATATCCATAACAATCGTTATTTTCGCGTGGTGGAATGTCTAATGTGCATCTCTAACATGGCGTAGTACGAAATTTATATCCCTTCTGGAAATTTCTTAATATTAAAAGCATGGAGAGACCCCACTCCAAAGAGGGATTGTCCCTTCCAGCTATTGCCAATAACAGCAACACAGACGAAAGGTTTAGTCGTATGGAAAATTTAGAGGATCGTTTGGCTGTTCAGGAAAGGACTACAAGATCCCTCGTAGACAGAGCGCTTTCGGTGAAAGAAGATATTATTGAAAGCTTGAGTATCGCTCAGATGAGCTGGCAAGGCGAGAAAAGAGCCAGGAGCTTGCTGCAAGAGCATATACGAACAATAACTACTGTGGTGAAAAGACTGAGTAAGGAAATTGAAACTTTGGAAGGCGAGATCAGGTCGAAGCAAAGTCTAGTGGAAGGGCAAAGCACTGCTGTAAAAAACTTAGAGCTTCACCATGTCGCCGGTGTCACGGATTTGAGAGGACGTGTTGCTAGATGTGATGCGGCAATTCAGAGGCTGGTATCGGATATGAGAAGTAACAACGAGGTTATAAGCGACTTCAAGCTAAAGCAAGAACAGGCAGTCAAAGATTGTCGGGAACAAATAAGCTCTTTAGAGAAGGGGATTAACAACTTGACGCTTAAAATGGAAAAATATATCATGGACCAGTCAAACAATCTCGAAAAGTTGAAAGGGGAGTCCGATCAACGCGTTGTACATCTTGACTCTAAGACAAAAACAGTCGTTGAGGATATCCGAGGTAGTATTTCTTCAAATCGCTTGTGGGCCGAATCGGAATATTTTAAACTGACGCAAGATTTTCAAACCAGGTTGGAAAGGTTTGAAGGTCTTATGGTTGAACGTCAGGAAAAACTAGAGAGAAGGGTTGACCATTACCTGGCAAAAGTAGATCGACTTCTGGAAGATGAAAAGAGCAAATATTACAATATCTGGGAGGTGAGACTGAAAGAAGTGAGGTCAGAACAGGAAAGGAATCTCCAACTATCCTTGACTCAAATGAGAGATGAATATAGAAAGGGATTTAACAATGTTCATGAAAGTATTTCAAGCCTTCAAAAAGTGTTTCATGCAAAATTGAAATTGCTGGAAGATGATTTGCGCAAGGCTATTAATAATGTCTTAAGAATGGTAGTTCTTGTTTGACAAGTGTTCACTGTCTAATAATGAGGTAGAGGGTCTATTGGGGCCAGTGGACTTCTGCCTTGAGTAGAGTTGACTCTTTGAAGGAGGTATTTCATAATTATGGCTTATTGAAAAGTATCAAAACCAAACCCTAAAAATTATACCAACCCAATTACACATCCCCATATTGGACAAGTAAGTGTGTCCTCCCCATGCCCTCCCCTGTGAGAATCATGTTATCAGTGGTGGCCAAGAAGTTTGGTTGAGTCTGAACTTTATATATTTCAAGATGAACACTGTACTACCATATCAGTCAGAAAGGGAAACATTTTGTAACTTTTGATTGATTGTGAATATTTTTGTTAGAAGTACAACTACTTTATTCAAAGATTGTGCTCATTAAGTACATATGATTTATCTTTATAAATTCCACAAAGTAGATTATTCTTGCATTGTCACATTTTGTTTAATAAGGGCCCAATTGGAAAACTATTTTTTGTAAAATAACTAACATACTATAAGTGCCCTGATGGGTCAAAAACCTTTTGATAATTTCACTGGTAGAAGATTGAAGTTAATTGTACAAAAGGATTGAACCCAACTTTCTATCAGTTTAGTGGCATAATAACCAACTTGGGATGTTGGGAGAACACTAAATAAGTTTTTAACTCTTGAGCAAGAGGTAAGTGATATGCAAACTTTTTTAGTGTTTTCCCAACATCCCACACGACTTAATATGCCAGTGAGCTGATGGGAAGTGTGCTCTATTGCTCAAATAATTAATAGCTAGTAAGAGACATATTCCCTTATGTCATAAATGTCTGCTAGCACCTACTGCTAGAAAAAATTCTTATTATTCTTTTCACTTTAAGAGCACCAGACATCTAGCCATTAGTTTCAAGTCATGATTTCAATTCCAATAGAGGACCAAGATTGTATACTCAATTACCAAAGTTAATCCTAAAGCTTTCACATTTAAAAACCAATTTTCTGTTGTAGTGATGAACCCATAGCTATTCCCTTAGAGAAACAATAAATGACAATGAACATAATGGGAATTTAACAGGGGACTTTTCCACAAGGTGGCTCTTCTTTTCAACTGTTTTTACACCAAATTGTAATTTAGCATCTTATTGACTCAGACATGATGTTGGCATTAAAAATTAAAAGGTGTTAAATCATGCCCCAATGATTCTCTTAGGTTCGGCAACATCCTGCACTACTTGGTGTTACAACAGTAAATTGAAGAAGAGTGTAGTATATTATTTCAGGGAAACTTCCCTTAAACATGAGAGCAAAATCTCTATTCTTAAAGAAACTTTGATGCATACCTCTCTGTAAAAATTGGCCCTATTCCTTAATTTGCCATGCTAACAAAAAATTGGTGTTTCAGTGAGGACCTGGAACATTCCAATGACTCTCACATCAGTGATTAACACATGAAAAATGAGAAAAGATTAATACTTACCAAGCAATACAAAATAGTACAAGCATATATTACCACAGAAATCGGTGAATGATAACTATATTTTGTCTGGGTTTACTATGGAATGTTTTTATTGTTTTCATTTTTACTTTAAGCTATGATTGTTTTGTACATCAAACTCTTTTCTAAATTCCTCACTAATTGTGAGACATTAAATTTTTTATTTGAACCTCCTTTCAAATTGGATGTATCAAGCTTAAGTCTCTTGAAGACCCAAAACTTTTCATGTTCAGTGAGAGGAAGAACTTAAAATTGCTTGAACTTTTGCAAATCAGAGTTGCTTATTCTCCAATAATCGCTGTTCACTTACCAATGACTCTTTTCACGTTGTTTTGATTATTTATTAAGTTACTGTATTGCTGTGCTTGTTAGACAAAACTCTTTCTACTCAAGAAGGAATTTCTGGCTAATTACTCATTTAACTGCTGAAATGACTGTTTCTGTAGGAAGTGAAATGAGTTGAAGACAACAACATTTCTCGCAACAAATAAAGTCTCTACCCTGAGAAACTAACAGAAAATGATGGTGCTTTGCATTCATCCAAAACCATTAATCCCTTCACTGCCTACATGACATACTGAGTATGTAACTAAATTTGAAGTTTGTGTGGCTACATGACATACTCAGTATGTTGAAAGTTAGAGAGTAACAGTCAAATCCCCAGCACTGAAGATGTAAAATAACCTGGCATCTAAGGCTAAAAACAGTTTAGAAGACTGGTAAGAACTAATGCCCAGTTCCACATCTGGCAAAACAGATTTAGTGTCCAATTCTGAAAAAAAGAGTCAATTTGTGTTGGCACAAGACTTCTCATTATGATTGGCAGCAAAGGGGTTAATTGATTGATATTGTCAATCCATAACAGAACATTTTATTACTTTCAATCCAAGATAGATCTTATTGATTTTAAAACCAGTTTCTTGAAAGTGTATAATAAAGATTTAGATGTGGGGAATGATATCACCCCTAATTAGAAAGTTGATGAGTTCTGGTGGCTTGGATGAACAAAATTTGGGAGGCAATTATGTATTGTTACAATGATATCAAATGGTACAGAGACAAAACTGTAAAACACTGTTGTTTTTGGTTATCTCTTTGCCAGGAAGGAGAAGTAATCCATGCCACATTAACAGCATATAAGGGCTGATTTCTATGATAATTGGCCAACCACATGCAACATAACATTCATGGTACTCTTGAAGGTTTCTGGAGAGGTGACTGAATTTAATATAACTCCAAAACTGAGAGAATCACTCATCAATCAATACTGCACATGGTTATGAAACAGCAGATAATACCCACAGTGAATGTCTACCAGTAACTTTGCTTATTGTCAAACTGAGTTTTCAATCTTTGTTCTCATCTGCTAACTACAACATAACTTCCTGTGACCTTCAGAACATTCTAAGACCCTTTTAATTTTCTTAGGTGGCCACGGAAAGCATTCCATTTTCAAAATACATGTAGTTCTCATGTGATCTCAGAGTATTTTGGACTTTTATTCAAATAGTTGTCATGCATAATTTGAAAGATAGATATTGTGTCTATGAGGAAAAATATGATCTATAGTACTGTGGAGAAAAGTTATTGTCCATTCTTTCACAATAAATGTTTGACGACAGTCACATGACTGAAATTCTGACATCACTGCAAGGCTTGTTTAATTTCTTTGACAAGCATAGAGCTAATTGCCATCTTTTCACAATTCACTGTAATGGAGCTGCTTTTTCCATCAACAGGTACTTTAACTGTCACAAGAACATGTGTTCCTCCAGAGATGGTGCGAGCAGCAAATCGGTATGTTGATGCCCCCTCAGAAAGGGGCGTGATAGCAATGTAGGTGATAGCAGCAGCCTCCTTCACTTTTGAACATACCACTTCTTCAGAATTAAGGTTGCCAGGTATATCTACTGTTCCAGAACTCTCATTTAAGCCTCGAAGTTTACCTGAGAGGAATTTGTACAGGTAAAATCCTGCTGTTATTATCATTACCAGTAATGTAAGGGTTGTGGTTTAGTTTTAACTTTGCATCAAAAATAAATTTTTTTTCATTGCTATTTCCACATCAAAGAACAAAGGAAAACATAATTAAAACCAAGACTAAATTGAACCATACATACACTAAAAACTGTTCTCAGAGTCATATTATAGATGCTTTATTATAAAAACCTGACAAAATAGCACTCTGAATAATGAGGAATTAAGAAAGATGGAGGAGGAATTGTTCCTCAAAATGCCTTGATTTTTCTTTCAAATTTCCAAGGAAGAACGTTTGCAAATTACACTTGAATCAATCTTCCACATCACTTTATGTGGCTGTACAGGTGTTTAGCAATGAATATCACATATAATATGTTGTGAAAGCAATCATTATCTTCTTGAATACCCTCTAAAAAGGAAAGTAAGGGTGGGTGATAGTTGGATTTCTGTATAAAAAATACAAAAAGCAACACTAACAAATTGACCAGATTTGATTATGAAAGGGTGAAAGAGTGTGGAGGCAAAAGTAACCAGTTTGACTAAATAAAGAATACACCCACCTTGTTTGCTCAAGAAGTCAGCTTCAGTCATGGGACAGCCCTGTAATAGTTCACCAACAGGTGCCTTGATGCTAACTGGAAACTTACTGGATTGAGTACTAAAAGACAACCCCAAAAATAATGTCACTTTTAAAGGTAAATCTCGCAGTCCTGGGGCACTTAGATTGATTGTCTTTTTCAGTTACACAATGACTCAATAAAGACATTTCCAAATATGCACATGTATCCAGGAAAATAAAATAGCTTATACAAACTGTACAAAGCTAAATTTGGTTCCAATACTTATTGCTCTACTTTCAATACTATTTTGAGAGCAGAGTTTCACAGAATTATTTATAAACTAAACTGAATGCAATTGTATCAACACTTTTCAACAAGTAGTCATTTTATGAACACCAGTTTAAATGTGTGACAGTGACAAAACACATTGTTGTTGTATAATGGCAGCCTACAGAGGTCAGTTACTGATGGCAGCCCCACTTTTAAGTTACATCTGCAGATCTAAGAATTCTACATTAGCGTCACTGATACTACAGGTTCTAGTAAAATGCCCTGTACCACAGATGAAGTGTGAAATGAAACTCATTTAAAACTTCACTATACAACAATAGAGAAACTTAACTCACCACAAATTAAAACTGGCAGGCTGAGTTGTATCATTAAAATCAATTCCTACAGTCACTGCAATGGTTGCACCTGGTGCAAGTGATGCTATGTGAGAAATAAATAAAAGATAAGTTCATGAAATAAGTTTAGCAATGATGACCAGTTGATAACCAATCTATTTAATGTCAAATATAAGAGCTAGATGAAGTTAGACAACCAGAGGTACATACAAACAATCTCACTTTATTATTTTGTTTACCAAGGTGTATTTTTTTATCAAATTAACTAAAAAGTAAATACAATATCTCAAGAACCCATCTGTTAGGTAGTTCAATGGGACAGATGTTGATTATATTTTGCACATGGGGAGAAGAATCCCTGCTGAACTCTTCAGCACTAGTACATGTAATACCAAAGGTGTCCTAAGCTAACATCTTAAGAAAAAGCAAACAATCAATTCATGAAAGCTCCCTGCACAGTGAGATGGGGTGTTAAGTTACATGGACACACAAGGAGTGAGTAAGTTCTATTAATCTTCCATGTAAAACTTTTATATTTCAGAATATTTAGTGTTGTAAATCGACCATATTTTCTTTCCCCATACTATTTCTTATAAGATGTTCAAATTCTCAACAGGTCCTTGCATAACTTAACATCAGGTTACACGACGCCTGACGCTGTCATGAATTAATCTTTTGCTTTTTCTTGAGACATGAGCTTGGGATGCCTGTGGTAATACAGTAAGCTCGGGCCTGCAACTTACTGATTGGTTGAAAGTCATGCATTTTCATCCCTGCTCCTAGTTTCTGTATCACAAAAAGACAAACAAACTTAGATTAGGTATAAAATTCAAACAAAGTTATTAATTTATCCCTGCATGACCAACATAATTAAACCATCACAAGCACTGATAAAAATTTTTGTTCACTGGCAAAGTCCCAGCTTTCTGATATCTCTTCTCTTCAATTGCTCTGTTCAAAATAAAGGTTTTTAATAGACATGTGACCCTTTAAATAGACCTTGAAAAAAACCTAAACGAGTGGGAGGACAAATGATTAAAAACTTGCCTTTTCTTCCACAGAAATATTAGAAATGGGAGCTTCAGAGTTGTTGACCAGTGTTACTTCCACAGCTACCATGGATGTGGAGTAAATGCAAGGACCTCTTGTAAATTTGTAACTGCCACTGAGTCCTTTGCCCTGCATGCGATGGAGAAGCTCGTGTGATTTTGCAGATGAAAAACTTGGACTAAGCTGTTAAAAGAAAAAATAAAATTATTTTGTGACTCTAAGAAATTTAAGAACCACACTGCTTTGTAAAGTGTGCGATTCAAAAATCTGAAAGAGGGAAATAAAGTTTCAGGGCTTAGGTCTACAATGCCTTTTCAATGAGACTTTGAGTTCTGTTTCCTGCACATCAGACTTGCAACTTAATACAATGTATGAAAAATATCGCCTGGATGGGGACTTATGAAAAGATTTTGCTCATCATATAAATGTCAAACAAAGATATGATCTTTAACACAGTATCTTCACTTACTGGGGCAATGACAGTAGGTGCATCATTTGAAAATGATAAAGATTCGATCTCAGAAGCAAGACTTGGTGACATTATGTTACTGGAACTTGAACCTACACTGGAAGTCACTGGTTCATTTACTGCAACAAAAATCATACCATCATTTACTTGATTGAAGGATAACACTACTGATATACCCACAAAACAGAAAATTTTCTAAATATCTACTCTTCAGATATAAAATGATTTATATCAACCATGTCCTGTTTAGTTAGAGAGTCTGTGGGTTGTACTTACAGTCATCAAGAATCAATAATGTGTTTCCCTTGTCCAAAGCTGGTTTTCCTTGGGGTGATTTTTCTTGCTTGGTAGTCTTAACTGGTGTCTTAGGTTTCTTTACTGGAATCTAAAATAGAATGGGATGTAAAATCCCTCTTCAACTAAAAAAGCTTGCTTAAGCATTTTAAATCTTTCTATATATGCAAGTACAAAGGATCTGCTGACATGAGCCTAACACATAGCTAAAATTTACCCTCATGTTCTCTAAAAGAAATGATAATGACTTTTTCCACTCCGACAAAACTCCAACCACATTCAATGTTTTTTCCAGCATGTGGTTTACTTCCCCATTCCCCAGGTCTTTAGTGTGGTTTGTATCATTGTTTCATTTGACAGTTCATTTTTGAAATTCATCTCAAAAAACTAAAATACAAATTAAAACACCATGACCTTTGTCAGACTAGAGCTAGACTGTCTGACCAGGGCTTAACTGCTTTGAGAGTTACAAGTACGTTTTTTAACCATAAAAAAAAAACAACAGTGTAACATATGATTGAAGGTAACCTTCTCATCTTCGGATGAAATATCTGAACTGTTTTCACTGCTTTCATCTGTCTCTGACTCTGAAGATGACTTCTCCTCACTTTCACTTGCATCACTCTCCTCCTCACTATCACCTGATAAGAAGAAGCATGCAAAAATTAAATACTTTCAGAGTCTTTTTTTCAGAGTTTTTAGGTCCATGTTGCAAGTTATTTGATGCTTGATTTGTGGTATCTGCAGGAGAGAGGCCCTATTGAGGGGAGGGAGGGGGGTCTGAGTATCCCATATTCTATCAATTTTTGGCCTAAATATCCTGTATCCATTTATTCCTGTGGATGGTTTCCCTATAATTTCAGTTTGATATCCCGGAATCTCTAATGTAAATATCCCTTATACCATTTAATTTTTCCTTAAGTACCATATGTCCTTATAATTTTTTCCCAAATATCCCATAGGACATAGGCCTTGATAAGTCTCTCTGTGGACCACATGAGTTATGTGCTATCAGACCTGAATCTCTGTGAATAACCATTACTTATGCACATGATCTCATTTGAGGAATATTGTAACCAGTACCCTTAGTAGATGCCTCTGATTCCGTCTTGCTCTGATCCTCATCTTCATCCTCTTCTGAACCACTGCTGTTTCCACTCTCTTCCTCACTGTCACTCTCTGATATTTAACAGTAAAAAAATTAACCTTAATCCAATAAGTGACTTTGAGAAATCCCCATTTCTATCTTCTATGGCTGTACATGTACCCAAAAAATCTCTATCCATGAAGGTAAATCTCTTGAACAAAATACAATTGCTTTTAAATCAAGCACAAAAGTGGAAAAAAAAAAAGAAAAAGAAAAAGAAATTGGTTAGAGTGATATACATTAGAGTAAAGTCTAAGTGCAAAGCTTTTCAATCAATCAGTTTCTAGAAGGCACCCACCACAAAAATTTCATGACATGGTTTGAAAAAGGGTAACAGAAACATCAAATTAAAACATATTAGAAAAAAAAGTGAACTAGCTTCATTGTTCGAGAGGGTAAGTTTCTAAAGAAACTGTGGTGCTGCATTATTGAGGGAGTTATAGCAAGATAAACTTGGTTTCATCAACTGAGTTGATAATGTAAATTGGCCACCGTAAAGAGTTTCAAAGCCAATGTTTCGAGCATTAGCCCTTCATCAGAGCTCTTCATCCTTTTGCTCTGACAGAGCATAGCATACATAACTGCTCTTTACACAACATTCAAACCATGCCTTGAAATAATTTGCTCATGTCAAATTTGTGTTTATTCACATATGTAGCACTTGAGGTAGTTTCTCTTACTTACACCTCTAAAAAACTCTTGCATATCTTTCTATTTCTCCAAATTTTCTAGTAAGTGATTTATGTCTTGATAAATGCAGGTTGAGGCATGGACCTGTCAGTTAATGTCAATAAAAAGCTGAATTAAAGTATCAAAAAGTTATAACTGTCTCGGAATTTGGATAATAAGTTGTATCCACCAGTCTTGTTATTCTGGGAGCTATTCAAACAAAAACTGACATCTTTTTCACAAATAGTAATACAAAATAGAATACAACACCTTTCATACCTGATTCTGAACCTGATTCTGTCTCTGACTCCGAGTAAAAAGAAGTTTTCTTTGCTTTACCAGTTTTCTTCCTAGAGCTTGTTCCCCATACTGGCTCAATCTTAAAAGCAGTAACAATATTTTCATAGTCAGTTAGCCCTCCAGAAAATGAGTAGCAGACATAGAGGTACAGTATGGGGAAGTAGTGTGGGGGAGTGTTGGTGCAACATCAAGCTAAATGCATCTAGTACTCACTTCTACATTTCTGACAGAAGGATCTGGAGCAACATCTGGAAACTGAGGTAATTCCTGATAACCATTAGCTTTAAGGTTCATCATATGAGACAAAGAGCCAACCTGAAACCCTTGGCGATCTGAAAAGAATGCAAGTTGAAAAGTTAAGCAAACACAAATGAGTTTGAAGCATAAATAACTTCAAAGACTTTCCATATTTTTGCTCTGTTCTACACTGTAAAACTGTGGCATATTTTGCATGTTCCATCGCCTTAATATGGCAAAATGGAATATAAGGGGTATAACAAATTTAGGAAATCAACATGTTTCAACAAACATTTTCAAAATTTTCCCTTTAATTTGCCCAATACCTTACAGCTGTATATACTGTGTTACTTTGACATGATTAATAATAAACCTCACCTTTAAACACTGATTGTATAATTGGGGGTGGTTTTGAAGCCAAGAAAATTTTCTTCACATGTTTACTTAGATGACCTCCCTACAAAGTGTGGAAAGCAAAATTGATTAACAGCTGGTTTTTTAAGAGTTCTGTAGATTAATAGACTGGAAAAACATAATTTTTAACATCTGTGTTCATATGCATTTTTGTCACTGGTATTAATTCACACTTGCACTTCCTTGCTACAAATGCATTGACCAATTCCCCTCTAAATTTTGTTAATAACATTTTGTACACACACTTCCATTCATTTATAATAATTTAGATGATAGAATGAGCTGACTAGCAAATATGAATGTGAAATAAATTTGTAACATTCAAACATAAGATCTCAGACAAACTTTTCTAAATAACAGTTGAAGGAAAAGAGAATCTCAGGATTTGGAGATCACAGGCTCACCGTATCACTTGGAATAAGCAGTTGCCGTAGAAACCTAGCTCGGTCTCTGACATCATAACTCTGGTCATATTTTGCAAGGTTCAGTACATACTGACCAAGAAGTTTTGTCTGAAATGGATTAAAAACAAATGCTAAAGAAAGTTATGTTCCTGGGTTAGGGGTAAATCATCATATAAATTTTATTCACAATATGAAGTAAAGAATTGTTCTTTCTCCAGAGTTGCTGGGTCTAAGACTTTCTAATAGGATATTGGCAGTATACCATTTTTAATTTTTCTTTATATACAGCATTGATCCAAAGCCTTTCTCAAGAGCAAAACATAATGACTCCTATCAACCTCTCCCAAAAGACTACGAGTCAAACTCTGAGATACATGGAATAAGCATCTGAATAAATAAACACATAGTAAGTAAATGTACTACATGTGTACATACCTGTTTAGGGTTTGTTATGAAGAGCTTTGCAGCTAAATTCAAAATTTGTAACTTGACAATGTCTTCCTGCAGTGATGAAAATACAGTCAAGTAATCTATATAACGTATTTGAATTCATATCATGTTGTGTTCCAAACATTCTCTTAGTGGCACAGGTCTGCAGTCCCAGTTAAAAAAGGACTTTCAGTCTACTGTTCTTATTCATCTACTCAACAAGCCTTTGTTATACTATCACTTACTGTAACCATAGTACATTTTTAATGACTGTGAGGGTTAAGGTCACTCTCAACCTATTTACCTGAAGCTCATGTAAAATCATGCAGTACCAGGTATACCTTACCTCTGATCCAAATATTTTTGCCATTTTCCTCAAAACATCTGGTGCTACCTTTGGCACTCTTTCACAATATTCTCCTAATAACCACAGAATACTTGCTCTGGCCATTGGAACCTATTTAAAATATGAAATGCTAAGACAAAGCTACAAACAAAGAGAAAAGAACCTTGCTCATACTTCAGGATTAACTGAAAACTTATTCAAAGATTTGTGTCTAAAAAAGTGACTTTGTTTGCCATGAGCTTGAAATTCTTTAAGAGTTTTACAAAGTTGTTAAAGCTGAAAAATGTAGTAGCTTATAACCCATTCACACCAGCAAAACATCAGAAACAGAGAACTAAAAACTGACTCTTAGATCCAAGTAATTGCTATCTTGTATTTTCAGATGCTACATTTGAAGTCCACCAACATCAGTTTAAGTAACTTCTATGAGGAAAAAATTTTAAACCATGTTTAACAAAACAGCTTTAAAACATGTTTAAGCTTTGGTGTGAATGAGGTATAAGATTGGAAGTAGTGACAGTGACTTGCATACGTGTACACTAACCGTGATGGTATCTACTAATTTTGCCATATGCATGATGATCTCTGAATTCCCCTTAGGCTGCGAAAAAAAATAAAAATAAAAGTGTAACACCAATAATAAACAGCAGGTCCACTAAAATTAATTTTTTTTAAAAAATCATTGCATTTAAAACATAAAATTACACAAATTATGAACTGGTGTAACTTTGATGATCATAATAAAAATAATTTAATATATAATTTCATAATTACCTTAAGTTGTAGAAGTTTTTTGATGACCACTACACTCTCTGCTACCACTACCTCTGTTAACAGAATATATTTAACAAGAATGAATGATCTTTTCAAGAATCATCAGCCTGCAAGTTACACCTACCAGAAATTTTCATGTTAATTTTTTTAAGAATAATGTTTGAAGCTTGGTTTCTAAGCTGGTGTTGAGGTTACACCGACAAATAGTACTGGGGGGGTACTGCCTGGTTAATACAAGTACAACTAAGGTTTACATGCAGCCAACACAAAATTTTTATGTACCATCTCTGTTAGAAAGCAGTCGCACCAGGCCAGCTAAGCAAGTCTCTGTAACCTCAGAAATGTTTGAGGCACATCGCCCAATGGCTTGAATTGTTGAAGCTACAAACTGCTTATCTGGACTGGATATATAGCTCTAAAAGAAAAAATTCATAAATAGATTTGATTCACATTGATCAAAAAGATGGTAAATTCAGTGGCTCAGTTGAATCGTAATAATAGTATTGTTATGAGCATGAGAGAAGGCAAACAAGAGTTAGCCTTGTAACCTTCCAACCACTTTTGACATCAGTGCTCATAGTGGTATGAAGGATTACTTATTCAATGGTTAACAGCAAACAAAAATGAACAGAGAAACAAATTTCAAAATAAAATCCAAGTTACTTAAAATCCCACCTGGAAATAATTAGTAAGACCAATTAGTTATCTATATATAGAGAATAGCCATGAAAGTGGACATTGAAGACAAAGAACAATTCCAGCACATAGCAGAGTGGAGACAACTTAACATACATGTAGGCTGTCACTGCCTCAGCACGCACACAGAAGATAAATTGGCACCAGTTACTGCACATGAAATATTTTGAAGTTATACTTAAAAAAACCATCATCTCATACTTGGAACTCTCTAAGTATTGTGCCAATACTTGTCTCTCCAGCAATATTTGTCATAACTTCTAGCTACAATGAAAACAAGAAAATAATTAAAATCACCCACACACAGGACAGGTAAAAACTTAGTAAGGCTTTGGTTAGATTACATGATGATAATGATCTTAGAGAAAACCTGAAATTCCTCCCCATTTTTCATTACCCAAGATTTTGAAAGGAAGCCATGAGGAGTCATGAAAATTAGCTTTATTCTTATAAATTACTTACAGACACTGAAAGAGTGACATCATACGACAGGGTGTTATACACTTAAAAAACATATGAACAACCCATTTGATGTCCATTCATTAAAAATCTCAAAATTACTTCTATCATGAGTAACCTGAATAATTTACCTTTAATAAACGGATGTGTGTTGGATCACTTGAATGGACAAAGAATCCTTTCAGGTATGGCTCAAACATTCCCTGCAAAAAAATTATCCATTGACTAATTAATGTTAAAAAATTTACGTTGAAAAATTGATTATCGGTATTAGATGATTAAAAAAAGTAAATAACGAATTGATCAGAATTTTTACTATAAATACAATTGCAGAAAAACTAATTTTTAGCAATACTACCCAATCAACAAGGTCCAACAATAAACATTATTCAAGCTGCTTTCTGCAACCCAATCACAGCCTTTTAGAAAAAGCACTTTTTTACTTTGTCACCATCACTTTAACTAAGCATTAAACACAAGAGACCCATTCACCCTTTACACCTTAACATCAGTATGCCTATTCTTTATACTTTTCTCTATACATCTCCTCAGATGCTTTAAAGGAGAATTTGTTTAACAATCAAGAGCTTCCTAAGTTGGCAATAATTTCTTTTATTCTTGTGACCTTTATGTGTGACTCAGGGGGAATATTGAAAGTAGAAATAAGATGCTATTCACTCTCTACCTTTCTTGTGAAAGACATTGTTGCAATATTACTGAGGACAACACTTTGGACCTCCCTAGAAGAGAAAAAAAAAACATGACTGTAAAATTAACTATTTCAAATGTGTGAAAAATCAAATGAATTTTAGTGGCTTAGTAGTTTAGAAACACTCTTTTAAGTCCCTCTTCAGCTTTAACTCTTCAATTGTTTCAGGATAGATTTAATGTGCAACAAAATTCATGGTCACAAACTTTCAAATCTTCAACCAGAAATGTTTTAATCACTAAAAGTCCCATTTTTCCAGACTAGAAGGACAACTTTTATCAACAATTTTAAATATATTTTTTTCTCTTTGTGATATCTTGTGATGCAATAAAGGTATATCTTCAAAGTTAGTGTGTCTTAACACATGACACATTACTCTAACTTACTATGTTGGTCAATGGTTGTAAACGCATTCCTACCTGTGACTTCTAAGGAGTCTGACTAAGGAACGTGCCACAATTCCAACTTCATTTGTGGGTGCTAAATGATGATACACTCTTGCTACTGCCATCACCACCTGTTAATGATAAACAGTAGATCAAATAAGTATCCACAATCATATACTGGCTAGTTCTGCCACAAGGAATGCTGTTCATCATTTTAACTTGTTATTACAAACTGTAAGTTTCATTATTTCATTATTCAGATGGCAACTTACTGCTGCATTCCTGCTCTGAAGAAGTGGCTTACATGTCCTCAACAGAAGGCGATGATCAGGATCCATCATGTAAGTCTGCTTCTTAGGTTCCTTTCTGGATTCATCATCATCAGAATCATCATCAGAATCATCAGATTGGGGATAGAAGGCTTCCTCTGATGAGGGCTAAACAAAAGTTTATTTAATCAATTCCTTACTTGTAATAAATATCTGACCTATAGTTCTTGCAATCCAGGCAGACAACCTCACCTCTTTGTTTGGGTCAATAAATTGTGATCGGGCATATCTTGTGAGCATATGGATGACAGCAACTTGACCCCACTCATCAATGTCTATCAACAAGTTACACAGTTTGCGGTAGTTTTTGTGAATCAAATCTATTCTCTCTGGACAAACATCCTCAAAAGCCATAACAGCACTGCCTGCAACAAGCTATAAACAATGTGATAACATTACTATAACCAGAATTGAAATGCAGCCTGTCATATATGAACAAATGTAAGACACTAGGCCAGCTGGAAAAGAAAACATGGCAATGATCACTCTGGGTGATTGTTCAATCCTTACCGTTGTCTTGTCTTTCAATAGTTTCTCTATAACTTCAATAAGACAGTCTTTTTGTTCAGGATCCAAACTGGAAAAGTATAATTTTTTCTGGTTAATCTTAACTCTGCTTATGACCTCAGGGACTCTGAAAATAAACTCAATGTTCCTCTACCTTGCACTAACTATTATCGAAAAAGCTTTAGCTATAGTGGAGCCACATTATGGAATAGTCTTCCATGTGATATAAGGAACACAGAGTCTCTGGGGTTATTTAAATGCAAGATCAATGCCACTCTATAATGCATGACATTCACGGAAAACAGCTTTTAGTTATTAGTTAGTGTTTTAATTTTTAAATAGTTTTAGTTAATGTAATTGCTGATGAATTGTTTCGTGCTTAAATAAAGATTATACTATACTACTATACTATACTATACTACTTGGTTTCTATTGATGATTCAACCAAATTACAAGAGGGGAAGAAATGCAATTGCAATTCATGCTTAACAAAATGAAATAAATTAAATAAATCATATGTAAGAAGTAAAATCCTTGCAGATGACCTGCAATTAGAGAAACTGTAGATAAACTTTAACAAGTTTTGTCCCCATTCCTCTCAGGTATAGCTACATATTAAGAGCAAATCTTTGGCAGGTCTTTTGTTCCTATAGAGGAAACTTGTCATGGAAAAAGCCTGAATTTGCTTCTTCTGAAGGTCAAAATATGACTTATTTCATTACTGAGGGTGAATTTTGTCACAGAACAAAGAACATCATAAAATTTTCCTCTGTCCCAACAAAGTAGCTTTGTAGCTCAGACAGAAGTTGTGCCCAACTCACAAGGGATGCTGGACTATGGAGAAGACATTATAAAAATTTGAAATGGACCATTAAAAAAGGGGAGGAGGTGGGACTTAAACCTTGGGTAGTTTTTTTTCCTCCAGTATCTGTGGTCATAATTTTTTTTCTTAATGTAGGAGAATAAGAATGTGTGACTGAGTTAAAACAAAACATAAAGAATGGCATACCTGTAAAGTTTGGGAATGGCATGAGCAGCAGTTTTCCGAACATAAGGTGACATATCTGCAACTCCCTGGAAAGAGTTATACATTTCTTAGTCTCCTAATATTCCTGATAAGTATAATTCAGACCCCAATAGTAATACCATGGTTATTGTGGATTTCTCACTATGGGATTAGCCTTTCCAAAAGCACAGCTAATTGAACATAAAGTGAAACAAATAGTTGTCCACCAGTAGCTTAGGACAGTTATTACAATCTTTGCATTCACTTACTTCTTTTATTGCTAGCATCATGATTGGTGCAATAACAGGAACTCTGATACTTGACAAAACCCGTAAAGCACTTCCACGGATAAGTTGGTTTGGATCCTGAACATTAAGAGGCAAAGATGACAAAATTATTGTGATGTAAAAACAGGTGAAAGTGACAGGATCTGCCTTTCTTCAGTTGATTACTAGTACCTGACATTACGGGACTGAGAGTGACTTCTCTGAAAAAAAGCTAGAGTTAAAAATACTTAGAGCTAAAAATACCTACAGTTAGCAGTTTTCTTGGTGATTATGGTCATACCTCCAAGACAAATCTGAGTATTGATTAGCATTACAGAGGTTACAGGGAGGTTTATAGCTATAGAGCAGTCTGGACAAGCACACTTTCTGGGTATTCTCATTCAGGTATAATCCAATATATCATCTACAGTAGTTGCTTATTCACATGGATCTGGCCAACCTTCAGTCCTTTCTGAAATGTGCTTATAGAGAGGAGAGCTAAGTCTTGTTGTTCTTCAGCATATCTGACAAGGTACAAGTAAACCAGCTTTTTGACCTGCCAAAATAAAAAAAAATGTTGTGTCAGAGAGCATAACTTATGTCAGAATCCCTGTTACTGTTTAAATTCAAACAAGATATTGGGAGAAAAAATACCAGTTAATGCTGACATTTCAGCAATGCTCTATTAAATAACAAAAAACAAATCACTTACTTCAACATTTTTAGAGACAACATTCTTAACCACTGCAGCAAAAAGGTCTGATACATCTCTCCCATCAGCCATCATCTGCGATCAAAAAAGGTTGTAACTGACTTATAGGTTGCTAAGTAACTCCTCAGAGACCTAATGGGTGAAAGAACTTGTCACAAATCCCTAGCATGAAGTGTCTGAAAGTATTGTTCTTATCCCAGATAGCATGCCAATCTATCTTAAATGACTTTGACAATTATCAACTTGAATGTACTTAATGTGAAATAACTTCCACACTATAGACAGAGAAATGAAATTTTGAGTATAAGGTCTCTCTCATAGAAAGCTACTGCAGATATCTGCGGCTAACAATGGAACTTATAGTTGATAATCAACCAACTATATTTTATATTTACCAGTAATATACCTTTTACATTAGTTTCTTTAGAACTAGTCACAAATCATCTTGAATGACTCAAGCACATTACTAGCTTTACTTGATTATTCAACAACAACAACCTAAGGTCAAGGTACTACCATTGCAATATTTTATCAGTTTATCAGGGTACTAACCTAAGTGGGATGTTTGGAAAACACAAGAGAGACTGGTAAATTTGTTTACCTTTCCTTAAGGATTTACAAATTTATTGAATTTGTAGGTCATTACTTCAGTCTAAGAACTTCTCCATCCACAAATAAAAGGGTGTTTCATGACTGCCACCATAATTATATTATTTCACATATTTAAACTGAATGCTTTGAGAGTAATTGTATAAAGAGGTGCTTATTTCAATTTTAATGATCCCTACTGTCCCCCCTTTTTTCTTCACTACTTTTAATTTAACCCTTGGAAGTTAGCTGTGAGTGATGTTTTTGTATCATCTACAAAAATCCCTTGGGACTTTGGCTGTAATGGATCATAAACCAAAAAAAAAAGGTGGATAATTACTATTACAAAACAACTATGGGTGTATTGGTACAATGAATGATAAGTGTTTAACCAATTAGAGTACATTTAGTGTCTAAGAGGATAGTGTTAAAGCATGGCAGCTATAATGAACAAAACTGCAGAAAATCTTCATTTTTTTTAAAGTTGGTTGAGATGTATTGAGTGTAGATCTGAATTTTTATCTTCTATTTAAGGGAAAAAATAAGAGTTTATCAGTTTTTTTGACTAATACTAATACAATACTAATGTCAGTAAATTCTTTGGCTCAGGTGTCTACAAATCTATAAAGAAATGAGCTGAGGTTAAAAACATAAACGTCCTGCTTTTGACCTATTCTAGTTAGCATCACAAGACTATAAAACAGAAAATCCAAGTTCAATTACTTGAAAACTAGAGCACCAAAAGGTAGAAATCGTAATAACGTTTGTCGTGCTCCTAGATTTACACATACTGATCCAGTGTTCGAATTCCGCTATCAACCCTGTCAAACCTTGATAAAGATGAAGACTTACCCCAACAATCCTTTTCATCGCGTCCAGTTTAAGACTATCCTTTGTACTGTCTAACATATTTTTCAAATCATCGTGTCTGTAATAAAAGTTGAGATTTTGATGACCTCTGGAAATCGAAAGCTCGTGAAAGTAAGGGACATCGATCAGGTTGGTGCAAATCATACAGAAAGGACAAAAGTTACCTTTGAAAATCACTAGAAAAAAATCCGCCAGCTCTTGTATCAGGGACATCTGAGTCCCCTTCCGGTTTTTCAGCGTTGTAAGACATATTCAAAGCACTAAAAACAATGAATCAAATCTCCGACCAAGCTAATCTAACATGGCTGCCGTCGTGGAAGTTTTCCTTGTGACTCAGCCCCAGTCTACCGTGCTAATAATGTCAACAGAGGAGAAAAACCGCGAGGGACGGTGATCTACTACTAGTAACCCGCGCCATTTTCAAGAACACTTGTCGGAATAAATAATGGAGGAATTTCAAACGACTGACGGCAGAGGAAAACATAACCAGGTTAGATTTTCTTGGGTGCTCTTATGAAAGGAAATCGGGAGTGAGTTACTGGAATGATGGGCATGTGAGATTGCTCTGTGTTCTGGTCATATCGTTCCACTTCGAAGGATATATCTACAAAGATTGATACGAACTACTTTTCTAGGTTTTTACATGGCTGCAGCAAGTCTTTGGCCAAGATCATATTCCCCAGTTTGAGATAAACAGCTTCACTTTGAATGTACTGGAACGACTTGCGAAAAGAAATCTGAAACAGAATAAGCATGCTGAACTTGTCACAAAGGACCATACTCAGAAGACGGTGGAATATTCTGCTGAAGGTGCTGTACGCTTAATCTTTATTGGACACATTTTTTTGCATACACATTATGATAAAGTCTTCCTATTCTTTCGTTTTACCTCTATTTTTTACTTGTAACTATAAAGGTAGGTCTGTATGTCCAGGTATTTCTAGATATAAAAGCTTAAACATTCGAGTCTCATGTGGGTCTACGTAATTTTGGTGATTGGTTCAGAGAGATGACTTTTGAAAGTTCTAGAACTTTCAAAACAGTGCTTATACCCACCTAGCGTAAAATTTTCTTGCATCATACGAATTTCTATGCTTTAACTTTCCATGTTATCGTGAAAATGATTAATTCAGGACCACTGAAACGCATAAGGATGGATAATTTGTTTTGTCTGTAATCAGTTGAAAGACTCAGCAGGATAACAGAACAAGTGGGTTTACCAGTATCCTGCATGTCACAGTCAGGACGCATGAGTTTAAAAACCCTAGCATCTATGGCCTTGTTGCTTGGGACCAAAGACTGCTCCACTTCAAGGTAAGCAGATTTGGTGAATTATTGAATGCAACACAGTTAAGACAGTTGTTTTCCCTAAAAAATATTGAAGGAGTGGTATCCTTATTGTTATTTTGGTGCTGAGACAAATCCATTGCACTTTCTGAAGTGGACTGAAGAGAAGTGAGGGGATGGTGGTTTCTCATCCTAGTTGTCACTAATAGAAAGCGTATATTGCCCATGGCTTGCATGCAAAAAAAGAAAACAAAATCCGAATGGTATTTCAAAATGGGTTATTCATTAGTTAATTTCTGAACTGTTTTATAAAGTCAGAGAAAAAAATGGGATTTCTGATGTTTGAGTGGCTGTAGTGCAAGCTGTTGGTACCAGACCCCAAGCAAACCTCTCCTGGACTTGTCTCAAATATACCTGCAGGCAGAGAAATGGGTATCCTGTGGTACTAGTAATAATGAGGGCCTGTTCACAAGCTAAGTCCTTCTAGATGATCATCTGGGGTCAAGTATGCAATTTTCATGCTTACTTGTAAAAAGCAATAAATATCACCGGACATCATCTGTCTGCAGAGAGAAAGATCTCTCTCTAATAATTTTCACAGTGGTTTTTCATTCATTGTTAGTCTTCTGTTGGGCATTGCTGAACAAAACCAAGCCCTGTCTGCTGCAGTGGATGCTAACACAGAGGAGAAACGACTTCTGTCCAGATTAGTGGTGAAGACAAAGAAAGCACAAGCTGATGCTTCTGATCTACAGAGGTATCAACTGATAAACTCAGATTACCATATTATGCACCAATTATTATATAACCCTTTAATTCCACCAATTATTATGTAACCCTTGTACTCCAAAGATCAAAATGTCAATTCACTGCACTGTACTCCATTCACTGCTTAATTATATTTTTGGCTTTGAGAATTTGGTGTCAAATCAATCAGCATCTCCAAATTTATGGTTTCCTTTCTTCATCTCACCTTTTTGCTCCAGAATTTATGTAATTGTAATATCCATATAACACCACCAACAACAACAACAACCAAACAGCATGGTTATAATCTATTCTGGAAATACCACAAGTCTTAGTAGCTTGCTGGCCTTTCACTGTTGGAGCTTATCATGTTTTCTTTGCATGACATAACCAAAAGTATTGGTAGTCCATGTACATGGGATACCAGTCCTAGGAGCTACCCTCCAGAGTGGAGATAGGTGTTGTGAAGGTAAAATGTCCAACTAAAAAACATGGTGCAATGACCCAGCCAGAGCTTTGCCACCTTATCTCCCATATTGGAAAAAAGAGGGACTGTTAGGGTAAAGTCTGTAATCAAGCAAAGATATAGTTTACTTCAAGAGTTGCATTGTTCCAGGTCTCTTGATGGTCTCCAGGATCAAATAGCATTACAGACTCCTCAGCTGAAGAAAAATGCACAAGAAACTGACTTTGTTAAACTCAAGTGTAAAGAATATGAGAAAAGCAACAGGGAACTTGAGGTACAAGTAAAGCTCAGAACTATATATTTCTGTAATTCTCAACAATAATAAAAATGTCCATTTATTAATTGAATAATAAGATGTTTGTCACTAGGATCACCTTGCTCAAAACTGACCAGTCTGATTATTGAAAATGAGCCATGATTCCATTATAAGTGTCTTTGTCATCTTTGCTTGCATTGTCCTTAAGAAGGGATTGGCACAACTGAATTAAAATAGAATCATTTACCATTTCCAATTATTCTCAAATTGTTCTATTGGTGAGTGATGCATTTAACTTTAACAACACAGTACTGTATAATGATTTCATAATTTTTGGTTCACAGCATACCTAAATGTTACTGGTCAATGAACTAGGTTATTTCTTGCCCAGAGATTCTTTAGTTGTAATTGGACATGATATTATATTCCTGGATTATGCTGACTGCACTTCAATGAATCCACCAACCACCTAACTGGTTAAAATAACCTTTCATAAAAAGAGCTTGCCATCAAATGATCCAAAGCTGCAGATTTCTCAAAATGGAGAGATAAGTAAATAAGAATGTCTGTATTAAAGATGTTTCACTTATATTATCACAGTTATTTGCATGTAAAAATTAGAATTACAACTCCTTTTTTCTTTAAAACAATTTGTTTTTCTTGGGAATTGGACATTTTTTAATAAGATTGTGATGAGACTTCAGGTTGTACAGTTAAGCCTTGTTTGAATATCTTGGCATACAGGTGGCCCCTTCAAATGCAGAAAAGTATCAGATGCAACAGAGCATACAAACCAGTTATGTTGTTGTTTGATTATTTAAGCCTGCTAGGTATAATTCAATTTATACACAATGTATTAAATCTTTTTTTATATATATATTTTGTAGGGATATCAAAGCAAAGCACAGTTAGATTCCTCAATGTACCACAATTCCCTTGTTAAGAAGGCAGAGGTATCAACTTAAGCCATCCTATTCACTGTACTTGTGTACTCTACCTAATCAGAGGTCACTCCTTTATACTGATCACTTTGGAAATTTATTGTGAAAGGTTCTGTTAAAAGGTGGAATATCAGTCAGTCCAAATTTTCATACCTATATATTTTTTGATACTGATAATAATGAGTATAGTATCCTTAGTGAAAAATTTAATGGTAAATATAGAATGTGTCAATAAAACCCACTTGCCATCTGAATGAAACTATTCAGCAAAGGTAACAAATAGAAGGGGAAACTATTTTGGTTTCCCTAAATTTTGACGTACTTAATATGCAACACTAATACAACTGTAAACATCCTTACTCCTTTTGTAATAATTATATCAATTTTTTTTAAATTTAAAACACTGGTCAAATAAGTTAAATTTGGTGATAAATCCTTTGTAAAAAAAAAAGAAACATTATGGATAACATGACTCAAAAATAACTCTGAAAACCTATCATGATGATGACCCAGTAAAGACTGTCATGTAACTTGCAACATCATTCTTTCAATTTTCAGGAAGTGAGACTAATTGAAGAAAAGATGAAACCAATGAAGAGGAAGTTAGAGGGTTACCATAGCCTTCCACCTGTAAGTGGAGTCTTGTTCAACCCTATAGAGCAAACTTTCGTGAATTACCTTTGGCTTCTCGATGAGACTTTGGTACTTTTGAATTGTTATTTCAAACTGCACTGTACATCATTCTTTGATTTGAAGATTTTAATAATAAACAGAAGATAAAATGGCTAGTGTAAGAGACAAATTCTACCTTATTGTGCTGGAAACACAAAAAATACCTCAGAGCAAAACTGTACAATTGATTTAAGCCATCCTGCACAACCATGCAATATATTCTATATTTTAATGACTACCAAGTTATCTTTCACTATTATGTATTAGCTCATGTAAATGGTTGACTTGTAATTTTAGGAAACCAATTTTTGTGTGTCATTATTTTTTCAAGGATATTTCTCAAGCTAAGGTGAAAGTTGAAGAAGCAAAAATACAATTGGTATGTTTTCCCCAATTAAACATTGAGTAGTACACAGTTGTACATTGAAGTTTGTTTCAAACATGTCTCTCCATCACTATATTCAAATTATTGAAGCTCCAGTCATTCATACCATGTTTTCTATTATTTTTCTCTTCTCATGAAACAAGCAGTCCATGTTTCATGGTTTTGGTCACTAGCCAGGATAAGTTGGTCTAGCACAAAACATTGAAATTTGTTTAGAAAGATCTTAAAAAGCAAACAGGTTTTTTTTCTTGAGGTTACATGATGTGATTTTAAAATTTTTATATTATTCTCATGAGAATTTTACTAGCAAGACTTGATTTTGGCTCATTGCTTGATCCAAGGTGTGTTACCTGACACAGTCTTCTTAGCGATTGTGATAATTGTTCTCATGTAAAAGGCCTTTAGTTTGGCACAATGAATTTTTATTGCTCTGATGCTCATGTTTTGACATTCTTAGGAAATGGTAGAGAAACTACTATCCGTCAGCATAGACACACTTCATTTATGATCACTCTTCATTGTTATCAAATGTAAGACTACTGTGGTCCATTCAACACACAAATGAAAAGGCAAGGGACAAGGATTTGTTGGAAAAAAAGCAACTGTGCATATGGCTTTATAGTTAGTGTCTGGCTTGTGCTGTCCAATGTTCCCTGGAGCTTGCCAAGAACAATTTGGCTCAGTGTTGATGCTAAGAAAGCAACCTTTGCAAGATGGTGCCTGAAGGCACAAAAGCATCATTTCAAATTGGCATGAAGCAAGAAACCAGTTGATATAGTTGAACTCATTTATGGTTTGAAGTAATGCTTGAAACACTGGCAAAGTGCAAGACTATATATTTCATAAGTTTAATGGATTCTTTCAGAATAAATATTTATTATTACACACAAATTAGGCAAAGAGGTACATCTTCAATGGACTAAAAATAGCTATGTTTTGGAATGAAATGATGCCTGTTACAACAACATGACATCAACAATTGAAATAACATTTTTGATCTTATGCATGTTACAACACTTTGTTGAAATGTCTTCAGGTGAAGTAGTAAACTTTAATTAGGAAACTGTAAAAAGAAAAAAAGTATTCAGATTTTAAAGATAATGTAAACAATAGTAATAATTTGAAGTGATCCTTATCCCAGACATTTTATGCAGAAAAAGTCAAGTTCCCTATGTTCAAATCTAGTTCAGTTGCTTTGGCTTACAAAATAAACATTCATACAGACAAAACTGTTCAACAGTTCTGTTCTTGTTAAATTGAAATTTGTGTCATGTTATACATTATTTTAGCAATTTTACGCTTCTTTAAAGTAAGCATTTTAGTTTACTTCCTACCAGCTTCCTACACATCATCTAGCTGAAACAAATATTTTGGAAAGCTTTACAATAAACTTGAAAATGTGATTTGATGTGAAATGAAGTTGATAATAACATCAATTTACCAAGAACAAAATCCTGTGTGATGTGGGCCAAAATGCCAGATAGAGGAAATTTTATGTTTTTAGCAAATTTTGACTGTGTGCTTCAATAAACCCAAAAAACTCCTTGTCATGCTTAAATAAAGAGCATTGAAAATAACAGATTGAAAAATAAAAAAAACCTAAATTTAATTTGGTTATGGCAAAGGCAATCCACTGGATAAAAATTTAACAGTTGGATTGTTTCACTGCTCTTTCAACAATTGGGCCCTAACCAACAACATTGGAAAGATTCATGTCCCAGCCATAAAGGCCCATTTAACTTCAAAGTGACTTCATAGTTTGAGAGGCATGCTGTTGGGGTTCTACATTATTCCCATAGATTGTGATAGGATTAAAATAAAAGGGTGTCAATAATCCCTGAATTGAGCATGTCCATCAGTTTGCACTCTAGGTGACTGGGTTTCTCTTTATATGTGTATAATTTAAAATTTGACTGTTAATCTTGACTTTAAAATACAAATGATTTTGGTTTTTGCTTTGTGCCTGTTGTTTTTTTCTCTTTAGCTGACTTTGACTTCTCGTGTGTTTTTCTTGCTTCGCTTGTCTGCCACTTTTTTAAACATTGTTTCTCATGGATAGAAATTGAAGCTGAACCATATTCACGGCCACAAAGATAACATACAACCAGAGCTGGTTTACTTGGTTTAAAGCTTTCCTGATCTTGTGCCTGATCACCTGTGTCAGACTCAGAATCTAGTGTAGCATGCTCTGGGGATAAGAGATCCCCATAACTTCCACTCCTTTTGGGCAATGGAGTCTTTTTATTGTTATTTTCTTCAGCATGATCAATTTTTATTGTAACAGGCAAGTGAATAGAGTTCCTTTTCTTGGACTGTAACTCTTTCTTCAACTTTTCAGTGGCTTCTACCTTCTTCTGTGCCTCCCATTTCTTCAAACATTGTTTTTCATGGATTGGTAAGGAGTGGGAAGTAAATTGTTTACCACAAATGTAGCAAAGAACCATCTTTGATACTTGAATGTTGCCTTTGGATGGTCTCCTACTGGTAGTGGCAATGAGATTCTCACAAGAAGCAGAACGTTGTTTCTCCAGTTTCTGCTGTGGTATTGACATTAAGGAAGTAACTTGTTGATCATCAAGGATAGTAATGTCATGACTTGTAAGAGAAGAAACTGAATTTGCCTTACTGAGCCCATTTTGATGACCACAAGGGCTGCGAAAACGCTTCGGATTGGCTAAACGCCATTTCTTCAGACACTGAGGCTCGTGAATTTTCAAGGACTTAGATCCATATTCACGTCCACAGATGTAACAAACCATTAAATTGGGGTTACTTGAGGAAAAGAATCTTGCTTTTGACAAAGGTGTGCCCTTCACACTGTCAGCATCCTGTGAGTATGATGATAATGATTCTGGTGAGCCTTCCCTCCTGGGTAAATTAGAGGTCAGATGCTTTCCATTAAGAGTAACTGTCCCTGGTCTTGAATATGAAAAGTCTTTCTTTTGCCCATTGAGTTCAGACACAGTGCCTATGGCCTTACTACTCTTGTCAATGTCGTCGTCGTCTGATGAATTCTGTTCTGTGGAAGAGTGTGACTGAACGTCTAATTTCCCAAGGGGATCCTGCTCAGAAGAGGAATCTGAAGAATCTCTTGGAGAAGATTCGGGCTTTAACAGTGGTGTTGTAGTGGCTAATGATTTTGAGCGCTCTTGAAGTAATTTTTGCCCCTGTTCCCTAATTGTAACAGTACTGAGTCGGGTTTGCGATGCTCTCCTTGTTGAGGAACCTCTTATGTCGTCCAAACTCAAACTTTGTTGTCTGTCCATAGTCGGCACGTTAGGTAAGACTCGTCGCCTACGAGACTCGTGTGAAGATTTTCTCATCTGCTGTTGCTTGGCTTCCTCTTTTTCCTTTTGTTTAGTCATTTCCCATCTTTTAGCACACTGTCGTTCGTGGACATTAATGGAGTGTGAACTGAATTCCTTCCCACAAATGTAGCACATCACTGTTTGTGGCTTCGGCATACTCGACTTGACTTCTCCAGTCAATTAATAGCTTCTCTCTCCTGAAAATAACTTTTAAAATGTAAAAAGGGTTACCCTTATACCAATATGCCGTCCAGACCGTGAAGTGTTACATTGAACTCGGTGACATCACTCATATAAATATAATTGAGCCTCTCAAATTTCCTGTCGCCGTGTTTGTCTCTCGAAACAATTACAATATGACCGTCATATAGAGAGGAGTGCAGAATAAACTTCCCCAAGTTCGTTGCATGGTCTATATGCTTGATAATTTTTGTAATTGAGCCTGTAAATAAAGAAAACGGCGAAAATCTAATAATCACATTAGAAGAAGAATTAAAAGAGCATTTCTCACACCCTTAAAAATTTTGTAAGTAACCTTTAGTTTCGTAATCAGATATTTCTCGACGAGGGTTTACAACAAATATTGAGTCACGAGAGACAAACAATGTTGCTGAAAGAAAATCCTTGCATGTCCGCTCATATCATAAACACAAAACACAACGTTCGCAGGCAAGGAATTTTAATTTAATAGAAAATGATGATTCAAAACGGCACTTGAACCTCGTCGCTTCTTCAATATAGCAATAAATTTACGTCAATCGAGCCACAAAAAATACCTGTCTTCAGTGCACTTCGAATGTACTCGTTCATAGGACTTTTCCCAAGCCTGTTAGGCTTCAAATGCACGAATTTAAGCTGCAGCTTTCTGTGGCCACGGGTGGTTTACAAGGAGGCAGCTGGATTTTCTCACCTGACTTGAACAGAAGTTCTGACGGAGATGGAAACATATGCGTCACCATAAAATAAGGAGGACGTTCAAATTTTCCCGTTCTTGTATTCGACTAGCGTCACAGTACAATCGCTTGAACACGGAAAATGAAAAAGCTTGGTTTCCTAGGAACAAAAATTCTTTCCCGGCAGGTGTGGTACTACGGCAACGAAGCTAATAATTTTCTTCATTCAGTTCATAAAGACCGCTCGACTGTAAACAGAATATGTACCGGAAGTGAGGTTAGACGACAAGAATCATTAGGTTCCAAGCCTCAGCTTCCGGTGCGTTCAAAATGGCGGATGCATCAACCACGACAGCGATCACAAAGACTTGTAAATTTTTCCAGAGGAAAAAAGAGTGCAAGTTTGGAAATGAGTGCCAATTCCTACATCCTGAAAAACCATTAAACTTACCAGGAGTTAATTTAACAGAGGTTAAAAAGCTTCATGATGTTCCAAAGCTTCTGGATCCATCCTATCAGGAGAAAAACTCAGGTTTGCAATCCTGTAGGTTCTTTAAGAGTAAGAGAGGATGCGCGTTTGGAAATAAATGCCGCTTTTTACATTTGGATTTAAAGGTATCCACTGAATCCGAGAAAATTGAGAAGGTTTCTGAACCCGATATAACTGATCAGGGTGAAGAGAAGGTTACAGATCAGCATAAAGAGTCCTCAGCACAAAGAGTTGTTTGTAAATTCTTTCCAAAAGAGAAGGGATGCTTAAGAGGTAACATGTGCCCCTTTGCACATGTGACTACTTCTATTGACAAGACCAATAGGAAGCCTCTAGCTGGAAAAGTCTCTAGAAAGGCAGGCAATCTGTCAAGTAACAAAAAACCTCATTCGGGAAAGGACACACTTAAACCTTTCATGGCTGTCAAACAGATCACTGAACAGCCAGTAGAGTCATATATTGCGCGGCCAGATAATCAAAATGAAGTTATCAAGAATAAGGTCAAAGCTCAAATCCCATTGTTGCCCAATGAAGCTTTCATTGCTGGAGACAAGAGGATGGGTGTTAGTGAACAACCACATGATGAATGTAAGAGACTGAGATCAATTGAGATACAGCAACTTAAAAAACGATTCAAAGACAATTACTCTGAAATCACAGAGAATAGTTGTTACAAGATCAAAGTTAAACCAACAGATCCAGACTGGGTGAGTAAAATAAATCCTGTCTTTCACTTTGAAAATAGAGGTACTGTGCATCAGAAAAAAAAACCAATTTGTGTAAAAAAGATGGGTAAAAGTGAAGAACAGTTACTAAAAGATGGGTTAAACAAGCCTATTTTACCATAAAAGATAGGTACAAATGGTGCGATTGACATGTTTCTATTTACTGTTTTCAACTGGAAAAGTTTTGACTCTGTTTTAAGTCAATTTTTGGTCTACTAAACACTGTCAGCCGACTGTCAGTAATGTGTCGCTAATGTGTCAGTAACCTGTCGGCTGTCGGCTGACAGTTGACCGACAGGTTACCAAGAGCCAAAAATGGGAACCATTGTTCACTATTACTGAAAGATGTGCACTCATGGGAGGTCAAAGTGTAAGGATTTATATGCTGATATGATGTGCTGGTGTCTGCTCACATGAATGTTCAGATAAATGTCAGTATCCAAGCAACTGGGCTCTTACCCCTCCCCTAAGCTGACATTAATCCTAATAACAACTTGTTATCAGTTGACTATTGTTTGGTTAAGGGAGGGCTAAGTGTGCAGTTGCTCATATACTAACAATGATTTGAGTTTTCTTCCTAATGTTAGTTGTTCATTAGAATAGGGTCTTCTTTAATTCTGATTGTTGTTTTACAACAGGAATCAAATATCTTAATAAAATCAGATACTTTACTAGAAAAAAAATACTAAAACAGTCAGTTTTGTATTTACAGATTCACTCATTTTTCCTAGGAAAAAAAAACGGTTTTTAGAACATTATCAGTAGCTAGGTACATAAAGTATCACAAGCCACATGCAACAAAATTTGTGTGCAATAATTATTTTATCCACAAAGGGTTCATTTTAAAGAACCATTCTGCATGGAAAATGAAGCCTGTTAAAATAAGATGATCACTTGATGTGAAGCTAGTATTTGTTACAAGAGCTTAAAGAAATTGTTCTTGTAAAGTGGCAATTTTCTGTGTTTTACTTTACAGGCTTTTAAGATTGAGGCAGTATACCTTGATGTATCCTTCCCGGAGGATTATCCTCTGCATGTGAGTTCAGCATACTAGGATAAAAGTTGGGGCTGCTGGCTGGTGAAGTTGATTTCACTGTTTGGGGACTTGTTTTGATTTCAGGCCATTATTATGTTATTGTGTGCAGTGTACTAAGGAGATTTAACAGTACTTTGTGGCCCCTAAAAATGTTTTGTGATAAATTTAAAGCTGTCCTACGATTTGAGGTGTTGAACCAGACAGAGATATCAGGAACTGATCATTGTTTTAGAATTAGGAGGCAGTTTTTGCAAGCATAAGATGAAGTAAGTAAAAAATATAACAGTGAGAATGTATCAGAGCATGGACATAAATGTAAGCTAACATCCCAGATAAGGAGTTATAAGGGCATATTGTAATTTGAATTCAAACCTTTTTTGAAACTGAGCAATTTTTTTCAGCCTAGCTTGTAATCCATTCTTAAGCTCTGTGTTCTCATCACTAAATCTCTCTTCAACTAGCACCTCTTACCTAGTACCTTCAACAAATTACTATGATAGTGCATGTTTTTTAATTACTGAGTAATTTTTACTGTTTAGATTTTTGCAGCATCTCTATCCAAGGAACAACTTCTTTCTGAAGATGTTATCAGGTATGCTAAATATTATCAATATTCAAATTGTCCTTTTCTTTTTTCACTTAGAAAGCAATATGTCACCTCTTATACTAATTAATGATCTTAATTCAAATGGGGTGATGTTATTAGGCTGTGCCTTGTGGTTTTTCATTATTTTATTAACATTTGTGGCATCACTTCTTTGATAAGGAAGAGTTTTGTAAGAGTCTTGCAAAAGAAACTTTTCAAGTGATTTTGTGGATGGACATAAATGAAGTTAACACTATTAACCCTTTACACCTTAATATCAGTATGCATATTCTCCATACTGTTCTCAATACATTTCCTAAGAGCTGACAAGTAGAATTTGTTCAACAATCAATAACTTTTTTAGTTGATAGTCATTTCCTCTATTCTTGTGACTTAACTGTTTGATTCAGAGGTGTTAATGTAAGGGGAAGTTAGATGTTAGTCACTCATAGGGGTCAGTAGTGCAGTATTGCTCACCCCTTTTTACTAGCGATAACTTACTTTTGGAACATTGTGCTTAACAGTATGTTTTGTGCACAAGGCACTTCTAACTTAAGGTGCCCGTTTTTTGCAAGGTTTGTAACTCTAAAAATTCAGCAATGGGCTGTGAAGCAAGAGCAAGCAAGTATTGATCAAGGACTTTTAAAGCTATACTTTAGACCATTTCTGCGCTGGTTTGACAGGAACCTGGAATCTTTCATTGTGGATGCAGGAAGACAGGTATACCTCAGTTATAGTGAGATAATTAATATCTAGTTTGCATGTCCTTCACATTAATTTTCTGGAAAGAAAGAAGCTGGCAGATTGTTTAATTTATTGTTCATTTGTAACAGCTTCTAGAAATTTAATTAATGCATTTACCTTATTCAGCTGTTAAAAGCGTAAAAGTGCACTGAACAATCCTGAAAGGTATTGTGGATAGTTTTTAGGTCACAGCTTCATAACTGCAGAATTTTTTGGGAAATCTGAGAAAAGGTCACTGTAAGGACAAGGTATTACAGGTTTGATGAATTTATTTATTAATTTGATTTATTAAAATTCATTAAATGCCAGATACCCAGATGACCTTTCAAGATTGCCATGTGCACTTTTGTCCTTTTTTCCAACAACCCCTCTGGAAACAGTTGTAAATAGACATTAAAAAAAGTCTTCTTGGAAAAAAGAAAAAGGAAGCTTACTTTTCTCCAGCATTGGCAATGAGCTTTAAATGCCTCAGACATCCAAGAGCATTCTCACAAGAGTGAACCAGGCAATATTTTGCAGACATATGGCATTGTGAGAGCAACACTTCGAATTGACCCATATGTAACTTTGCCTCTGCTTCCAGTGACTTTTGATAAAAATAGCTACTCAAGCAAAACACTAGAGCAAATTATGATTGTCTGAGAAGTAATCATATATTAAAGTTGGAACTCTATGTCATGGACAGGATCCGTTTCATTTTGGCCGGCTGCTGAGCAAGATTGGCTTGAATTTCAGCTCTTAACATGTAATGAAGTAATGAAAAAAGTGAACTGTATACATCAGGCAATTTTAGTGTACATTTAGTTTTAACTATATATTGTCCAAAGTGCACCATAAACTTTTTAAATGTTGTTATTCACATACAACATCAAAATGTCTTGGGGAACCCTTATTGAGTTGCTGTTCATGAATCTTTAAAAGTAAAAAGGTACCTTCCTCAATCCAGAAAGCAGAACAAGAGCAAATTAAGATCATACCAAATTACTAAATTAAGCACTTTTCATGATCAGAGATTCATTAATAGTCGTGGTCAACTATGAATACCAAAACCAGTAGGTGTTCATTCATTTACACTGATTCTAACCTATGTGATGCTTTTTTTAATTCTCCACAGGTGAAAGGAAGCTTTTCTTCAAGCAGCACAACTGAGTGTGAAGTAGCTGACAATCCTTCTCAAGACAGTCTATCAGCAACTGCATCCACACCAGACTCAGGGATGACATTGGAAAGTGTTCCTGTGCCTGAAGAAAGCTATGGCAATCAGTCAATTAATGGAGATAGAGATCACTTGAACAGTACTAAAAGTCAAGAACCCTCTGAAAATATGAAGAAAACTGATACAGAGCATGGTGATATAAAGCAGGCCTTATTGTGTCACCAAATTGAAGCTAAAAAGTCCATTGGACATGAAGAAGAAAATTGTACTAATAGAACTTGTGACGCTAACATTGGATTTGGAATAATGCTGGAAAGCAAAAGCTTGAAGAAAACTGTTGACATGGACAATAAATGTCTAACTTCAAGCATGGAAGATATTAACCATGGACAAATGACAAACAATGGAACTGATCAAGACAAAGAGACAAGAATTACCAATGAAAAGGCCTCTGCTGTCAGGAGAGGAACAGAAATTCAGTTTAGAGGACTTGATCTAGAAGAGAATGTGAGCACCCTGATTGGAAATAGGATAGTTTTCACTTTAGAATGCAACAGGTGCAAGCAGAGGATTGACCAACAGTTGCCTGGATCAGGGTATGTATTAGTCACATTACCTGCTTGTGAACAGACTGAAAGGAGTATTTGATGAATTACGCACACTAAATTTTCTTCTTATTAATTTCTATTTTTGTTTGTTTGTTTTTTTTTTCCACTGGACTGGGTGGCATAATGTGCGCAGTGCATAGAGGATGGTGTCAAAGTTCTTAGCTTTAATTACCTCTAAACTAAAATACACAATCTTGCTTAGTACCCCTTGTGGTTAGGATTTCAATTTACTTCCTTCCTATTACAGATCTGTTTGTAAGCAATGTATCAGATGTGCTTCAGTCTTTGCTGTCACCTACAGACCAGCTGTTATTCATCAGTTTTCTTTGATTTTAGGATATTTAGACTTGGATGGGTGAGTTAAGAGATCAATGAAATTGAACTGTGTAATAAAATTATTTTTAATTTCAAATTCAAACAGTATACTGCTTCCCCAAAGTAAAACAAAAACTTAAATGCATTGGAATGAAAATCTCTATACTTTCCTGTGGGTCACCATCTTAAACAGTGATGGCTGAAATAATAGTCATGAACTTCAAGTTGGCACATACAGGTTTAATGCCACATGCACTTTTTATCATTTCATTCATGAACCATTCATTTTTTAGAAGCCAAACTTTTTTAATTTTACCAAGTGCTAGTTCACTTGCTTGCTTATAAATATTGCCTTTTATGCCTTGGACAGAAGTCTCAAGAAATACCTTGAAACAAAACTGGACCCTTTTTTGCTCTCATTTATTTTCTGCCTTCTGTTGTTTTGAGATCTTAAATTTTGTCAATGTTATACATGTCTTGTTTATCACATTCAGCTGTGTTCCATTTGATGTGGTTCTACCAGAGAGTGAATTGAAGATAGGTTGTTTAAACTGTTCTAAAGAAACAACAGTGAAGGTTAGTTTAGTGATACTTGAAACAGCCATCAAATGGTGTCTTGATATGTACTTACTAAAACATTTGAGATCTTAAATTACTTTTATTAATAGTTACTGTCAGCAGTAATGATGATCTTTGTTGTTATAAGTATTCTAGTTCCCTTAATCATCACTGACCCACATCAATGATTACATTAAGTATGTACAGGAATAACTTTCTCATCAGGAAATGAATCATTCACAAAGGTCACCCAACTAAATGCAAGATCCTCACAATAAAGCTGTAATTATGTAAAGAAATTGGAGTGAACAAAGATCACTGATGGCCTGAAATGTTGCTATTTAATAGTGATTTGTAAAACTTACAAAAAGAGTGTATGCCAATCCTGACTGAACAGCAAGGAAAATCTTGTTGAATAAGAATGTCTCACAAATAGGAAAGGTACTGACAGCAACTTCAAACTTATCATGTGATTATGTAGGGACTGCAGTATGGAGCCAACTGGAGCTGGTGTAGGCATTGCCATTCAAAGCTTGGATTCCGCATGCAGTCAACTCGCTTTCAAGAATTACAGAATGATGCAACCCAAGCAGGTTTTAAAACAGATACTTTTGATAGCATTGTACTCAGTACTCTGCATGCATACTGATTATTCAGGAATTTATACATATACAAATTGAACAGTAGGGCTGATCCAATAAACCTTTCTCTCCAGTAAGCCCTCAACTTAAACAATCCCCCCTTTCTAATAGGCCTGTCTACCAATCAAGCTTCCCCCCCTCCCCCCATCTGAAAACCATGGAAATAAATTAGCCCTCAGAGGCTCATTAGAGTGTTTTCAGTATCTTTGTCAAAAATTGGCCTCAGGGGTATTTAGACCTATTTACTTGGTGGGTTCAGTTGACTGAACATCATCATTATACCAATTGCTTGCTTCTTTTTTTTTTACTATCTTTTGACAGTGTTAAGATAGTGAAGAATCATCTGATACTAATGTAAATTTCATAATACCTTTCTTTAGCCTCTCTCAAAAAAGGTAAAGATTCAAATACTTCCTCCAAGCCTAAAAGGCTAGCTCAGAACTCAGGAATCAAGGAGGGTCAGCCATTACCTGGTAATGGAACGTGTAAACACTACAAGAAAAGTTACAGGTGGCTCAGGTAAACTTATGATGTTGATAACTTAGGGTGTTAAAAGATAACTACACTTTAGTACACTAACCCTGAGTACTTGCCTTTTTCAAAATGTTCCCATTGTAGATTGAAGTAAATTGGTTGATTTGGGTAATGTATTAAAACTGTGTCAAACTCATAAAAGAGAAAAACTTATTTCTTGGTAAGGTATTGCACTGCTGCTGCTGAAGATCTTGATTGTAGTTTTAGAACATGTTCAGTTGTCATTGGCGTTAGACACTAGATAAAAATTAAATCTCTTTTAAGAATTTAAATGGATGACCTCCCTAACACTGATAGAATTTTGTATTTACTAAGTGCAGGAGCCTCTTACCAGATCATTTGTTCACTCCTGTATGTCGCTTTAATGAGCATTTTATACTCTTTTCAAGGTTTCCTTGTTGTGGAAAGTGTTATCCATGTGACTTATGTCATGAAGAACAAGAAAGTCACGAAATGAAATATGCCACGCGGATGGTTTGTGGCTTTTGCTCCAAAGAACAAGTGAGTTTGTACAGGAAGTGTCTGTGGAATGGATTCTTAACCTGTTTAAAGTGGAGTTAGGTCTGATCCATGAAGTTTACCCTGTTCGCTTGCTTTGTTCATTCTCCCAATGTTACAGCTGTCCTTGTTTTTCTTCGTTGAGGAAGAAATTGGCGTAATATTCACCATCAAAGGAAAAGGGGTGCATCCCTTTTTTTTTTCTTTTTTTTTGTTTTGTTTTTTTCCTCAAATAATTGAGGTGATCATAGCTTTAGAAGGCCAAGCAATGTATTCCAATAGCCTAGATTAAAACAACCCTGAAGACAGCTTGCACGAGCCCGTCACTAGCTGGCACAGGCTTGATATTTTCGTGATCCGGTTCAATCACTGGAGGTTCGACTGACGAAGGGATTATCCCTCGACACCTCAAATTTTGAAATTCACAATTTTTGATAATAATGAGTGGGGTTAGCATTGCAAGTAATGATAATAAAACCAACTTAAAAAGAATTAGGATATCAGCTGCTAATGTGAGAGGATTCCTGCTTTTAAACAAAGACTCCAAGAAACACGGCAACATGTATTCTTTTGTGTAAATGATTTAAGCGGGTTTTGCTTGATTCTTTCAGCCATACTCCCAGCGTCCTTGTAATGGCTGTAAATCGTCCGTGACCAAGTCACGTTCTACCCATTGGGAAGGGGGCAAAGGATGTCGTGACAAGCTCACTATGAGCAGGTAAGGTGTTTGCGCATGTTCTTGAGGATGTCTTGGGTGTCGAGCAGAAGAGGCGGCGTGCTTGGGGTGTACTTCATGGTCTTTTTTTCCACTTTTTTTTTAATTTAGAAACGATGACCAAAAATACAGTCAGCAGGGAAAAACAACGTCACGAAAGGCGCAGAAGCGGTCCGAAACGAAAGGAAAAGGAAAGCGAAACAAGGCGAAGTGACTCTTCATGAGCCATGTTAGAATATGTTGAAGAAGCGTGGAGGTGTCATTAAGTGCATTTGTTTTCATTTCAACCATCCACACAGAATCTAGACGCTTTGTAAGAGTCGGATGTAATACTTAAGAATACATCCTAAAGTAAAAAGGTTTGGCTTGAAATATGTTTCAAGCTGAGAGAAATATTAATTTAAAAAACCTGTTATTCTGTTCATGGTTTCTCGTGCAATCAAATACTTTTGAATGAATTAGCACATTTTCTTTGAAAAGCCATGCTCTTGGTGCAAATGTATAAACATCAGCATGCTTTCTTTCCTGATTTCAAACTGTTCCGAAAAGTAGGAACTACAGCTGTATTTCGTGTACTGATGGTAACTCTGGCCGCTTGATATAGACTCGCTGTTGAAGTAGCCGATGAAAATTATTTATCAGTAATTATTTTATCAAGCATGAGATACTACACTTGTAGTGTATTGGTTACCATTACAACAAGACAAAATTTTTATCAACATTTGTGAAATTATAATATGACTCCTGAATGACCTAAAAGTACAATAATCAAGTAAGATGATTTTACTTGGTTTATAACAGATGGTTGATCAGTCGTTGATTAATAATGGTAATTGAACTGAGTAAAGTGCAATTTGGGCTGAAATCATACGTGTGATTTCAAAATCGAACGGGCACGCAGTGCGAGTTCGATGTGAAATCACAAGAATGATTTCAGACCAAAATTGCACGACGCGAGGTTGAAATCGCCCAAATACAGGACTTGGCCAGTTTAAATATTTAATTGATGCAATACTGAGTTGGTCTGAAATTAAATTCATCCATTTTTTGGGGGGGGAAAAGTAAGACTTTTGGAAACAAAAGTTGCCACATGTTACTCTTTGTCTTTCATTTTCCTGCAATTTAATTGGTTACTTTAAACAAGCCTTGAAATCTGATTGGTTGTTTTGTTTTTAGTGTTGCCTTCTCATTGGCTGGGAAAAAGATGCGAATTAAAGCAAAAAATGGTGCGATTCGTGAATAAATCGCACCAGTAAGAGCCAATCAGATTACAGGGACCATCAGTGATTTCAAAATGGGTGTAGTTAAAGAGAAAATGTAAAAGCAGTAGAAGAGCGGATATCTTCTGATCCTGTATTAACCGTAAAGTACCAAGTCCAAAGGGTGTCCGCTGAAAAAAAGAGTTCATTTTAATTACTTTTCGTTTGTATCTCCTAAATGTTTATCGCAATCGAGAAAGGACGTTAAAAAAAAAGAGAGAAATTAACAAACAGTTTCCCTTTTGGCTACCATACGAATTTAGAAACTTAATGTAATGCATTCATTCATTCATAAAAGATTCAGGCCTGTACGGGATTTGAACCCATGTCCTCTGCGATACCGGTGTAGCGCTCTACCAACTGAGCTAACAAGCCAAATTTGAGTTCCAAATAAACCCGTGAAGAGGTGAATGAACGACTGTGAATTAATGAAAGTCACATTTGAACTGCGGATAAAGACGTGAATATGAAAGCGATCTTCGCAGTAATGAACACTAGCTGAGCAGTAGTGAAGATAAGGCCTGAAAAAAATTCAGGCCTCATTTTCACTAATGCTCAAGTAGTGTTCATTAATGCGAAGATTGCTTTATCAATCACGCTTTTATGCGCTGTTCTTACATATGACTTTAATTTATTCACTGTCGTGTGGTACAGTCTGTCGTTACTTTGGTCGAGAATCCCTGGGAACTGAAGATTGATATCATTTCAACATGGCGAATTTCGATATTGATGAATCGCTTCCGACTAGAGACTCCCACTTGCACGAAGTTATGACTTCTCAAGGAGAAATTAATTTAATAAAGGCTTTTGGGGCTGGAGATGTTCACGGCTCTGAAGATAGCAAGGAATTTGTGGCTGAGAACAACGATGGAGAGCAAAAACCGGCTGTTCACAGAACTTTGGAAAATGGGTCAAACACTTCAGATTCAACGGATAGAACTGAGGTGAGCGAAAAGAGCAGTGAGAATATTAATGAATTAAGAACGATACATCAAAGCGCTTCAGAAACACCGAATCTCGATTCATTGGAACCTGGAGAACAGGAAAAAGTGCTTGATAATAATGTTGAAAAGAAAGAGAACTCTCCAAACGACACAAGTCAAGCAGAAGCTGAGGTTTCACTATCCCCAGCTGAAACTAACAGCAGTTCCAAGAGTATTCAGGAAACTTCAACTGCTGATCATGAAAGTGGCAGTCACAGGTCTCCAAATAGGGAGAGTAAGGCTGAGTATAGGAAGATCAAAAGTGAAGTGACAGGAGAAGCAGAAACGTCCGAAAGCGAAGGAGAAGAAAAGGATATAAAGACTAATGATCAAACGGAAGATACTTGGATGGATATACTAGGCAATGGGCTGCTTAAGAAAAGGGTAATAAAAACATGTTATTTTAAGTTTCTTCATAACGGGCAGGAATTGGTGAAACGCGGGTATACGCAACATATGACCGCATATTTTGCAGGTGCAAGTGATCGGCAATACCAGTACCATTTGTAAATGTTATTCACCTGTGTTCTGGATGGGAACTGTCCGAGTTAAATATGTGTGATTACCCTACCTGGATTTCCCAGACTCCCAAGATCTGATTGCTAACTCTCCCATCTTGCTGTTACACATTTCCTTGTAATTTAGTCACAAGAATTTGATGTTTTATTACACCCATTTTGAAATCACTGGTTGCAAATTATTCATAATCGCACCATTTTTTGCTTTAAATCACATCTTCTTCTCAGCCAATGAGGAAGCTATACTAAAAACAAAACAACCAAGCAAAGTTTTAAGCCGGGTCAGCTCATAATTTTCGATTTCCTTGGCAATTCCTTTCTCTAAACAACACTTTTTCCAAACCAACAACCAAAAAGGCAGTGCTTGTAGCAGTGTTTTTGTTGTTAGAGCTGTTTTTCAGCTGCAGTGATGAAAGAAAACCTACTCAAAATACTGGCTATTGTTTCACTCGCAATTTTTCAAATTTTTGTTGCAACATCCAAGGCTCGCATTTGATTGGCTATCTGTGGGTTTCTTTGATTATTGACCAATTAGAATGTCTGGTTTGTTACTTCTTTTGCACTGAATTAACTCTCTTCTGCACTGAATTTCCTGAAAACTGCATTTATCTTAACCAATCAGAACTAAGTAATTTTTTCATGTATATTATTACAGCCCAAATTGCACTCCACTCGGTTCAACTACCATTATATATCATAATATCAACCTCTAATTGATAAGTTCATGTAATCTTGTTACCTGTTTGTTGGATAGTATATAGATATTGTAGGGAGAAGTTACATGTAAATCACTTCTGGGAGTTAAAGGGTTAAGGCATCCCAACATCTTTAAAGGTTGCCTAACATTCCCAAAGATGCCCTAGTGAATTCCAAGTTTGCCAAATGCTTAGTTTTAGTCATGGTTAACATGCAAAGTAAGGTATCATGAGATCATGCAGAAGTCAAGATCTTTAGCTATGGATGTGGAAGTCCTAGTGAAATTTAATGTTGTTTACAGAACTGATGGTATTAGGAATATAAACTTGACTCAATTATTCATTCTCGTTTCCACTGAGTGAAAAATCCTGAACTGCAATTCAGGGGAGTAAAATTGTCTGAAATACTTATGACTAACATTTTCAATCCAAGGCCATGTAACACACTTATAATGCATGCAAGTTTGCTGGTATAAAGCCATGTCCCAGCTAGTAATAAACCTATGTAAATTCTTCTTCTTCTCAATAGTAGTCTTGTCAGTATATAGCTTGGGTAAGGCTTTTTTGAGTTAGAGATCTCTGTTTGGTTTGACTTGTTTCTTGGTTAACCTGAAATTTTTACACCAATTAACCAAGCCTAATCATACCTTCAGGAGATGTCAGAATGCCCAGTTGCTAGGGCTGACTTGGTTTTGCCAAGATCTTGGCACTTTTGTTTTAAAAAAGAAAATCAATTTTGTGATTATATAACAACAGACAATGACATTACTGGGATCCTGGCTAACTAGGATTGGCTCAGTTGTCATTTAATCATAAAGTTGGGTTTTATTGTGCTATAAAAAAGTGCCAAGATTTGGGCCAGCTGGGCTCATGTAATCAGGCCCTAAGTGACAAAAATGTTGAAGGGATGGGTGTGTTCTGTATGATGTGTTCTTATCCTTGTCTTGATACTTTATCTTCTACTTTTTCTTGAGTAGGTGTTGCGTGAAGGGAAGGGTCAGGATACACGACCAGACAAAGGGCAACGAGTTATGATACAGTCAGCTGGACGTACAGAGGATGGGACAGCTGTTGACTGGAATAGCAATTTGGAATTCATTCTTGGAGAAGGAGATGTTATCCAAGGTATTTGAATTGGGAGGAGAAGGATGCTTCCCTTCTGATTTAAGCTCAGAAAATTACTTTGGTCTCAGTCTGAGAGGATTACATTTAAATGAGGCACTGGTTTTCTATGATTTTATGCATCTTTCAAGAGATGACCACTATAAATAACTTTAAATGATGTTTGTGAAAAATCAGCACTTGCAGGAAAAATCCACTTTCTTTAACACTGCTTTATGTGCAAAAAATTATGCGACAAATTCAAAGACTGCTGCAATATGTAGATTTAAAATGTTTAGGTATAACCCATTGAAGCTCTTCATTGAAAAATAATGTGCAAAAACATTATTTGATATAGACTCTAAAAATAAACCCTTTTCAGCCTTTGACATAGGAATATCCCTGATGGAGTTGGATGAGGTGTGTGAACTTGTTACAGATGCAAGATATGCTTATGGAAAAGCAGGAAAGTATGTTTGTCTACAGATTACTTTAATATTGCTTTGTTTAGGAAAAAATGTCTTAATTACTGAGTTCACTCAGAGGTTTTTGCTGACACTTCAAGTCAAAGACACAGCAAAGCATATCACTTTTACAAAATTAGACTGACAAGATTAGCTGAAAGTTTGGCTTTTAACCCATTTTGCTCTTTTTTTCTGTTTGGCATAGTTTGTAATGATCATACTGAGTTCTTGAAATAGACCTGCTGCAAGTTTGTTTCATTGGGTTTATTTTGTGGCTGAAGAATGAAGGACATTATCAGGATAACCAGGGGCAAACTCTAGGGAGTCATTCAGTATTAGATGGCCTTGAGAATTATGTCATTTTATCATCCTTCTCTCTTCCTTTTCAGGCCTGATGCAAAACCTCCTATCCCTCCTGATGCTAAAATTACATATGAAATACAACTGTTGTCAGTCCGAGATGGTCCTAATATTAATAACATGAGTGATGAAGAGAGAATCTCTATTGGGTATGGAATTCAAATTTGTGATCTTGAACATGCTTTTCAACATTTTTTAGAACATTTCTTCCTCAAACTGTTCTCTTAGATATTTGCAATTTAGATGGGTATATGCCTAAATGATTCAATCTTTGTGCTTTTTTAAATTTTTTCTTCATGTAAACAAATGTTGTTTCTCTTTAACACTTTTTTGAATATGTAGGGTGAGATTATTTTTTCTAGGTGCTAAACCTGTTGAACTTAGCAAAGTTACAGCCACTTATACTGTTCCTTTTTTTTCCAAGGGAGAAAAAGAGAGAAATGGGAAATGATTTGTACACTGGAGGTGACTATGCTGGGGCAATCAACAGTTATCAAAGGTATATAAATTTTAGATATTGATCTTTAGAGGTATTTCTTACCAATTTAAGAGACCGCTTTTTTTACAGTGATAAATATATTCATGCAATTTCTTTGTTCTAAATAACAGATTTTCTTTTTTCCTTATGATTTAAGAGCCATAAAATATTTAGGATCATCTACATCTGAGGTTTGTATTTTTTCATTCAATATTTGTTTATGTGGATACCACTTAGAGCAGTTCATAGGGTTATGACAATTTGCAATTACTTGGACTTCTCCTGCGATATTTAGCTGGGAAAAGAAGAATGGTATAAGTGATCCTGATCTGTAAAGGGGTGTAAAAGAAAACTTTCTACAAGTAATCAAAAAAAGAAGAAGAAGATGGAGAAGAGGAAAGAAAAGAGGAAGTGGGAGAAGAAGTCACTTGTCATTTCCACCTCTATCTGGTTTTGATTCCAGTTTGTTTGCCTTCACCTTGTGGTATTCTTGGGAAAGAGAGGCTAAGTTCAAAGTGCTTCTTTCCACCCTGACATTCAATTGGGTGATAGCAAATTGTTACTGAAGCCCAGTGTAATATTTTAAAGAGGCTATGAGTTGGAGCACATTTGATAGAGTAATATCTCATCTGAAAGGAGAGATTATTCTCCTGCTGATCATGTCATGTTATGGTGGGCCGCATACGTTAGTATCTGCTAAAACAGTGGGTAGTATTAAAGGCACACTCTGTTTTCTTACTCAAACTCTGAGTGTCCTTTGATATTCACCTACAAGCAACAAAAATATTGTAACCAGTGTGGGTGGCTACTGGTGGATATTTACCTCATGGCTTCAGGACTCTGTAAATATCCACCACCAGGCACCTCCTCTCTAGTGATTAGTCATTAAATAGAACGGTTGGTTTTTGTGTGCCATGGTTGGACTTAATTACCCAGCAGTTGCATTTGTTTTATTTTGAAATGTTGTTGCACATTTATAAACAAATCCAACTTATGTCATATTTTACAGGAAGTACAAAACTTGAGAATGAAATGTTGGAATAACATGGCTGCTGCCCAGCTTAAGGTAACTAGTTCCTCATTGAAAGGACTAATCACCTGACGTCTAAACTATGCTACCTTTGAATTTATACACACATCATATTATGACAATGATCATTATTTTCTAGATAAAGGCGTACTCTGCGGCAGAGAAATCTTGTTCTCAGGTATTACAAGTTGATCCTGACAATGTAAAGGCTCTCTTCAGGAAAGGGAAGGTATGCTCTCCAACTAATTTCCCAGCTGTGCAGTAGCCTCCTTGTATCTACAACAATGTGATGATATTGATAGACATGTATTAATCCCAACAGGTTTTAGCAGCCAGTGGAGATACAGGCCAAGCCATAGGGTTTATTAAGAAAGCAGATCAGCTGGATCCAAGTAATTCAGTAAGTTTCCCAGTTTGTATAAAAAAAGATTTGGGGAAAATCTGTTATCGCCCACCAAACGTAACTTAGGGCCGAACGCGTTCCCCTTTATGTACGCCAGTCCTTCACGATGGTACCAAAAGACTCTTACTGGACTTTCTTATATGTGAACAATTTTTACGTATTAGTGTTGCCTTTCTATCTATCTATCTATCTATCTATCTATCTTTCAGTGTGTTGTGCTTTTTAAAAAGAAACTTGCTCCGACATTCTCTTTCTCTAAGCTGGGATGTGACAAAATTGCGGTCTGACTACAGGCCAAAAACAAGGGAAAGGGACCGGGGGTGTGCCCTCACTCCATTATACAGACTCACTGAACCGTATCACCATAAATTTACACTGAATTTCTCCAAACCCTGTGCCTTTTAAGAGTCATTTTGGTGGTTCGGTGGTTCTTAGGAGTCCAATGGTTACTTTTCAGACAATAAGAAAAGAACTCAATCGACTGCGACAACTACTGGCTTCGGAAAAAGAAAGCGAAAGAACAATGTATCGACGAATGGTAGGAGACCTAACCAGAAGAGGAAGTAAGAAAAATAACCGATCGGTACGTATTGTATTCTGTGATCCCTTACTGCACTACATTATTGTATTAGAATATCCAATTTTCTACTGAAGTTCCTAACGAGCCACTTTCAGGAGAAGATTGTATTCAGTAAGGTTAAGCTGTGTTGATACACGAACGAAATATATATAACATACTAGTATCTTTTATCATATTTGGTTCTATCCTGGTGACGAAATAAAGGACGGTCGACAGATTCATTAGACCCCCCTCCCAAGCCCCCTTCTAACGAACCCTTGTTATAGGTCATGTGAGCTCTTGCTGCGTTCCCTGTAGACACCCTGAAAAAACTGAGAAACGCAGTGAGACTTAATTTGTCAAAAAAACAAAACAAAAAAAAAACAAATAGAAGAAGAATGAGGAAAGAAAACTACTCGTGCCACATGATGTCTGTTTACTAGTCCCTTATGGACAATTGAAGTCGAGCGATCTTGTAGTTTGAGAACTGTTGCCTGTTTTGTTTTTCAGTTTCTCGGATGGCCGCTCGTGTTCGGAGCTACGGTTGTTGCTCTTGGAGGAATTCTTATGGCTATTTACCTAACCAAGCATTGAGGGATTGCGTTACAAGTCTTCAAATATTATGTTTTAAGTTTAATTGTTGTCAGTTGAGTCACATGGGGTAGTAAGTAGTCGGCCGTGTTTTGAGTCCCGCTGCTTTTACACCGTCAGTAGATTTGGAGGCGCCATATGTTTGTCAATCCCCTTGTGACGTGTCACCATGTTATGTAACGTAAGATACAGCTATGGATGAAATTAGTTATCCCCAGATTCTGCGTACGACTTAAAGGTGTGATGTCATCAGAGTCCAGGTTATTTCCGAAAGAGAAAACTCCGCTTAAATTGACTAAAACCCTAAAATTAAGAATCGCAAAGAAAAATGAACATCGCCGAGTGGAAAGTACACCAAAAAGGAACAAGAGCGAGGGAGTTTTGAAAAGATAAGCACGGATTGGAACTAATGATTTTTTAAAGATACGTAAGACTTGACTTAGCTCCTTGAATTACTTTGTACGCTTCCCCAGAAACCTGCAGTTATGTTGTAGTTTTGAGAAGATTAATCCTTTAACTCCTAAGATCTGAATGTTAACTCTCTCTCGTAGCTGCTACACATTTCCTTGTAAATTAGTTATTAGAACTACTACCTGATTAGATTAAGTATTCTCATTACCTATTGTTGGGTAATGCTTGAATAATGTAGGGAGACGTTACTTGTTGATCACTTTTGGGAGTTAAAGAGTTAATGCAAAAGTCGTGGACTCCATGATTGTGGCTGATAAATTGATGTCACTATTGAACAAGGCAGATTATGAATGCGTGTCTCCCTGTGAGCGTGTGACTTTGTTAAAACATGTTAAAAAATAAAATGATTAACTTCAAAGAAACACGATTTTTTTTGTGATTTCCTTAGTCGTGATGTTACTATTTCATTATTTTATTATTAGATAGCGAAACGCTGAATCAGTTCAATCACTATAAATGGGGTGAGATGGAGGTTTATTTACTTACTTGATTTGCAGATGGCTGCCGAGAAAAGTCAAGAAGGGTTTTTTTCTTCACTATCTACGCTGTATGAACGATCTGATTCAAGTATGTTAAGACTTTCTCAACGTGAGAATTTTAGAGACAGTCTCCGGCGAACCCCAGAGCGGTATATAAGCTATTATTAATGCTTGTTTTATGAACGGCTACTCCATTACAGCCGAAAGAATTTATTTATATGTAGTTCTGCTCCATGGAGTCGACTGAAAGGTTCATTGTGTAGAACTGTATGTTAACGACCCTGTCAGGGTTCCCATAGCGCTTGGTGACACAAGTATCGAGAGCAGCAAATGTTCGTAAGTTCATCTTTTCGCCGTGTTTCGCTACTATTTTAGTATCCACGTGCTTAACGCCCCGTTTACGCATATTAAAATACTCGGTTAACTCTGATGTTCTGTTAACAATAGGAACCTTCTTGAGGGCAAAAGCATGAACTCATAACTGGGAAAAATTGTCTTATCAGTTATAGCGTGCAGTCTGTCTTCAAGAATGTAGTATTCTAAGCTATCAGCTTGTAATTATCACGAGTGCTCAGAGTCTGTTAAGTGAAAACCACTCCTCGATAATGGCAACTTGGTTTTATTTCCACTGATGCTTCACCCGGCAATCACATCCGTCTTCTAAGTCATTTGTGTTTACCGAAAGTTTCGTTATATGGTGGAAGGTTGATTTCCCAGACTTCACCATGTGATTTTTTTCTGTCTTGCTCAATAGCTCGCTTTTATTACTTTGAAATTGCCCTTATGAATACCTCTCAAAGGAAGGAAAGTGTACGGCAGCTAGTGCCGCAGACAGTAAGTGTTTGAATGCGTACGTATGTGGTATGGTTGAAACAATTTAGTGTAGCTACAGATTTTCTCCGACCGCAAGAGCCACTTCGACAGTGGTAGAACACTAAGCCGCCCATTCAGCTTGCAGCTCGATTGATCTTCAAGTTTCTAATCTGCAACTCAATCAAAAAACGTTTTCCTCTGGGCGGGCGTTTCGTAGATTTCTCAGTTAGGATCTAGCTCAAATAAACCGTGTTTCAGATTACATGTTTTATTCATTCCCGGCCACAAATCAAAATCGAAATAAAAATCCAGTTCTATTTTCGCTCTCCGAAAGAAGTTTGATTGTTCTGACAAAATTGAATTTCACAACGAAGAAAAATGCAATTTCTTTCGTGTACTCTTTATATGCAAACATGTTTTAAACAGTAATTGTACGGGTATTATATTAGAAGCGTTTTTTAATTAAGCGCAAAAGACAACTGTTAGCTGTTGAATAGAAACACATGTAAGGTGTCTTGATATCTGGTCTAATATCATCTGGTTTGGAACTGAAGCAGAGACAACTTTCAATCTAATTTGGCTATGGAAGTTTACAGTTCAAACGTTTAATGATAGTCAGTATCAAGCCTCACTGATGCTTATGTACATCTTGACCGAAATTTATGGTTTTTCACCAAAGTACACCGTATGTTGACAGTGTTTTTATATTGCTAAATCTCTAAGAAGCTTGTAATTTTTGTGAATAGAACTATGTAGTGTCTTGAAAATTATCATTTCAGTAATTTCGAAATAACATTTATTATCGTCGAGTGAGATTCCTTAGATTGAAAGAGAATTAACTTGATTGGGCGAATTGTGACGAAAAGATTTGCTCTGTAATCGAGCAACAAAGGGCTGCGGATGTCGCGTTCGGCCAATAGGAAATCACAAGTAGACAGCGTCTAACGAATGAGGTATGTGATAAGCTATTTTGATGTCGTGTTGTTTAAAGTAACAATTTCAAAATATATTTAGGAACCGAACACTTGGGATTCCTAAAAATATTTTTCAAAAGAGACCTTAGCCGGCGTTTTCTTCAAAGAAGTTATAATATTTCTCGGGTTTAATTTTAAAACATGACCAGCGAAGAAAGGATACACCTGGTTTCACAGAAAGTGGGTGAAGACGAAGAGTGTACAAAACAAGCAGGTGCAGATGGCGCGGAATCCTCTGATGCCGAAACCGCTTTCGAAGATGTTCCAGTGTACATTACATGCCCATATTGCCATGAAAAAATTGTCACTCGTACCAGTTTCAAATCTGGAAAATATACCTATTGGACCTCGGCCTGTCTATGCATATTTCAGTAAGTATGAATGAGCATTTCGCTCCAAATATATTTTGTTTCTGTTGTATGAGTGACTCTTGGAGTAAATTCATTCTCTGTGGTTGGAAATATCGCCATGAATATGATTGTTCCGAGACTTACATGTATTCAAAACAAGAGTATCGAATCAAATTTTTCGTTTGTGTTTCACGGAGGCAGACGGATTTTTTCATTGAAAATAAAGCCGAATTATTCAATCAGAATCAAAGTTTGTCAATGGAATTTTAGTCAGTTATCACGATTTGAAGTGAAATTTATTTAGGAACAATCTCGGATCAAAAGTCAGTAAAATTAAATAAGTTTGGGTCTTTGTTTTCATCTGAGATCATATACAGTACATTTAATTTCAGACTTCACCTATTTTAAATCGAATCAAACAGGGTTGTTTTGCAAACTGTCTGCCGTATATAGAATAAACAGTACTGATTTAATTTATCGAATGCAGATGAGTAGCTCTTCGCGCGACTTGGATTTAGCAACAGTAATCAGCTTTACTGAGGAGCCTGTGTCGTAAAACTCGATATAAACACATCACCTTTTATCAATTAGTGCCCTAACGCCACGCGCTCTGAAACGAATCTTCCCTCACGAGAACCAATCATTTGACCGAGAACTTGGCGTGAAATGTTTCAGTTATGTAGATAGTTGTCAAAACATTCTTTTCATATAACAATCGCACTATAAAGGAGGGGACACCTCATGCTGACATGATACAGAACAAACCTTTGTTACTAATCAGCTTCACTTCATCAGCTTCTCCACCTGCTCAATTTTTTTTCTGTATTCATTTTCCGACTAGCTGAGACGTGAGGATGACGGGGAAAATTTACAAGCGACGCTGTTCTTAATTATTTGTCTGCCCGGTATACATTTTTCATGTCGCATACGGTTTTTTTTTCAACAGTTTCGAACTTGAAAAGTTGATTCGTGTTGCACTACCTTTAATTATTGCTAGAGTATCAACAACGTGTTGAAATAAATGAAGCTTATTCAAATTGCATTTGATAAAAGGGACAAAGAAATCTTTGAATACTAAAAGAGTCACTTGTTAAGGAATGGACTCCCGAGAAACGTGTTTTAGAAGTAACAACATTGAATTTTAAGGAAATATAAAAAAGCAATAACCTTTTCAACTGGTGTAAAAGGTTATTATTGAAATAATTTTATCTTGTGTTATCTCTCGGGTGTCGTTCATTTTTATTATTCATTCTTTTTTTTGTTAATTTTAAAATTATTTTCATTCCTGTTTAAAAGGTTGGCTCCAGGCCACACAAAAAACCTTAACCTTGTGTCTGATGCATTTGATTTCAAGTCGTCAACTTGGGAGATTCACGTGACTTTTTCTGACAAATAACGCTTGCTTTGGTTATTACCATGGTATGGTATCACTTTCACAGTGATGAGACATATTTTTCAACCTATCCCTGTTAATTTCAAAACGTCATTTTACTAATGGAAAACCCTACTCCTATTTCGCAAAACAGCTTCTGTTTAGTTGATCTCATATGTTTTTGCCACATCGAGCAATAGACCTTAATAAAGTAGTGAAAAACTAAATCAATGTTATATTAGTTCTACAAGAAGCTTATCATGCTGAGCAATGAAAATCACCGCCGGAGATCTTAGCCAAGTAATACACAGTCACTTTATTATTTTTTAAAATTTCTCTTATCCTTTCTATTCCTATAATTTTCCATCACAATTTTTACTCTCGTTAATCTTCGTAATTTTACGGCAAGTTTAAAAGGCACAGTTAACAGTTATGCGCAAATATTTTTTAATGGTTACTTTCCTGTTTCCCAGCGTGATTTCGAATGTCTAAGCTGGTGGTATTACGTTTCAGGTGTTACTGTTGTATGTGGATACCGTTTATAATGGACGGGCTCAAGAATGTAGTTCACACTTGTCCAAAGTGTGGTGAAAAGATTAGTGAATACAGTCGCTTTAGAGTGGATCGAATATGGAACAAAAAGAAGAAACACAGACAAGCACAGCATAATTACACCAGAGGATGACGGGACACAATGGAGATACAGTGGCTGAACTCAATTACTTGGTTCTGCTGTGGTCATTAAGACGGAGAGGATAATGAACAAAGACAAGTTGATGTGGTCGAAATCGTTCTCACAACTGGGAAAAAAGGCTTATGCATAAATGAAGAATCTTTAATTCATGAATTTACTCGCCATAACTGAGATGGTTTCTCGATCTAAACTGACACTTTGGCAAATACACTCTTTACAATTAATTAAAGGAGATCTTCCAGCCCAGTTCACTCAAAAAATGTTGATTATATATTTTTCAGTAATTTTAAAGGTAACTTTGAACAAATTCAAATTATGAGATCGGTTTACTTATGATCACAAAAAGCAAATTTAGCGAATTTTGTTTTCTGGAAAAATTTTTGGGTTGAAATTTGGGTGATAATTTTGTCACCTCGGATCGTATTGAAATCCTACCGGTGAAGTCGAGACGAACTTACTAAACGTTTGTACACTTAATTCAATAAATATGGTAACAAACAAGTTTGTTTCGGCTAATTCGTGCATCTTGGCAAGAGACATTGAGGGTGGGGCTCGGGAAGTAGTTTGAAAGTACCCTAAACTGACCCTTTCCATTGAATGTCCAAAGTATCCCCTTTCTAGATTGTGAGAAGACATTATATTTTCAGAAAATCTGTTGTGCTTCTTAAAATGCTTACATTTGCGAAAATTTGTAAAATCATGACGTGGTCACTTGCAGGATGCAACACACACATGAACTGGAAACTTACAGAGCGAATGTAAGACAGCTTGATACCGGTTTTACCTTCATACATATGTGTAACAGTCTATAGTTAGACAAGAGATTTTACATTAATATTCTCTTGGGTTACAAAATTGTAAGTGATTACACCACATCCTATTTATAAATAATATATATGTGTTTTCCAATTAACGGATTCAGGGTACTGTGTTCGGCTATACGTTGATGCAAGTATCACTTTTTTTTAGCACTTTTCTAAATGTGGTCTATGTGATATGAACTTTGTTCGATACACCAACCGACTCTTCGATCAACATTTTGCCGAAAACACATGCTTAACACCCACAGAACCTCAAAACCGGTTTTAATTAACAACTTTTCAGTACTGGAAAAATGCTGCAACAAATTCGATTGACTTATCCTCAAAATGATAATTATTCAAGATCTCAAGCCAACTCTGAACGTGCAAAATAACTCAATTCGCGCGAAACTATTCAAGTGAGATAACATGCAAGTGTATATTACTTTAGTTCCACTAATTTACATTCAAACTGCAATAAAACTGTCATTTCTACCTTGATAATGATGTCCGCAACATCGAAATGTCAAACAGCCATAGTTTTATCATTTCTATTAAAGTTTTTCAGTAAACCACTGTCATTATTATTATTATTATTATTATTATTATTATTATTATTATTATTGTTATTATATTGGTTATATTGGTTACATATTGGTATCAATTGTCAGTGAAAGCAACCATGCTATTAGTCGAGAAAATCTTTTCCCACACACATAAGCTACCACTGTTGACCTTAATGTGCATTCAGCGCAGCAGGCAGCCCGAAGTGAGAGCGAAAAGGCACTTAAAAACTCAGTCGATCATATCAAGAATACAGTACCAAGAAAAGTATCAAGATCTCTAGATCTGGCTGGAGAAAAAGGAACATCCATTTGGCTGTCGGTGGCGCCGATGAAAGAAATGGGTTTTAACCTGAACAAGAGGGAGTTTAGAGACGCTATCAAGCTACGATTGGTCAATTGACGACACTCCCCGCACATGCGTTTGCGGCGAAACCTTTTCTGTGGACCATGCCATTATCTGTAAACGGGAGGGTTTTGTAATTCAGCGCCATAATGAGTTATGCGATATCGAAGCTGAGTTACTTTGTATGGTATGCAATGATGTTCAGACAAAACCCGTCTGAACATCAGGCGAACAACTAAGTAGAGGGAAAAACTGGACGTTCATGCACGTAGATTATGGGAAAGACGATGCAACGATCTGCCTTTTTTGATGTTAGGGTATGTCACTCAAATGCAGACTCGTATCAAGGTCTTGAACCTCAGTAGATCTTAAGAATGCACGAAAAGGAGAAGAAGCGTCTAAATGGGGACAGAGTTATTGAAGCTAAACATGGTACATTTACACCAGTGGTCTTCACCAAAACCGGAGGTACGGGAAAAGAATGCGGTATATGCCATGGCAGACTGGCTGAGCTGATTTCAACTAAGAAAGTAGAGAGTTATGCAAAGACCATCTCATGTATCAGAGCGAAAACGTCTTTCTCATTATTAAGATCCGCTCTATTGTGTCTGAGAGGCTCAAAGACTATTAAGAGAGTCCCGTGCGACATTAAGAACATTGATATCCAAACAACAGAAAGGGCCATGTCCATTGAATTTTAGACGTACATTCTTTTATATGTTCCTTTTTTCTTCTCTTTGTAAATATTGACTTTTAGACTAGTTATCGTTCACAAGTATTTGAGAGATTGAATTCTAAATCGTTGCTTTTTATGTTGATAATGTAAGTTCTTCGGAGTTAATATACATTTTGGTACAAAAAGCACGATTTGTTTTCGCTCTATATCGATCTGTAAATATTCCGACTGAGTTGTGGATAAAGCATTATTATTATTGTAACTTTTTTCTGGCTTGGAATCCGGTGGACTCGTTAATTCAAGCACCATACGATGTACAAAAGACTGTGATTAAAATACTGCAATGTTGTGTGCTGAATTCCCTAAAGTAGAATTGACCGATTTGAGTGACACGGGTAGGCACAAGTTATAATGCACCAGGTAAATTTCGCGACCTGTAATAGCTTGCTTCGAACATGGACTGGGCTTCTATTTGCCAAAATTCCCTCTATCTTTTCAAAGTAGCTAGTGGACAGAAAACCTGTGGTAATGTCAGACTGGTTCTTCGAGGTTTTGCATGTAGATTCGTGTGAGTGGTTAAAACCAACCTTTGGATCCTCAAAAAAAGGTCCATTTCCCCTGAATAGAGATGGCCCTTTGATGGAGTTACAGATACAAAGGTTATATGAACATTTTTCCGGGAACAACGTTGTTTCCATGGAATGGCGGTGTTCCCTGAATAGAGGTGTCACAAAAGAGAGGTTCCACTGTACTTAGAATACTCTCTTGGAAAGAAAATCTTAAAATTTTCTCACTTCGATAAAGCTGAAAGCGCTCAGTCCCCGTGGAACTTGTGGAGTTGATTACCGGCAGATTTATAAATTTGTTCCCCATTAGTTATTTATCTATCTATTTATTTGGTTTCACCGCGCAAAGCCTAGAGTCTTGTTAAGTTTCGATAAGTTTTCTGGTCATGACACGATCGACACCCATCCAGAGATTGGTCTCGTGAATGGTAATAAAAATTTACAGCGTTACTCAGCTAGCTTTTCGCTAAAAAGAAAAGAAAAAAAAAAACAAGACCAACTTAAACATGTTGATTTCCAATAGAATTGATCTGTGATGAACAGAAATAAATTATTTACCCCGTTTGACTGCAACACACCTATTTGTAAATGGTGTAATGAAAAATTCACAGTCCTCATTCCCAGTCTTTTTCTTCGTCATGTGTGATCCTCAAACACCTCGGTGACGCTTACACGATAAGCATTTGGAATTAATGAGAGGATCGTGGAGATCGAAAAAACTATGGAAATTGTAAAGGAAGATTTTCTTTGTAGAAAGCACATTCAGTTCTTTAAACGATGCTTAGAAGTACTGCCATCGCCCTATAGCTCTTTAGATACCAGCAGGTTTGTTTACTTGCCATCGAATGGCACCTAGCGGATTTTATTATACTCTTCCTTAAGCAAATTTTTGCGTTCTACACTACTGTCAGACAGATTGGCCATCACTACGACTGTCACAGTATTTCTTCTTCATTCCTGATGTTTTGATGACTTTTGCATACGGCTTTCGAAATATTGAAGAATGATCTGTAAGCCCGGCTAACTTAAATGAACTTTCTCATTAACTCTTTTGAAGAGTTAATTGAGCTCTGTAACATACACTGTCATTTACTCTTTAAAACAACAGGGATGGATGTCAGTCCGGAATTTATCAATATTGATTTTCGAAGTTGACCAGGCTTTTTCGGAGCAATTTGTAACTTATCAACTCTGTGTGAACTGAAGGCCTGTTAGATGTAGAAATTTTTGGTTTGGTGGAATCATGTTAAGGAATGTCGTTTTTAAGTATATATTTAAGCATGTTTATTTATTTTTGTATTTAATCATTCATTTATGTACTGAATAAGACTTTGAAAATTTGTCCAGAAACAATGTAGAAGATTAAGAAGATTAATCACTTCATCATAGGTGTTTTTGTTTTACCTCAGATAATGTGATAATTTTATTTTGTAGAATAACTGTGGCATTCTTTGCTCTTTCTGGTTTGGATATATTGAATTCACTTGACTCAGTTGAAAATGACAAAAACAACATTATTGAATGGATATACCATAACCAAAAGCTTCCTAGTGAATCTGGTAAGTATTTTTCAGTTGTATTGACTCAGTTGTACTGATTCATCGAAATACCAACACTAGTCAGTTATAAGTAGTCCCTGTTTACACAGATACTGAGGTTGTCCATGATCTATCATCCCATTGTAACAAAGTATGAAATATGTGCCTGGCTGTGTGTTTTTAATTACATGTATGTTCTAATTGCTTTTTTCCTTAATTGTGGTCATAGCTTACTACTTTTGGTTATAAATGCTTCATCTATCTGCAACCCTTTAAATCTTAACAACAGTATGCATATTCTCCATTCTGTTCTCCATAGATTTCCTAAGGTTCTGACAAGGAGAATTTAATTCACAATTAAGAGCTTCTTTAGTTTGGTGATTCAGTGGTGACATTGTAAGAAGAAATTAGATGTTAATCACTTTGAGGGGTCAAAGGGTTTAATTCTTTGTAAAGCATTTGGAGTTAAAATGCATATAAATTTATTATAAATTTTTTTCTTTAGATAATTCAAGTATATTTAGATGCGGTTTCCGGGGATCATCAACAACAGCCTGTGACAGAATGCTCTCACAGGTACAGTTATTATAAATTGTTGCATTTTGGTTTACAGACAGACTTCTTTTGCTGTGGTTTTGTTGTTCCCACTTCAAAGGAATTAAGTAGATACTAGGTAACAATTACCTTTATCTTTTATATAGTGTTATTGTTCCCACTTTTTAAAAAAAATTAGATGCCTGTTAATAACAACTAGGTTTTTTTCATTCAGTGGGAAATGACTTTGTTGGAAATATTTTACCAGGTAGTAAATCTTAGAAAATATCACGAACTTAGCTGAAACTGTGTTATGCAAAATCACTGAGTGTAGGAGTGTACAAGGGGTTTGGTGACTGTCAGTTCATTTTCACTTTAGGGCAATTGATAGGGTGAGTTCTAACTTAAACTTTTAACTCCTAATTATGACCAGGACAGAATTTCTACTACATTATCAATACAGTATCAAGCATACAAGTGTCAAGAATAGAGAAGAAAATTAGGGAACTACAAGTTGATACAGTACCAAATTCTCCAAATTGATATCATAAGTATTTTATGGCAGGCAGTAAGGATGAGATCTTGGGAGTGAGAGGGTTAAAGTTATTTATGTCTACAGGAACCACTTTGTGCAGTGATTGAGTGATGGTAACCTCTATCAATATGCTTTTTGGTGTTCAGATCATCCCTGGGCATTTAGTTCTTGCATTTAATGCATGTTCTATCAGACAAGCTTAAAATTGTCTCCCTATTCTCAGCATTTTGCATTCTGTAAGGTTTTTGTTCTCCATCTTGTCAGCTCCCTTTAGATTGGGTTTTGTCATTGTAAGTTCAGTTCATGCAAATATCATCAAGTTTCTTATTATTTTTCATTGTAATGATGATCTTCTTTCAACAGAAGTAAAGGTTTCTTTTTTATTTAAAGGATGTTTGTGAGTATGACTGTAGTCATATTGCTATGACTTACACAGCCCTGGCCAGCCTGCTTATTTTAGGAGATGATTTATCAAGAGTGAATCGACCAGCCGTAATTGCAGCTCTGAAGGCCTTACAGCTTCCTGATGGCAGGTCAGTGATCTGTTTTTATGCAGCTATACGAGTATGATTATTATACAGTTGGACTAATAACTTTGTCATTTAACCCTATAACTCCTGTTAGTGACCAAGACAGAATTTCTTGTTACAATATCAAGAACACAAGTGATTAGGATAAAGAAAAATATCAGTGAGGGAATTATAATTTTTTTCTGAACCAAATTCTTAGAATCAACAACATAAAAATTGTATACCAGATAGTAAGGAGAATTACTAGTAATATCTTGGGAGTAAAAGGGTTAAGAAATTGAATGTAAAATCATATTTATTCACTGGTGCATGTGCAAGAGACTCTGCTTGAATTGATATTTTTTGTGAAATTTCCATAATTATTTAAATGTCAGTTCTTTAAATGTGAAAAATATGTAAAATAGCATTTTACCTTTATAATTCACCAATGAATAAACCTGGTGAGCTTTCGCATGAAAATATATCTTCCCTCAAATCAAATCGAAGGATTATTTGGGTTCAGCCTCTGTAAATGAAATTCAAGCCCTTCACTCTGCTACTCACTGGATTTGTTCTTGTTCTTCCAAGCTCATATTTTATGCTGTGCTAGTCTGCCTGGTCTAGTCTGCCTCCAGTCATTTGATATTTTTAAACACATTTGTTTCCAATTTTGTTGGTATAGGCCCTGAAATGCCCTGTTTGAGAAGAGGTCAATTAAGTATATATAAACAGTTAGTGGTACAGGTGGCTTAAATTTGTATTTTTTACCACATGGTTTTACAGCTTCCAGCCCACAATGGATGGTAGTGAAAATGACATGAGGTTTATCTACTGTGCCTGTTGTATAAGCTACATTTTAAATGACTGGAGTGGAGTGGACATTCCTCGAGTTGTTCAGTACATCAAGGAAAGCAGGGTATGAATATTTGTACTCAAATATCATTACATTGTGCTTTTCTTGGAACTTTGAGAATCTTGTTTGTACATATTACAAACATTGCTTATCAACAATAAAACTTAAAAAGTGACAATAAAACTTTAAAAAAGTGACCTTCTCCTCTCATTTTTTGTTCTTTAGTCATATGATTTTGGATTTGGTCAAGGACCTAGCTTGGAAGCTCATGGTCAGTTATAATGGAACAGTTTTCTTTCTATTAGGAGTTATTTAATATAATTGTGGTATTGACTTATCAAAAATTTTAACTTTGATTAACATAATTCACATTCAAGCTGATTGTTATCCCCTCCCTGTTGCAAACTGGGTCAAAGGAACCTCTGGCATAACATTCATTAAAACAATTTTAATCCTTTTAAACATTTATGTGCACTGTGCAAGATGATTTACATGTGTTGGGTTCAGGAATTATCTGGAATGTCACCGGAAATTGTGGCCAAGATGCTCACTATCATGGACTTAAGTTAGAATTTCTGCTAAAAGAGAGATGAGCTACAAATGTATGGGTTAGTGGCATTCACCTCTATCCCCTCCTTGTGCTAGTGATTAAAGTGAAGCAATAATCAGGCAAAACCTTTTAATGAAGTTTCAACAAGGAGTTATTGATAAAAACCTTTCACCAGCCAAGTTTGAGCTCCCTACTGTTTGTAACAGACAAAGTTATTTCCATTGGATTTATGGCCGAAGAGGAACTGGGCATACCATAAATCAGAGCATGAAAAACCAGGTGCAGTGACAACTTACAGTATGAACCAAGAAAATGAGGGTAGTAAAATATTTATCATATCTCTGAGTTCAAATAGTGGGGAAAGATTTCAACTCAAACAAACTTATGTACATAGAGGGCTGTACAGTGAAATACAGCCAGCTAAATTGATTAATCGTAGTACACATATAAACTGTGAGATACCAGATATAATAAGATAAGCTATGTGATAGGATGATATAATATGAGTGTCTTTTCTTTAATATTAATTAATCTATTCTTATGGTCATTACTTTAAAGGTGGGTCCACATTTTGTGCTTTAGCATCTCTTGTGTTAATGGATCAGCTTGATTCCTCCTTTGAGGCCAAAGAACTTGAAAGAATAAAGAGGTGGTGTCTAGTGCGTCAGAAGTCAGGCTTCCAGGGTCGCCCCAATAAACCAGTTGATACATGTTATTCCTTTTGGGTTGGAGCTTCATTAGAGGTATGAAGTTAAGGACTATTGAAATTTGTTAAAATATGTTAATTACCAGTACATGACTATGATCCTTATTAAGTGCCTCTCTCAAATGCTCTTCTGCTTTGAATCTGATGGAAAATGCATTTAGCCTCCTTTTCTTTGTGATAAATGGAATTCAGATTTATGGATGGAGTAATTTACAATAGACCTTCACTTGTCCCTATCAGAAGCAATGACACTAAGTTTCCTTTGTATGTGTTTTTAGTTACTTGGTGCATTCTCATGCTTGGATTTCCCAGCCAATCGGGAGTACCTTATTTCAGCCCAAGCAACAATGACAGGAGGCTTCAGCAAGTGGCCTGGTAACCATCCTGGTAAGACAGTCAAACTTAGCCCTAAGAAAGACACCAAGTTTAACTATTGCACAGATTCAGGTTATCAATTTATTGTAGACTGTTGTAAATCTATGATGAACATACAGTACTGTTTCTTTTTCAGATGCTCTGCATACATATTTTGGACTTTGCGGGATGTCTCTGATGCAGGAACCTGGCTTAAATTCAATTCATGCGGCATTGAATATTACACAGAGAGCTGCTAATCACTTAAATAAGTTACACAAGCTAATGAATAGATGATAACTGTTTTGGTATTTGTTTGTTATCTATTTTTATGGATGCAAAAATTAGTAACCAAATTTTTTTAGAACTTGAAAAGCTGGCACACACACAAATAGGCTATTGAAAGGAAAGCCCATAGTGAAGATTTCCTGGAAGGGCATACATTCTGAGGGGCAGAGAATGCTCTCATTTTGGGAATTGTGATGAGTGGATTTACGTGATAAGCCAAGAGTCAAGATGTTGATTGCACTAGGAGCATTTCTTCCCTAAGTTTCTCTAAATTTCAAGCAGTTAGTCTCTGAGAGAAAAAGGTTTAAGACATGGATGTCACCTTGGCTTATTCTCCCTGAGGAATGTGCAACTAAACACTGAGAAGTGATATAAGCACACATACATGTTATGACGTTTCCGTGGGCTGTAAAGAGAAAATTTACCTTTGACACCTAGGGAAGGTCTCAGACAATTTTTAACTACTTATTAGTAAAGGCACTGTAGTGTTTCATGTAAATTTAGTGACAAAAGTGATATAAAATGTTACTGGAATTTCAATGTAGTAGGTGACATAATAAATCTAATCCAATGCATGATCATTGCCACTCAAATAAATTTTGTTTTAATGGATGCTTGTCAAATAACTACTGACACCAGAACAGTTGTTTCTTTATTTTCATTTGTGAGATTCAATTTGTTACTCTCTTGGCGACTTTCTTGCTAGAATCTCTGATATCATAACTAAAAATTGATCATCAATATTGTTGTTAAAAATATGATTACCGTATTTATTACACCCATTTTGAAATCACTGGTGGTCCCTGTAATCTGATTGGCTCTAATTGGTGTGATTTATTCTTGAATCCCACCATTTTTTGCTTTAAATTGCATCTTTTTCCCAACCAATGAGGAGGCTACACTAAAAACAAAACAACCAATCAGATTTCAAGGTTTACTGAAAATAACCAATCACATTGCAGGGAAATGAAGGGCAACGAGTATCACGAGGCAAATTTTGCAACTTTTGTTTCCAAAACTCTTATTAAACCAAGAAAACATTTGAATCATGACACAACCATGCCATCAGACAACTTGATGTTCAAAGTCATTAAGGGTTTTACTTCATTTAATCAATAACATTTATCTGTTTCATAGTGATTGTTTAGTGCTACAACCTTGTGTGTGAGAGAACATGGCCTGTTCCAGGTGTTTAATTAGCAAACTGGGATGATGTTTGCAGTAGAGTGAAAAAGCAAAGGTGTGGGTAAGGAATGAGACCTGACCCAAACATCACTCCTTTTTTCACTGCTCTGCTACAATTTTGGCATTAGCTATTGCACTTTGTTTTAACAACTGAATGCCAGGAACAGGTTTGTTTAGAGCATAATCTATGACAGAAATTTTAGAGATAGTAAAGCAAATGTAATGCATACAGCCAGTGTCTTTTTACTTTATATTACATTGCTTATCAATTTTCCTTTAATAAATACATGTATGATGCATTAAGTAATAAAATGATAATGACAAACAACTGTGCATCGCTTAAGACTGATTGGTTCCTTATCATATATCTTCATTACATGAAAGGTTCACTAAAAAACTCCATGAAATATTTCAAAAGCTGACCACCAGAGGAAAGGGATAAATATCCTATTAGACATTTTGGTGTGTAGTGTCACTGAGTATCTTGGCAAGTTGTGCTGTAAAATACAAACAATGAGTAAAAATACTCAGCAACTCTACACACTAAAATGTGTGAGAGTTATTTATCATCCAACTTCTTTGTTTTTGTATGAATTTAGATGCATTTTTTTTACAGGTTGCCTTTTGAAAGAATAAATACAGAGTTCAATGTGAGATGGCTGTTTTTCTAAGCAACAACTAAATTGTTTTAACCATTTAACTTCCAAGATCTGATTTTAGACCAAGATAGCAACTTCTACCTGATAAGTGTGAGTATTTTCATTACCTGTTTGCTGAATGTATGGATACTATAGGGGGAAGTTACATGTTTATCATATCTGGGAGTTAAAGGGTTAACAATGAACAACTTTCAACCCTTCACCCTGACTATAATTATCCTTGAAATTTTAGCCAACAGTTGGCTAATAGTTGACTGACAGGTTTCTTCAGTGAGTTCTTATTTCTACCCTCTGTTGAGACTAGTTATTATAAAAAATATTATGATACGAAATCATAGACAGTGTCTAGATGTAAATTGAAGGTAACTTTTTAGCCATCTGTTTAAACTCTAACAGGGATTCCTTCACTCAACAAATGCTCTTTAACAACATTGATTGAAACTGTGTTTCGATGAAATATTCCTGCTGCTAGTGCTGCATCAGCATGTGCATCTTGGAACACGTCAGAGAAGTGATTGACATGACCAGCACCACTAGAAGCAATCACTGGAATACCAACAGCTTCTTTGACCATGGCAACCAGTTCAAGATCGTAACCACTATTAGTTCTAACCAAAATAAATTCAAAGAAAATGATTAGTCCACAACACCAACTTCTTGCTAGTACTACAATCAGTGAAGACTAAAATCACATTTCCAGTTCAGTATTCAGCCAATTTATCACACTTTCTTTTAGGATTTCCATCTGATCAACTTCATCCAATCAAAAATTATGTCACTGTGGTTTCACACCACTTAAGTAGAGCATGGAGATGAGTTACTACTTGAAAGCCACCCTCCTTTCAGTCCATTCTGTTCACAGATTGGCTGAAATGTCCTTGTGTATGGAGCCTGATTCCTATTAGTGATCTCCTTCTCACTAAATCCTTAAATGCACACCTTACATCCAAGCATTGGAATACACTAACTGAAGGTTGGACTTGCATTTTGCAGTAATTGTGTGAACCTCGATTTACATAATATGATTTACATTGTTACTCACCCATCCCTGTCAATACTGTTAAGCATAATTTCTCCTGCACCAAGAGCTTCACATGCCTGCACCATTTCATACACTCCAATATCTCGCAACTCTCTCCCTCCTTTCACTGTGCACTGGTACCAACAGTATTCCTCACCCGATGGACCAGGGTAACTTGTGTGAATCACATGATGCTGTACAGCCTCACGGGATGGAACACAAACTCGCTTTGGGTCAACTGAGATAACTACTGCCTGACGCCCATATGCAGCAGCTATTGTTTCAATAGAGGTTTGGCCAGTTGCAATTCCACCACATGATATGAAGTTCTCAGCTGCATACACTGCATCACTGCCAATGGACACCTTGTCTGCTCCTGTCAAAATAGTACAGTGGTCCCCTGTTATCCACTGTTTAGATCCAGTTATTAAACAAGCATTGAAGGTGGAAGAGACTAGTTAGCTTGTCTACATGAAGTCTTCATTAGATATGTAACCAGGGATTAGAGCTAACTTCAGGGCACAGACACTTTACTTTTCTCTATTCCTTAACTGTGTTATTGAAAAGTTTATTCTTACTGAAACTCTCTGCAAGGGCCACTTCTACACCCCTCTACAATGGACCATCAGCATATCATAGTAGGATCAGATATTGAGCCATAATTTTCTTGTTTGCATCAAAACAAATAATAATCAAAGTTATTTAGCATTAAAATGACCCCAGCACAGAGTTCTGTCTTAGGTTGGCTGTTTCAACTAGTGATATATGCTTGTCACACATAACACTTTCATAAAATCAATAATTATAGGCAAATATTCAAAACTAGTTTCCAGTATCATACAAAGGTCACTTTATTTACCAAAAAGTTTAATACATTACCAGATCTGAAGTATTCAGCTGCCACTTCCACAGCTGAGTAACACTTCATCTTTGATTGGTCACCATCTTTGCCTGGGGCAAGTATCTCACGAATACCACCCCCGACAGTAAGGGGGACAAAAATATTTTCAGATGCTTGCCGAAGTACCTCTAGCATTGGAAGATCATGGAGAGGGCAGTTTTTGAAGCTTGTAATATTCAAAAATACTATTTCGTCTGCTCCTTCCTTGAAATACCTGCGTGCCAACTCTACAGGTTTTCCAAGGTTTCTCACAGCACCCTTAATTTGTGTGACAGAATGAATATTCTCTGTAATGGATTGTTCGCGCACATCATATTGTTCACCTTTGGTGACCACAAGGTCTCCTTGATCATTATTGCGGACATCAAGACAAGCAATGATGCGATGACCAAGTTGTGTTGGCTTACTGGCATCAGGCAGTTTGTAGGGAATACTTGCAACCTTTCCACTCATTGGAAAACTTTCCAAGAAGCTCTTGATTATTTTAATTCCCATTTCTCCACTTTTCTCTGGGTGGAACTGTGTAGCAACAATATTTCCCTTTTGCACAATGCTGATAAACTCCTCTCCATAATCAGTAGTGGCAAGAACCCACTCATTGATCTCTTTGCTTTGTGAATTTAATGCATATGAGTGGACAAAGTAGACTTTTTCTTCACTGGAGAAACCAGTTGGGAACAGAGCTGATCCCTTACGAAGCTTAAGTCCATTCCAACCCATATGTGGTACAGCAAGACCTTCAGCCTTGTTGAATTGTGTCACAGTTGCAGGTATCACAGACAAGCCTTTGGTACCTGGAGACTCTTCACTGCCATCACACAATGTCTGAAGTCCAAGACAAATTCCTAAGTATGGCTTGTCTTGTTGGATGTACTTCTTAAGTGGTTCTACAAAACCACTGCTTTCAAGAAGAGCCATTGCACTTCCAAAGGCTCCAACACCTGGAAAGATAAGCCTTTCTGCACTTAGGATATCCTTGGCATCTTTCACAAATTTCACATTGTAACCAAGAAGTTTAAGAGCATTAATGAGACTTCGGATATTTCCTGCTCCATAATCAAGGACTGTCACTTCAGACATCTCTGAGGTCTTGGGTTTTTGTCACAGGTGTGTCCTGAAAAAAACAATTGGTTTTGAAACATGATAAATAATTGCAATTAAAGAATTACATGTTTACAAGACTGTACAGAAACAGTGAGATGAAATAGTGCAAAAAGATGATTTTGAATAACTTATTTCCCCAACAATTACAAGATTTTTGGGTGCAAACCCTTAGCACATTGCACAGAGGTAAATTGCAAAAGATATCAGAGTTTGAGTACCCAATTAGAGTATTCCCTAAAAGCTATCCACTGTTTAAGTACATACTAACATGGTATAGTCCATGTACACTCACCCACTCAACAGAGATTATCTGGTAGATAGAAATATCCATCCTTCTAACAACCCTGGCATATTTACGTTCTGGACTATTAAGCAGTGAGATTTTTTCTTGAATTGAATATACCTTTTTCAGATGGCATAAATGTTTGATTGACAATTTATTTCTGTTCCATTGTTTTCTTTCTAATATTCCCCTTCCAACTTGTAAGCTCTCCTTGAGGAAACAGTTTCAAAAAACCTTAAAACAGATGTGTATCAGTTTTACACATGTTCATTCCCATTAATCTCTGAATTACTGGTGACACCACCTGTAATTGTTTAAGTTGGACACTTCCTTAAGACTGACAGTTGGAATCTGTGCCAATGTTAACTAAGAGACAAGTCACATCAAGAAAAATAATCTTTTTTGCACAAGAACAGGCTCAGAATTTCATCAATACACTGGAAGTTTGGCCTACCAGCTCCTCACTCAAGACAGATAAGAGGAACACAGGGTACCCACCAGGTATGTATACTGAGTGTGGCAACTCCACACTAAAGCATGCCTAAAGGATTTTCAATCTGATTGAAAATTTTGTCTGCTAGATTATGAATACAATTACACATCCTATTTTTCAGATTGACAGAAACATTTAACATGATTAAAAACAGCTCACAAAGCCCAATGTATATTTGATGTTTTGATTTACAAGGCCTTCGAGGGATCTTGGCAACAAGCAACATTGCTAAAAAATATGGTGAAAATCTTGTTCAGGACCACCGACAGTCCACAAAAACTGATAGAAAAGAAGCAATATTTTGCAACAGCGACTATCCATTTTTAATTTTGATGAAGTGACATTTCTTTGCTTTGATATTCATGGCAGAGACATTGTGACCAGGACCGCATGACTCTTTTGTGATCTTTCCAGCCTCACTAAACTAATAAACCACTAAAAAGTCAAGACTCCTTATTCAAACCATGATATAACATTTATCTAGAGAAAATTGTGTTCTTCATTACTATATATGTGTAAAAGATAAGTACTTGAGTGGGGAAGCTATCGGCCAACGACCGATAATGAAACACAAATATGAAGCCTTGAAGTGGTCTCTGTAATTCTTACTACTCCTCAAGCCAATAAAAATTTATGTGTGGTTGATCCTTTGTTAAAAAGACAACATGCCCCAGTGCTGGCACAAGTCAAAAATGATTGTATTGCCAAATTTAGTGTGACAACGCCATTTTTATTCTAGTAAAGAACTCAAAGTGACAGCAACATTTGTCCCTTACCAAATAAGAGACAGGAGTGTTGATATACGAGCAACAAGGGGACATCAAAACCCCCCCTTGGAAGGCCTCATTTACAGCTGGGTAAGATTCCCCCATAGCCCCATCCTTCATTATGCATACAGTTCTTGGATAAAGATAACAATGGCGAAAACAATAGATTGCCTTTAGGAATACAGTTTTGTTTTACAATACTACAGGGCTGTGTGGGAATCTTACCTTCATCCTGTAATAGGATGAAATAGTCACATACTCTATTGTAATAAAGTCTTCAACTTAAATATCTCTTCAGCCTGGCTAACATACCCTCTTTAAGAGCGCGCACAAAGAACGGGTTCATTTTGATCTTAATGCAGAGTACATCACTGAAACGGACCAGAAAAATACTTAGGTAAAATTTCCGCACAGCCCCATACTGTTGTAAAACAAATCTGTTTTCCCAATGGCAATGTATTGTTTTTGTCATTGTTTTCTCTATCCAAGAACTGAATGCATAATGTAGGATGGGGCTGTACGGAAAATTTACGAATGTTTATTTTTTTATCGATCCCTAATTTTCAACACTCTGTTGTTTAAATTAGAATACTTCCGAAGTTTCGTGAAAGGACGATATACACTTACCACATGTCCCTTAGCTCCTGCTACGGGCTCCGGTGATAGCGGTCATCAACTAAAATTTACCCAGGTTGCCCTTTGTTCTCCCCACTAGAAGGTCACGTGGTCTGATATACTTCTCTCTGGCAGAGGTAGCAGCGTGGACATTTGCCGGAAAATAGGCTTTGCAATCATGCTTTCATCACGACTCACGTCCATTTTAACGAGAAGTTTGGCGAGAAGAACACCTCAGGTAAAGTAATCAGTTTGTTAAAGCCCTTTTAGGTCCATGTCCCAGTCGTATTTGACAAATTAAAGTCGTGAAGGAAGAGCGCGGCCTGGTTGCACCGTGAATCGGCTCGTAATGGTTCAAGGGATGCAGCGATCAAAAGTTCGGAAATTTCCCAGTAATAGGTGACAAAGTCTAGGGAAAACTTTCTTTGATATCTTATTCGAAGAAGTGGATTAAAAGAATAACTCATTGCTCTCTGAAATTTCTGTTGTCCATGGAATATAGTGATGGAACATTTCCGTAACTCAATATCAAAGGTTTTGCAGTCCAGAGGGGTGTACCGGATAACGCCGTGAGCCGCATTTACTATTGGTCAGCCACCCAACTCGTAACCAGAAATGCAATTGAGTTTCATGTCTTTTATAAACCACATTTTATCTACTTTGCATAATGTTACGGCACCTTCCGTTAGTAAACGTCAAGACTTAAATCTCGCATATGCTAAGTCTTCCTCAATTTATTAAGGGGGCTTTTGATGTGGCCTTCATCGTAACCCTGTGTTTATTGGAAGGTTACGAGAATGGTAGAAGGAATTAAATCCAACTTCTTAAATTTTTCCAACTACTGTGGAAAAAACAATTTTTAGTGTACAAAACATGTTTCAATAATTTTAGGTCATTTTCAGTTACAAATGTTTGTTGTACAATTGGAATTTCATTGTACAGTTGGTTGATATCCTTTCTTTTTTCTCTGTTCACTAATGTAAGTGTTGGGAGAATACAACTAGCTCAGTTTGTAAATTGAGCCAGAGGAGAGAGATTTACAAAATTTGCAGTTGCAGCTCTTCACCCATACACTCTGTCAGAACTGTTGAAAACAGTATCAGTTAGAATTATCTGCATACTTGTTTCCAATCAAAATATGGCTTTGGGTGTAGTGTAAAAATGTTGTGGACTGAATGAAATAACATCTGCAAAAGTGTTACAGGCTTTGTTCCAATTTGAGTTTCTGGTTTTCAGATTTATCATGGATCCCTTGGTGCAGTATCAGTTGCTGTACGAAATATAGCATCATCTAGTCCACACTTTGCAAGTAGTGGTAAGTTAGCTAGTAATGATTTGTCATTGTTGACTAGTGTATATGTAATTTTGGAAAATGCTTTTTGAGATTACAGAGAGGTGGGCAAGTCACCACTGAAATTTACCCCATGGGGCAGGGATATTTTCTCCTTAGAATCCCACAAAAAGTTACTTGAGCTTACTGCTTAAAGCTGATATGTACGATACAGCATTATTTCTGTGTTTCAGGGACTGCAGAGGTGTCTTCAATCTTGGAACAAAGAATTTTAGGGTCTGCACAGAAGGCTGAACTGGAAGAAACTGGACGCGTTCTGTCCATTGGTGATGGTATTGCTCGTGTTTATGGCCTTAAAAATATTCAGGCAGAAGAGATGGTGGAGTTCTCAAGTGGTCTCAAGGTAAAATGCTGCAGCTGCTTTCAGTGACCATCACACTGGCATTTTTTCTTGTGTTTGTGACAATTTTCATACCTTTTTACCATGAGCATTAACTCTTCCTCAGTTTTGCTGGAGATGCTTGCTAATAGTATTATGCAGGTGTTTGTTTGTACCACATATTACCTAAAATGTTGGGCACTTTTTTGTTTTTCTCATTAGCTCTTGTAATATGTATAGAGGATATTATGTGGCAGTGGATAAATACAAATTTTATCTTTGAGTGGTAATACTATCTTTCACAAGCGAGCAAAGTGAGTGAGAGATCTTATCAATGTGAGAAGACTAATTCTAACCACAAATGGGCATATTATGTTCTGTTATTCTCTAGATATTGACTGCATATTTGAATCATAGGTAATTTTGAAAATTGCAGAATGCAGAATGTATATAAACTTTCACAGAAAATTTACTTTAACATCTGACAAAAGGATGTAATAAGGTCTCACTACAAGTTAGAAGGTTGAATTCAATTACAGTGATGTTTGTTAGTTTAAGAAATCCTTTTGTAAAATGTAGAACTGCTATGTGGTAAACCCTTTGTTCTGACAAAGACATTGGTATCTGCACATGTGATGACAAAAATGGTACATTCACTATGCCTAGTGGAGATATCATATCTCTGAAACAGGAGAACCTGTGCTGTTTCATCCATTTCTACATTGTAATTAGATTTTAAACTTAATTGCAGGGTATGGCTTTGAACTTGGAACCTGACAATGTTGGTGTGGTGGTATTTGGAAATGACAAGCTTATTAAGGAAGGAGATGTTGTAAAGAGAACAGGGGCTATTGTAGACGTACCTGTTGGGGAAGGGATGTTAGGGAGAGTGGTAGATGCATTGGGTAACCCAATTGATGGCAAGGGAACACTGGCTGACACCACACGAGCTCGTGTAGGAATCAAGGCTCCTGGTATCATTCCTCGCACATCTGTGAATGAACCTATGTTGACTGGTATCAAGGCTGTGGACAGCTTAGTTCCTATTGGACGAGGACAGCGAGAACTTATTATTGGAGACAGACAGACTGGGTCAGTTGCTTTTACTATTTTATGGTGGAAATCACTTTCAACTAGTTCATGTAACTATATCCAGTGCTACTTTAGTGTGTCTGCATTGGAAGCATGTTTGTGTTGATTTAAAGAGAAATTGGTAATAATGATGGACTCGGTTAAATTTCTGTTTTTGGAGAAAAATAGGTTATGTGGCATTAGTACATGGAGTACAATTTTTAGCTGAACTGAAAGAGATATGATAAGTTACTTGATATTTGCTCATTGATAAAAGAGAATTTAGTTGAAGGGATATTTGTACATATGAATTGTGGCTTTGTTGAACAAGGTAGATGTGATTGGTTTTGCTTGATTTTTTAGCAAAACTGCCATTGCTATTGATACCATCATCAACCAGAAGAAATTTAATGAAGGAACAGATGAAAGTAAGTGTTAAAATAACTATTCCCAGAAAGTGTATTAGTCTGAAACAAAGTATTGTAGTGTTATGGTATAGTTTTAGTTACAGTTTCATTTACTACCATTTTTTCATTGGTAATGTTTATGAATGACAATTGCATCAATTGTTTTTCCAGCTTCAAAAATTAAATAATTGTGCTTAGAACATTTGGATCTCAAATAGCAGATTTTCTTTAGCTTTTGTCCCAAATTTGCTTACCATAGCATAATTAATATGATATTGGGTTTCAAGGGCATTTCTCAAGGTTATCAGGGAACTCATCCCAATTAGTTAAGAGCTGTTCAACAGTATTTAAACCAAGTTTGTTTTAAAATATTATTGTTAATGAAAATTGTTGGCACATTCTCCAGAAAAGAAACTCTATTGCATATATGTGGCTATTGGACAGAAGAGAAGTACTGTTGCTCAGCTGGTGAAGAGATTGACAGATGCTGGTAAGTTCTGTAGTTTCTCTTGGCCTTGCTCCAGATTCTGTTGTAACATTTGTAGGACTCTTTAGGTGAAAAAGTAGAACAAGATTGGTTGCTTCTTTTGTAGAAACATGTCTTTTCAGTGTGTTTTTATAGAGAGGTGGTAGTCATAGAACTTTACAGCCTATATAGCAGTTGATGATACCTTTTTGGAATAATTTACTGACAAAACTTTCAACAAACTTTGTTGAATGGTAAAAGTTGACGAGTTTGGGACCATTTTTTATGCAATGAACTTTTAACTCTGTACAGATGCTATGAAGTACACCATTGTGGTAAGTGCTACTGCCTCAGATGCTGCCCCTCTACAGTATTTGGCTCCTTACTCTGGTTGTGCTATGGGAGAATACTTCAGAGACAATGGAAAACATGCTTTGATCATCTATGATGACTTGTCAAAACAGGTATGAATGATGTGACTTGGAGATTATTTTTAACTTTATTTATTTGACCTTTTCATACAATGATATAACAATCTCTGTGGCTCTTCACTGGCTGAAATGGAGGGCTTCTTGACAGGGTATAAAGATCAAAGGTATAAACATCAGTTATCATCAATTTGAGAGGGGAGCTGATTGTGTAGAGTATTTTCTTTAAAATTGCTCTTGTTAGGAAAAGGAATGGGTAAGGGAAACAGTTTTTCTATTTTTTCCTTTTCAATTAAGTGGCTATAAGTTTTTGGGAGAGTAATTATCCTATTTAATTTTGTTTAAATTAAATAACTTGTCATGTGGTCATGAGAGCCCTGAGCATTTGCAAATATAGGGGTTTTTTTAGCTGAAATAGGAAAACATTATTTGATTGTCTTTTACAGGCTGTGGCGTATCGTCAGATGTCACTTCTATTGCGTAGACCCCCTGGTCGTGAAGCCTACCCAGGTGATGTGTTCTACCTTCACTCGCGTCTCTTGGAGAGAGCAGCAAAAATGAATGATGACAACAAGGGAGGTTCCCTGACTGCACTTCCAGTTATTGAAACTCAGGTCATAGAATTACATTTTTTTCCCTCCTTTTTCAATATGTTTTAAATCAATATGTTGTGAGTCCTTTTGGGGAAAGAAGAAAGAAAAACTAAAAGGAAAAAAAACAGCACAACCTTTATGGCAGCGAGGGCTTCTGTTATTAAAAAGCAATGTCCAAGCTGTCAACTTTTTTAACCTTGGGTATGTAGTGTTTGTTTCATCTATTGGCTCTTGCCTTCCATAATAATACTTGAAGACAATCCTTTGTAATCTCTATGAAATTGAACAGTCTTTCATCTAAACTGTTTTGTTGCCTAAGTATAGGTAATCAGGTGATTTTGAGGGAAATTTTGTTCAAAGAGACTGAAAAAAATTTGCAATTGCTTACATAGATACAAAATTACACAAGAAATCATGTCATTTCTTATTTATGATATACTTGAGAGAAGGAAAAAAGAAAGACAGAAATTAAAACCAAGTGAAACTTGACAGCATTAAATAATAGTTCATTCATAATTTGCACTTGTGTTGTAAATTTGCCCCATGTTACACTAGAAATGCACAATTCTCTAAAAAATTAGAACAAGACAAATTTTTCATGTACGCATTTATTATTTGATAAACAAGGCCTTGCACTTATACCAAAAGTTGTTTATTTGTTTACTTCTGTTTGTGTTGTACCAACAGGCAGGTGATGTGTCAGCATATATTCCAACCAATGTGATTTCCATCACTGATGGTCAGATCTTCTTGGAGACAGAGCTGTTTTACAAAGGTATCCGTCCTGCTATCAATGTGGGTTTGTCTGTGAGCAGAGTGGGGTCTGCTGCCCAAACCAAGGCCATGAAACAGGTATACTGACTCATCCCACTCTTCTCTTTTCTTTTTTGTAATAATTGTTTTTGTTATTATTATTATTATTATTATTATTGTTTATATTATCATCATCATCATCATCATCACTATTATTATAATTTTTGTTTATTATTATATGTATCACTGTTATTATGTTTATTTTAATTTCAATCATCAAGGATTTTTTAGAGGACATGAGTTTACTAAGGATCTTTGGTATTTTACTAAAAGGCTACAAGTGGGTAATAACCTATACTGGATGGCTCGGCCTTTTATCAGTTGGCTTGGTTCACAAAGTGCAGACTATTTACTCTGTTGAAAAACTGAGCAAACCAAAGGAATTGTGTCAGCCAACCCCATCATCATCACCACCAAGCTGAATATAAAGAAACACCGATTTTATTTCAATCTTAAAACCTTTGACCTTTGTTAGAGTTGTCCACAACAATTTAAGGTTATTTTTCTGTCCATCAGGTTGCTGGATCCATGAAACTTGAGCTTGCACAGTATCGTGAAGTGGCAGCTTTTGCTCAGTTTGGTTCTGATCTGGATGCTGCTACTCAGTCCCTCCTCAACCGAGGTGTCCGTCTCACTGAACTTCTTAAGCAAGGACAGTACGGTAAGTGACTGAAAGGTCTAGCTGATGTATGCACCCTTTTATAGTATTTTGTTTTCTACATTCAGTGTGTAAGACATTAGTGCCCTTGCCGTGGGGGTCTTTGTAAATTCATTTTCCTGTTACTTATTAGCCGTTTTCTTTCTGGCAGTGCCAATGGAAATCGCAGAGCAAGTGGCCGTGATCTATGCTGGCGTTAGGGGTCATCTTGATAAGGTGGACCCTTCCCGCATCACAGCGTTTGAAGAAGCTTTCCTGAAACACATCCGCACATCACAGAAGGATCTTATCGAGACCATCAGGAAGGAGGGTGTCATCTCAGAAGACACAGATGCTAAGCTCAAGAAGGTCGTCACAGAGTTCATCGCATCTTTTGAATAATTTTTCTTAAAAGTGTTAATATTTTTTTCAACCGCAGCTTGTGTTAAATGTGTCCTTTTACGAAATCAACTTGCCAGTTGTTTTGGCGGTGCTAGGAAAATAAAAAGAAACTGAACTGGAGACAAGATACATGCTGCGTCGTGTTAACAGTGCTTTGTTAATAAACTACATTCATAACTGTAGATTCGTACAGCAGAGTGTAGTATCCATCCGAATCGACCTGCGACCAGGATTTCCTGTCTTTTTGCAGATCGACAAGGGCTAACAGCTGAGCCGCCTCTTGCTTTCTCCGGAAAGCCAGACTGGGAATCAACCTAGGATCAAATGGGAACAGCTTAATTCGCCGTGCACTTATAAGTAGACTACAAGCAGCCCCTCCTTCTTAGCTTTTTCCGTTTCGCCAGGCAAAAGCAATCTGTTAATTTTTCCGTGTAATTTGCGGTAACATGTAGGGGTCCTCTCAGGTAAACCTTTCAGAGCAAGGGCCACCGAATGCCGTTGGCTAAAGCAAATCGTCCATGGGAGTGATCTGCTTCTGTTGTTTCTTCGTACAATTAATTCTACATCACGAGGCGCTCCGCTTTCCCAACCACTTAAGAATATCGATTGTGTAAGGTACCACCCTTACACTTGCCCAGCCTCCTCTCCCTTCCCCAACAACCTCAGGACAACCCCGCCAGCAGGACCTAATTATTAGCAATACGGCTCGTATGTTTCTTCACCCGCGAGGAAGGGTCTGGCACTGGACCCCATATTACCGTCGTGATGTTATGAATAGATGCATTCATTTAAATAAAAAAGGTTATGCGTAAATAACTTGGCAGTTTGTCCCGCGATGTTGCCTGCCTCTTTGTGGAAAGTACCTATAAGTTCTTCATTAGGGCGGAATAATGACTGCTATCTTCGATTCACTTTAACCAAGGTCTTTTCCACTAACGACAGCCATCATCGCAGATCAACGGAACCCTCCAGATCACCTTTGCACAGTGTGTCATGCTATCATGCACAAATCTGGGATAGGGGAAGAAGGTCACGCACCATTGAGGCACGGAGAGTTGTTCTCATGTGGAACAAATATTTTAAAATTTGTCTATTGTGGGTCAATTTTCTTTGGTTGGATGGTCGACCAAATCCTGTGGATGCTATATTAAAGTTCACACGGCAACCAGGTGGACAATCAGACATAGTTTGATGCTACACTGGTTTGCAGATTTAATGAATGTAACCGAAGAAGTTACAATTCATAGACCCAACGTTTCGACACTCCTGTCTAGTGCCTTCATCAGGGGTGATCTAAATGCTGCAACAAGAGGTCCTTTTATATGATCACTAATTAGCGGCCTTTTTTCTGACGAGGTGTAAATAGGCGTCAGGAAGCAGACCGCCATCGTCACGACTTGGAAGACGTGGAACAAAGGGCCTTAGCCACTTAACCGATTAAACCCTTTTTCTGGAAACGATATGTCGATGATGTTATTTCTGCGGTATCCGGAAATGAAGCGGAGCGCCTCTTGTCGCATTTGAATTCAGTAGAGCCGTCGATCCAATTCACCCTTGAACGTGAAAAGGATAGACATTTGCCCTTTCTTGATTTAAATGTGTCCAGAGGGGTTCAGGGTAATTTAGAGACAAGTGTCTACCGTAAACCCACCCACACCGACAAATACCTCGCTTTCGATTCTCACCATCCTATTTGCCATAAGAAGTCTGTAGCCAAAACTTTACCTAGGAGGGCTGACTGTCTACCATCATCACTCGATTCGAAGGCTGAGGAGAGGAAATATGTTTCCAATGTCCTAAAGGCAAATGGCTATACAAAAACTTTTCTCCATAACTGCCAAAAACCAGTTACAAATAGTAACGCTCTTGATGAAAGGGAACCAGCGACTGGTTTTGCTGTTATTCCTTACATACAGGGTGTTACTGAACCCATCAAGAGAATTTTGAATAGCCACAACGTTAAAGTTGCTCAAAAACCTTTTCAGACTTTGGGGCATATTTTCGCCAAACCTAAGGATCCTGTCACGAAAGAACAACGAACCGACGCCATTTATTCTATTCCTTGCAATGACTGTGACAACGAATACATCGGACAGACCAAACGCCAGTTTGGTACACGGTTAAAAGAGCACCAAAAAGCGGTTTTTCTTTGCAAAAAGGAAAATTCAGCTTTATCGGAGCATACTTGCCTAACCAACCATACAATTGGGTGGGATAATTCTAAAATTATCACCACTAATCGGCGTTACCACCAGCGCCTTTGTTTGGAGGCTTGGCACATTAACTCCGCTCACGCTCCTTTAAATCGTGACGATGGCGGTCTGCTTCCTGACGCCTATTTACACCTCGTCAGAAAAAAGGCCACTAATTAGTGATCATATAAAAGGACCTCTTGTTACAGCGTTTAGATCACCCCTGATGAAGGCACTAGACAGGAGTGTCGAAACGTTGGGTCTATGAATTGTAACTTCTTCGGTTACATTCATTAAATCTGCAAACCAGTGTAGCATCAAACTATGCCTGTGGATGATGTTTCGTAAAAAAGAACGACGTTTAAAAATGTGAAGTAATCTTTTATCGATAAATACACATAAAATACATGAAAAACCGAATACGTTCACGGTTAAGCTAGGTAAAGAAAACTGATAACAATTAATGCCACACAAATGAGTAACGCGTAGGACCAACACTTAGCTAAGTCCTATTTACAATTATGCTGAAACACTCCAATGTAAATCTTGGTATTAGTAATCAGTCATTATTTATTGCTAGGAAAGTTAATTGGCAGTCAATTTTCTATAGCCCCCCCCCCTTTAAACTCTGTTAACGACAACCAATTCCTCCTCCGTTTCCCTTTCAAACCACGTTATCCCCCCAAAACCCTCTTCCTACCCCCACGGAAGCGAACGGTCCCTGATCTCTTTTTCGATAAACTTTTAAAGGGAATGAGATGGTGTTGACTGTCCATTAGAACAAGAACAACGAGATTTTGATCTCTCTCGCTTAAAATTTAAAACCACATTTTTTACTAATTCTACCCAGTAAAGGCCTTAGAAGAAAATTCAATCGTCAAAATCATAGCCTCTTGTGGATTGAAATCTTTGCAGTTCTTTTCTAACCGTTTCCTTTTGCTGATCTGTCCAAATCACATTGTGACGCGTTTTACTGGCCTCTGGATATATTCTCTTAGAACAATCTTCGATATATTTCTGATAACAAGTGAGGTGTAAAAAGTGACAAATTCCCAGCAGAATTTTCTTTGGTTCTTTGATCAGCTCTGAACTGTGGATCTCATGAACTTCCCCAGGGAGAACTTTCTTTAGTTGATTGTTTTTTGCCGCCAAAGCCATATATTTTGCTATTTGTTTATCCAAATTATCGGTATCATTGATCTGAAATCGAATGTAAGAACAATTTATATGTTACGTTTGAAATTCATCATGAGTATCTTAGATAGTGATTACAATAGTTTAGTGAAAGCGGGCAAAAGGGACCCTAAATATGAAAAATGAGGTAGAAATGCAACTGCTGACGTCCGAGAGCTTATCTCTCAAATATACGAAGATAAGAAAAGATGAACAGTTCATTGAATTCAGAATCAGTTGGGAACAAGCGTTTTACCATAGTACAGTTTAAGGAATCGATCATTTTGAGGATTTCTAGCTAAGAGGTTACTATAAGTGACCCTCATCCTCGACGTATTTGATCAGAAAGAAAGATAAACAAACAATTTGGCGTAAACAAAATTACATAAACAATATAGAAGTGGTTAAATGAATCACTGTCTGGACCAGAATTTAACTTCCTTACATACTTCCCGAGTTGTTTGTGGCTTGTTTTTTATTTCAGCAAGAACTTATTAACACTTTACAGTTAAATATAAGGTAAGTTAGAAGCCCACGGTCAAATAATTTTATCACCTTCTCTCCGGCGTCCGGTCTCTTTTTCAGATCTCTTAGCATCATGGTTGCAATGTTGTCGTAAGGATTTCGGATGACATGAAGAAACTTTATCGGGAGTTTGAGAACTTGGTGAATTTCTTTCAGTACTTTTAGGTTCTCTCGTTTCATAAGCCGTCTGGTTGTATGACCACCCTTCTTAGCTCCCATTACCTAGTCGTTAATGGAAGCAATTATCACTGTAAGGAATTGAATACAGTTATAATCTTATCACCAATAAGCTTTTCATAGACAGCCACGGCATTTAGATCTTTACACTTGTGGCAAGGAACTGCAACATTATTCTTTGGGGAAACAGAGACATATGGCGCCGAAGCAGATTCAAGCAAATTTTGGCAAATAATAAGTCAATTATATTAAAAAAATAAAATTATATCATTACGTACAATCCAGTGTACCATGGTCTTCAAAAGAAAAAACTTCCGTATCCAAACGTTTAGCACTCCCGACCCTATGAGGGGATTCTAAGGAGTCAATTGTTCCCCCGGCCGGCGCCATTAATCAATGATTGACTTGCACCCAGGCTCTAAAGAAGGAATGCATAGGGAAGAGGCAACTGGAACTCACCAAAATCTTCTGATTAAATGTTCCCTGCCATTGGCCTGGCACAGAATAATTGAACCGATGTGGGACCGTGGCCGATCGGTAACCGGTATCAGCTTCCATTTTAGAGTTCAGGTACAGCTGGTCAAATAGGTAATACTTGTTTCTGTTGGTTTTAGTCCACTTTTGCCATTCACCAATTACATCAAACTCATTTGCAACCAAGGCGTTAGGATGAGCGTCTATCAAGGAGCTGATCAGGGTGTGGCCACTGCGAGGATAGCCAATGAACATTAGAAAACTTTCCACACCGTCATACAGTTCACGATTAAGTTTATCCTCATTTCTGATCCCATATTGACGTATTCGGCGTAAGCCTTTAGGAACAAGAAAATTTAAATTTGTGTTAAGTCACTTACGCTTGGATGTTGCAACAAATGTTTAACGTTACAGCCGTTCAAGCGCTGAGCACCAGCTTCATCTCGGTTAAATATTCTGTAGCGCGAAAATTAATTAAGATTAGAAATTGCAATCCTACCAGTTTCGCTTGTTGCTTACTTCATGTATCTAAACTGTCAGGTACCTTCATGCTGTCCTATAACAGTTTGTCTTTGGTATCGTTGTTTACTACCTTTTGTTCACACTACCCTTGTTATCTACCTAAGCCTTCTGTGTATTTCTTTGTTTCTGTTGTAGAAACCACCGGTTGCGATTTTATGTTCAATAGGAACTGTAAAGTACGGCTAAATAATTTAGATGCGTGGAATACACCATGACTAGAAGGTTTCCTATCGCTCAAATTGGTACATGTTTGTATTTAGTTATACATACAGTGAGACAGTAGGGAGACATAACAGCATCGACCTCAACAGCTGGATACGATAAAGTGATATCCGACATACAGCTGTTTCGAGAAAGGTTGTAGGAAAAACGACAGAACTGCACGCGACAATCTCGAAAGGTAATCTGGGTATCCGAGAATCAATGAACTTGGATAAGTCAAACAAATAAATGCAACAAACCCACGATGCTTGGTCCTTACAGTGATGTTTCCTTACATTTTCCTGAAATTTTGAAGTCAAAGAACCGTGACCAGAAAACTATATACAATACCTTTCGGGGTTGTTGCGCGCTCTTTTACGCTTTTTTCCGACAACGTCGCTCGAAACAGCTCTATAAAAGTTGTATGCGCTATGTAGGACAAACTGTGAGATCAAGAGGGCTGCATATTGGCCGAGGTGTAATTGAGGTCCATGAAAACGCAGAACAAAGAATGAGGCTAACATCCAGCCTTCTTGACAAAACAAGCTTGCTCAATGAAGGATTTGTCACATTGCAAAAATATTTCGTTTAGAATAACTTGATTAGTTTTGAGTGCTGAGCAATAAATGAACACTTATCACTCACGAAACTTGTTCAGCTATTTTTCTTTGTTTTGACTGTCTTCTCCAGCTTTTCGCGAGTCTATGGCAGACATTGTGTGACAATTTGTTAGTCAGCTCTACGGAATTTTCTTACTTCTTTGCGCGGGATCAAAGCGGGCAATTCCGAACAGGAAAGAAGGGCTCGGGAAGCCAATCAGAGATTTAGTTCCATCAAGTTGCACATTGTAGTAATTGTTTGTTTGGTGTGTACTGAAGGTGCAGTGGACCTTGTCACGGAACCTTTCCTGAACATACTTAGATGAAGAAGGAAGGTATCTGATAATGAGCTTACGGGTAATCGCAGATTGGCCTGAATCTTACGCACTTTATCCTTTTTAATGCAGAATCTGTTCACAGAAAGATCAAGACTATTATCTTATCAATCAAACATCTACACCTGACAATTTTTTTTATGAATAGATAAGAATTTGTCGTAAACCGACTAAGGGATTTTCTCAACCTTTCAGCTACATTGTTCTTTGTTTGTTTTTTTTTCTCGCAACGCTACGCGAGAGCAACAACAATCATTTGTGAAAGACCAGGAGAGAAAAATCAGTAACCCAACCAAACCCAGATCGAAGAACGTCGGAAATGAATAAACAACAATTAAAATCAAATCAAGACTATCCTGGGAATATCATAATACAACTAGAAAAGACTTGCGTTACTCTCTGTTCTTAGTTAATAATTCCCATCTAAAATGAACGTGAGAAATCGCACATGGCTCCTCGCCGTAAAGATTTTAAGTCAATCACTAGTGACGAGGAGAAAAACCGGGTAGTATAATATGGCAATTAAAATCCATTAAAATCTAGTTCTTGATAAAACATGAGAGATATCGTCCCCACGATGAAAGAAAGAAGCCAATCGAATTTTTTCTGAAGTGTAAAAGAGCCGGCATCAGTCATAATTTCATCTTTGGATATGCAGTGACAAGGCATAAATAAGTTACTAATATTACTGTAAGGAATGGTGGGTGCTTGACTGACTTCCTGAAGATCATTCCACTTAAATTATTTCTCTAAATGCAAAGTTGTTTGATGAAGAGGTGAGTCATTTTAAGACAGTCGGCTTGAACATACCTTTCCTTCCCCCTAGTTTTCTGACAAGTAAGTCCTTATAATTCGTTGACATTACAAATACAAGAGCAGCGACAGAAAGTACAGTAATCACACACCATAACCTTCGATTCATAGTTCAATTAATGAATCGCAGCGTATCGAAGAGATGTGTTTGTGTGATGATAATGAACATGACCTCAGAAATGACATCTGATCCAAAGTTGTGCCTAAGTCCTACCGGCTAGAGGTACGCCCGAGGAGTACTAGTAGCGAGGATTAACGGAAATTGTCAGCTATTCCAATATGGCGGACGATTCTAGTTTTTACCAATAGTCAAACGACGTGATTGAACCAGACATGAACATTATAACATGCTGTATACGTGAAGAATACATTCTTGAGTTTAAATCAAGGAAACTTCGCTAAATTTTGTTTGGCTGTTTCCTTCACCCTTGTCGATCTCAAGTTTCTTGTTCAACAGAGTTTTAGCTGAACACTGTAGCCGATAAGACCTACGCTTGCTAAGGTAAACAAAAGTTATGAATAGTATCGCCACTATGATGCCCTTGTCATAGTGCTACTGATTGGATAGATCCTCAAGATGAAATTTCTATTGTCTTGTACCTCTAGCCGGTAGAATCTCAAGAGGCTTAGAATATACTACCGGCCAGAGGTAAAGCTTACATACTTAGTCGACTTCGCCCAATTTTTATTAGGGTTAAATTCGTTTGCTCCACACTTTACTTTTCTGCAAAGTGCCTAAATTCTACCGGCTAGAGGTGCGCCCGAGGAGCACTAGTGACGAGTTCCCGAGTCGGGTGATTATCGGATATTGTCTGCTAGTGCAATATGGCAGACTATTCCAGTAACATCATTTGCATAAGTTTTTGGGAGAGTAATTATCTTATTTAATTTTGTTCAGGATTTTTTGGCTGAAATGGGAAAACATTATTTGATTGTCTTTTTCAGGCTGTGGCATATCGTCAGATGTCACTTCTATTGCGTAGACCCTCTGGTCGTGAAACCTACCGAGGTGATGTGTTCTACCTTCACTCGCGTCTCTTGAAGAGAGCAGCAAAAATGATTGATGACAAAGATGATAAACTTAAATAAAATCACACAGCATGAAAAGGTTTTGCTAACTTTGGAAATACAAAGCTAGACGGTATTTGTTTGTACACTTTCTGAAATATTTTCACTACTAAAATCCTGGGAATTTCACTGATCAAATAGTTTGGAAGAGTGAAGATTACTTCTCGACTTATTCCAGCTAATCCCTTTCGTTCAATGTATGGTGTCACCAGATAATGACCACTGCTTTATTTTATTACATGTCCTTTTAAGCTTGTGTAATGTGCACTTATCATCTTTAGTCCATCGACGTATTTTAAACTTTTCTTTGCAGCATTTTTAGAATTATCATCTCGGACTTAGAACTCTACCTCAACTTCACCATCCGCGTGCGTTTTGACCGCGACAAGAACGTACCATGGCTTTCCCTTTATCCCAAACCATTTTCTCTGTGTTTCCCGGTAATCAAATAAAGGGAATTTCATGGCCCATTTCATAATTATGAGCACTTGGTTGTTGGCCAGGTTCTCAATTTCAATCTCAAATTTTTGTGTCCTTTTGACAATGCCAAGCCTTCATAAGCTTACTCGAATCAGAATCTTACAATACGACTTCAGCGATCCCCAAGCCAGCAAATATGTCTGCGATCGCCGTCAAGCCACTCTCAGTTAACAGTCACATGAGGCGATTCATAAAGAAGGAAACGGCTAAAACAACGCCGCCAGAGAAAGGAGAGGGATGAAAGGGCGGTACGCCACAGACATAGAAATTCAAGACTCTTTCCAAAATATAAAGAAGCACAGCATGGCTGGCATTAAAGCCTTGAACAACTTTTCCTTTGAGTCTGAGAGCTTGGAAAAGCGTACAATGTGGGCAAGTTTCTATGTCTGAGAAAGCTTAAGAATTACGGTTCTGCGCAAGGTGCGTGAAAGTTTACCAGGAATTGAAGAGTCTTGAGAAACGTCTCGATGATGGACTTCACTTAACCTTGCAAGGTGGGAAGAAACCTGTAAAATTATGTGCAAGGTGCAACCGTTGGTGGTTCTCCGTCAACAACGTAATAATATCTCTTACAACAACAGAATCGACTGTAGCAACAACCAACAGTCCATCTTTAGAGGGGGTTGAGCTTTGAAGAAGGAGAAGAAGTCAACGAGTGTGGTCATTTTTGCAAGAGATATTCTGATAAAATATATAAAAGTTCACACGGCAACCAGGTGGACAATCAGTGAATTATCATATCAATATGGCGGACGGTCACGTTTTTAGAGCTCTTAGATGCTGGATCATTCTGCTTTATTTCTACGTTTGTTTCTCTGGTGCACTCCTTCCCAAGGCTAATCCTGACCTCGATATATCTGGTGATACTCTTCTCTTCATTTCTCACGGTCTGACGACAGTGAGAATTCAACCTTTTAACCATCGGTCACCGAGCTCGCAACATGCAAAGAATCTCCAGTTGCCGAATTCAAGACTTCTACTCCTTGGATGCCGTTTTGCGATTAATTCCTCTCTTTCCTTACTACTCATTCGTCTCGCAAATGATGTTGAACTTCAACCTGGTCCTGTTGGCTCCTCTAGTTCACATGACATCCTGTCTGATCTTCGGGATTTGTCAACGAAAAATGGGCTTACAATTATTCATCAAAATATCAGAGGCCTCGTGGCGAACAGGGATAGTCTATGCCAAATGATCGATGATTCCAAGCATATAGACATCATATCCCTCAGTGAGACTCATCTATCGGACAGTGAAGAGGCTCAAGTTCAACTGGATGGCTATACGTTCATTAATAGACCAAGGAAAACAGGCAAAGGTGGAGGTGTGGGAGTTTATATCTCCTCTTCTGTCCCCTTTCATAGAAGACTAGACCTGGAACGCGATGGGATCGAATGTATCTGGATAGAAATTTTATTTCCAAAATCTAAGGGTATCCTTATTGGTTTTATTTATCGCCCCCGAGTTCTTCAAAGCATCTTTGTGCAGATTTTGAAAATAAACTGGAGTCGATGCTTTCTGCTGTATCATCTGAAAACAAAGAATGCATTTTGACAGGCGATATCAACTGCAACTATTTGGTAAGCTCAGACAACAAAGAACTGAAGGCAATGCTATTGTCTTTTGGCCTTAAACAGCTAATCAAGGATCCCACGAGGGTAACGCAAGATTCAAAAACACTGATAGATGTGATTTACACAAATCGCCCTCAGAATGTTTATAGTGTTAAAGTCATTCCCGCCGGCTTAAGTGACCATGATATGATTGGTTGTGTCCGGAAGCTGCATAACCATAAATTCCAGCCAAGAACCATCACCTGTCGAAACTATGCTAATTATGATCCTATATCCTTTTGCAATGATTTACGGTCCAATAGTTTCACACCTGTCTTTAAATCCTCCTGCGTTAATGAAGCATGGTCTTTTTTGAAAGCCATTCTGAAAGAATGTATTGATAAGCATGCGCCAGCTATAAAGAAGAGGATCAAAGGGAAACTCAGCCCATGGCTTACACAGAAGGTAAAGCAAGAAATGAATACCAAAGATCAGCTTTTGAGAAAAGCGAGAAAGACAAATCGTGAAATTGACTGGTCTTCGTACAAGCGCCAACGAAACAAAGTTAACGGTATGGTAAAAAATTGCAAAAGCAGGTATCACCGTGAACTCTTAGAGGAGACTGTGGGTTCACCTAACAAATTTTGGTCAGCTATTAAAAAACTATACCCTACAAAGTCTACAAAGGAACCAGGAGCAGCTTTTCTCGTTAATGAAGCAGTAGAAACCGACAAAGAGGTTATTGCAAATTTGTTCTGCAAATTCTTCACTGATGTTGCGCGATCTCTAAAAAGAAAGATCTTCCCTCTTTGCAATTTTGTCTGGAAAAGGCCCCTTACAATAGACACCCAGCAGCCGCTAGAGAACTTTGAGTTTAGATCAGTCTCGGAAAAGGTTGTCTTTAATGCATTAAAGAGCCTTAAGAGAAATAAGTCCTCTGGCCTTGACAACTTTCCTTCTGGAATGTTAAAGGACTCTGCTGATATAATAGCCAAGCCTCTCACGCATATAATTAACCTGTCTCTCGCAACAGGGTCTGTACCTACTGACTGGAAAGCGGCTAAAATTGTACCACTTTTTAAATCTGGTTCAATGGCCGAAATCGACAATTATAGGCCTATTTCAATACTTCCCTCAATGTCAAAGATCCTGGAGAAAGTGGTATTTAAGCAGCTGATGGCTCATTTTGAACAGAATGGTCTACTTTCTCATTTTCAGTACGGCTTCCGTCGCATGCGCTCTACTGAACTGGCCGTTACTCATCTTACCGATGTTATCAGAAGAGAAGGTGAGAATGGTAACCTGACAGGCTGTGTTTTCATCGATCTATCCAAGGCGTTTGACACCATCAGTCACTCTGGCCTCCTGAGCAAGCTTTCAACTTACGGAGTTCGTGGAACAGAACTCGCATGGTTCACTGATTACCTTTTCTGCAGATCACAAGTTGTCCAATATAAAGGCGTGCTATCAGAACCTCAACCCATTCTCACAGGTGTTCCTCAGGGAAGTATCCTGGGTCCTATCTTATTCATTATCTTCTTCAACGATGTACATAAACCGCTTCAACACTCGAAGATTATCACTTATGTCGACGATTCAGTCATCTATACCTCTTCTAAAGATATTGATACTATACAGAGAAGCCTTAGCGAGGATATGAATAACCTGTGCGAGTGGTTTAAAGACAACGAACTGATCATTAACCTAAAAAAGGACAAGACGGAGTCTATGTTATTTGGAACAGCTAAAAGAATCAACCTTCAAGACAAGGAACTTAAACTTTCTGCTAATGGGTCACTCATCAATAATACCTCTACCTATAAGTACTTAGGTGTTCACCTTGACTCATCACTAAACCTCGCATCACATTTTGACCGAATCTATAAAAAAGCTGCAACCAGAATCAATCTCTTGCGATCAATTCGTCCTTTGATCGACCAAAAGTGTGCAGAATCGATCTATAACACTATGATCGCACCTATCTTTACCTATTGCGGAACACTTGGTCTT